ATTCCCATTAGAAACAGTTTTCATTTATAAAGTTACAATGCCAAGAATTTGCCGGTTCCATCGTCTCCAATGTGAGCATTTGCTGCTTTTATATCACTGTAAATGGAATAGCTTTGAGTTTTTGACTGTTGGAGATGTTGGCTTGTGCTCTGGGAGAATTTGTGATCAGGACTGTTATGTATCTATCTATCTATCTATCTATCCATCTATATATATATATATAATAAATGGACTACAATCCTTAAAGATTTTCCATTTATAATTATATAAAACAAAAAAAGACCTTAGAGGAATCTAATATCAGCAAATTTTGACTGAAAATTGACTCAAACGCTATAGATTATCAAAACATTTCAGCTCTACAATTAACCAAAAACATGGGAGTATTAGTGCATGTTATGCACAGCTACTTTGCATAACACAGTAATTAACTCGACGGTATTGTGTTACCCCACGAGTCTATCTGTACTTTGAGGAGTAGGGCATTGTTTTTCATTCCAAGGTCTCATCTAGCTCAAAGCTAGAAAAAGAAAGCTGCTGTCAATACATGATTATTTTTAGATTGCCTAGCAACTGGCTGCTCCTCATGACAAGAATTATCCAGGAGCTCTCTGTACTGACCAAATGTTACTACAACTGTGTCTGTTTCAGAGGAAGGCCTGCGTCTGTTTGTTGGCCCTGGGGGAAGTACAGCCCTCGGAAGCCATCATCTTCCCACCAGGTGAGACAGTCACTGGACAATGATTTGCTCTCCGTAGTAGATGGAGAGGTCGGGCGTGGTTATTATTGGCTATTCCAAATTTTCTATAGGATAGGAGTTCACAATAACTGCTGTCTAGGAGGATGTTTATTTTAATGTTTCAGCTTTTATTGCAGCAATGCCTCTAGGGATGGCAATATCAGTCCGACCACTTTGAGTTAGGGTTAAACAGCTACTGGATGATATTTTGTCCAAAGTTTCTCATGTCCCAACAACAGCATTTATACAGATACAATGTAGATGTAAGTCCGGATCAAGCCACCAAATATCTGCTCTTTGTAATGGTGAGAGTAGTTAAACCATCAAACCACCTTTCTTCAGCAGAAAATCTATGTATGTGGGTATTTAGTACTATTTAAGTACAAAGTATATATGCTATAAATATTGTAATTTAATTTAGCTATTTGTTAATCTGTAGTTTGGAGTATTGATAACGTATGTATTTAAATAGAGACCTGGTTTTGTGCAGACATATTTTAACAAAAAAAAAAGGGAATGATCTGCATTCAACTCTACTGTATGATACATGAGGCAGTTATTCCATTGGGTTGCTAAATTTTCTGTTCTTGTCATCCCAGGGTTGGTGCTGGAGCGTACGAGCAGGTGGTGATAAAACGTTAGACCTGCAGTCTATCAGAGGTGGACTGACACTGCTTACATCAAAAAACAAAAAATAATGGATGCAAGGCTGTGTCCATTTCAATCTGCATTCCTACAGGACACACATTACCTGATCAGCACAGTGTCTGACCTGATCACTCGGTGAGCAGTTGACGTTACAACAGTGCCCTCCTGCGTTCATATCTCCTACATGACACTGCAGCTCCCTGATTTTAAAGAGCGAGAGGTACACAGCTATCAACTCGGTGTAAACATACAGATGTGAATTAAGGGAAATGACACATTGACCAGATTGTTCCAAACAAACTGAAACTGTCAACTCTTCATTTTCTGGGTGTATGCGCATCTTTTTGAGGTCAACGCTGTGACTCTGCACCCAAACACGCTCGATTTAAACCGTTAGAAACTGGAAGAAAACATTATCTCTAACGTAGGACAAAAGGACGAGCGCCGTGTGCGCATCATCAGAACGAACTGCACTCTACACTGAAGAGGAGTATGCGATGCGTTTTCAATACATTCCCTTTGTCTCTCTGTGTTTGTTTTGGACTTCCTTCTCAAGTGGGACGTTAAAATTAATATTTGCCTATAAGCTGCTAAAAAGCTGTAGTCGTTGGCACTCTGTGAAGGCCATGGGTGTTTTTGAAGGAGAATATTTTACTACGTGGACGAGGCATCAGACTTGAGCTATTTGACGTGTGAACGTGGACGGTGTGTGAATGTATGTGTATGTGGTTAAGACCACTTTTATTAATTAGTAACAGTTATCCTGTTATCTTCGAGTGGAGGGATGTGACATGATCTCCCTTAAGGAATACTATATTTGTATTTGCGAAATGGGAGAACATGACAACTTGCTTACTTGATTTCGTAGGAGGTCCTTGTTCTTATTTGTTTTGCTGCTGAGGATTGTTTTAGAAAATCCTGCAGTACTAATCTGCTCTACAAGGCGAGTAACAACATAGTTGGTCAAAAATCTAACTTTTTGACATTTTTTGCTGAACTGTATGAAATGTACAATTTTCTTTTTAAAATTTGCATTTACCAGAAATGGGAACTTATTCAAACCACAGTAGCTGCATTCTGGCTTCATATTGTTCCCAACGTTGCAGTAAATACACTTTGTTTTGGGCTCTACAAGCTGTTATGACATTGACGGCACTCTGTCACTGAAAGGCAGCCAGACCTAACGCAAAAGTGTTATATCAAGTGAAAGGTAGATGGTGAGATGCCTTAGCTAAACTTAACTAAAATTTACTTACAGATTTTTCCTATGGTATAAAAAAAATATCCATTTTTATGAACGGATATCTTGGTAATTCAGTTTTTTATTCCATATAACTAAAAAGCAGTCGTTCAATCCAATCGTAAGAGACAATAACCTAGCTAACCCCTGCTAAGGGTAACTATCTTAGCAGATTTCAGCAAAATCCATCTATGCTTTTAACTCAAATTCACGTGCTTTGCTATGATTAAGCTCAAATCACATATTTTAAAAAGGTATTAGATTGTACATTAAAGTATGTGTATCATTTTTTATTAATTTCAATATAAATGTATTAATAGATATAAAGACATCCAGGAAAACAGATACATTTAACTCCTATAATCGAGACTAGAAATAATCAAAATAAAGTTTATTTTCTTAAAACTAGTTTAAAAAGGACAAGAAAGCTGAAAGAACACTTACAAACTGTGTATACCCCTTCAAATCCCTAAAGATTATCCAAAGGTAGAATGCAGTTTTTTTGTTTATTTCTTTTTTAGGTATTACGTGAGTCGGCCTAAAAGGTCAAACTGAAGATATTACTTCTGTCTGTCATGCAGTTTTCCAGCCTTTTTCCGCCCTCAAACTTACTGCTTCTGTAAGGTACTGCTCTCTGCCTTTTGTAGAGCAGTAAATACCGACTATAATAGGGGCTTCTATGATGAATATCACTATAGAGGGGCATCTATCTAATGCCCAGCATTTCAGCTACGTATCTATTGTATAACTACGCTTTGCAACTCAACTACATCTCTCTGAGCTGTCCTGTTGACCAGGAAGCTTACATCAGTGAACAAATGGAAGATCCTGTGACGTTACAACGATTTCATTTATGTGCAACTGATGCATACTGTAGTTTGTTTCACTTTAGGGATTGTACAGTAAAGGACTAGTTAAGTAATCCACTGCCATGAAGAAAATATTCAACAGCACCTGTCTTTTAAAAAGACCCAGGCTAATAGTTCTGTGTGTGTGTGTGTGTGTATATCTCCTAACATCAAATCAAACTATTGGAACTGAGAACAGTCTTAAAACCAGTCTAATAACCGACACAATCAATACACGATTAGTGCTACAAATAGAAATCTAACAATATAAATCTGCTGAGAGTTTTGAAATCCTGATAGTGGCATGCATGTTGACTATTTGCATTTCTAGCCTAATAGGAGATTAAGTGCACAATTTCTTCAGTTTATTAGCAAATTAGCCAAAGTACACAACACACTGTTATTACCTGGGAACGGTCAGGCCTATGCATACTGAGGATATTATTACATTATAACTAGTGAAAACAGACTGTACAGTATCTGTAATCTTCTGTCTCCTGTCATAAGCCATAGTAGAGGTAGGATACCTCCTCTTCTAGATAAACTATATTCATGTTATATCAATATCTGCACAAGCGTCATCAGTGTATGGTGTTTTAACTATACGTCAGTGTTATCTGTTTTTATGTTCGTATGTTCTGCATGATTAAGATGTCCTTTTGTTAGCTTGCAGAACTGACACATCTTCATGTTAACCTAATTTGATATTGTGCCATCTGTTATTCTGGATAATTCCACATCGAAGGAACATTTTCGCTCGTCTATTTAGCATGTAGGAAGTCATTCTGTCCTCATAACTTCATGTTAAAAGCAGATATCTGCACAGTGTTCGACGTAACTGTAAGTCAGTGTTCTCGTTTTGTTTGTTTTTATTTTCGGCATGGTTTAAATGTCCGACGTTCAAGTCACATCTAGAGGATATCATCGTCTTTGTTTTGGAATCTTATAGTGCTGATATTGTGCCATATTTTTGCTAAATATTTTATTGTTAGGGACAAAAAAAAGTGTTCTCACTACATAGTTAAGACAGTGTTAAGTGTATGAGTTATGGCTACCAAATATCAACTATTGGAGGTTTTTTGTGTGTTTTTTGGATAAAAATCACTTGTTTTACCTGTGTGATACAGGTATGCTCATCTTGGTACCTAACATGTTGTTACAAACATGGTTTCTTCTCTTCTGTGAAGCTGTTGTCTATATAAAAACTGTAAAATGTATTCTCCTGTTAAGTGATGTTCTGCGCTGTTCTGACACTGTCCAGTGTTTCCTGTTACAGACTTGTTCTTTCAACCAACATTTGCTTTCTTAACAAGTGTACTGGATGCTTCAAATGTGTACCTTGCACTGTTGAATAAAACAGTTAAAAACTTCAACCTGGGTGTAATGTACAACAATCACAATATGAATATATTTTAGAAGCCAATTGATCTTTTTATTTTAACTGATTTGTTTCACACTCAAAAGACAAAGTTTAGTACAACTCATACTGATCAGTAGTCACCAAGGGAAACCATTTGCTCACTCATGAATTCCCTTTAAACAAGTAACCTACTTGTCCCAATATGTATGTTCTAGATCAAATATTTGCCTCCCAGTCCTCCTCTTGCACAGCATTGTGGGAGCACTGGCCGGCCTCTGCATATCCGCTGTCCTCCAAATCATTATGATCCTCTTCTTCAAGGTCTAGAAAGACAAATTAAGTGTCACAACCACAGGAAACCATTCAGTCATCGAATTCATCAGATAAGCAGAAGAGCAGGAAATAAACGTTGCACAGTCAGCTGATGATGCGCTGTTTTCTAGAGCTGAGCTGTGCACAGAGGCGATTGGGGAAATGAAGCTTTCACCACTTAATGTGATGAAGCCATTGAGCTGAGAATGGTTCACCGTTATGAAGCATTTGTGACATCTGCTGGGCAACCCTTGGTATTGCAAATTATTAAGGATTAAATCCAAGAGGTTGATGAAACTGAGTCCGAATGTAAGTGGTGGTTCTTCTGTCGCTGCTATTTGGCTCTGTACACGTTATATTGTAAAAAAGGACCAGGGTCTTCTCACTGATGGTCTTGTTTGCTTATGTAGGTCATACAGAGGCATCAGTATTAAATAGAGAGCGTTTCATAACCACTTAAAAACTCCTTGTAGGTTTAAAATATTTCCATATATGTTCTATGTATCATAGTGCAACCTGTGTTGTAAAGTGACGGAGAAATTACCTTGACTCCTTGAAGCATTTCTTTTCCACTGGTGGAAGTATCTGCACCACTAGAAGTGAACTTTCTTATTGATTTTCGGTTTTGTACATATAACAGACGTAAAATGTACATTAGTACCTTCCTCCTGTACAAGCACGGCAGAGCGGTCCTGGCTCAGTTTAACTTCGGGGTCCTCCATCAGGATATGTCTGAGATTACTCAGACTTCCACTCAGGGCACTGACTTTAGGGCAGCAGGACCACAGCGCAGCCAGAGGTACACACACACACCTACCAGCACACACAAAAGGTGACATCAGGGACTTTTGTTCTTGTCGTCAATTTAAAAACAAGCCATGTAAGCCTGTATGGTTGTACGCTTTGTATTCATGGCAATAAACATTTGATCGCAATAAATATATGGATATGAGACCCTTGTGATCGCTGTGATGCCAAATTTTTAGAAACATTTTTCAAATAAAAAGACCAATAATAACATTCATGGGAGTTTTTTTTTTTTTTTTTTACTGCCTGCTACATAAAAATAGAAATGTGCACAAATATATTTTAAAAATATATAAAAGAATATAGGAGATTGGAAAAAACAGCTAACCTTACAACCTTTTAATTTGTGTGATTATTTTTACTATGGTATACTGATATTTTAGTTTAGTATAAGTTAATAACATGGTAGAGCACAGCCAGTATTTAAAGTACAGATGCTATAAAAAACAAGGCCTGTGTTCGTCCTACAAACTGCCTTCTGACTCACCGTGACCATATGGTTCCTCCTCAACCTCCTCAAAGAAACACACCTGTGCAGTTTTTTAGACTCCTGTTGTCCTTTGCCGTTTGTCCAAAACACCTCTTCATCCTCTCCTTCCTGATCCTCTGACACCACCGGATGTTTCACCTCTGCTCCACATGCAGCTGTGAGGTACGATATATATTTTTTTTAAAAGAGAGACAAGCTTTTCAGTGTGCCGTTTGCCACTTTAAAAAGTTCAAAATATTCCTAGTGGCTTTTTGCTGGCTCCTTTCCTTCAAATAAAAGGTTTCCTTGTGATCAAACCCAAACATCTGCACAACTTCTCAGGAATCTTAACTGCAGGGATGTTCACCTGTCTGTTTCTCTTCCATGTCCACGTGTCGCTCTAACGCTCTGAGACATTCCTCCACTCCTCCCTCAGTCAGGCACAGTGTGTAAGCGTCATCCCTCTCGCCAGTCTTCTCCTCCATCCATCTTCTCTTCAGCTTTTCTGTCCAGTACAACACCTCACTCACCAGGACCCTCCGCAAAATGTTGTTGTCACGCAGGCTGGGGTAGTTTATACTATACAGCTGATATACAAACAAACACAAAGACAAAATCAGAGCACACAAGGATTATAATATATCTCGAGAGCCGGTTATGGTCACTAATCAATAACAGTAAGCCAAATTATTACTTAGCAGGTGTAGAGACATGTGACTTTAAAAACTTTTCTTGCCTTCATAACTTTTACCTCCAGGACTGAGATCAGTCCATTGAATCCATACTCTGACCGGCTAGTTTATTCATCTATAATTAACATTTTACTCTGACTTTGTGTTAATTACAGGTTTCCTCAGTGCCTCAGACTTAGAGTACATATTCAGACTACCAAGACTACAGATGTTGTAGCTGCAGTCACCAGCAGAGGTCGACAAAGGTAATATATTACTTCATGTCCACCACTTACCACCTTCCAATGAAGGAAATCAGGTCTGCTGAGTCAGTGACCTCCTTTAAAAAGGTCCAGTGTGTAATATTTCAGAGGATCTAATTGGCAGAAATGGAAATATAATATTTTTAGGTATGTTTTTATGTGTTTATAATCACCTGAATATAAGAATAGTGTTTTCTTTAGCTTAGAATGAGCCGTTTTTATCTACAGAGTCCTCTTCCACGCCGCCATGTTTCTAGTTTTCTCATTTTTTGGCGAGTTTCAAGGCCACTGTAGTTTCTGCTACAGGCCGGAACGGGAGGGTGAGGCAAAGGTGTTGTAATCTGCAACTACACCACTCAATGCCACTAAATCTTAGACAATGGTCCTTTAAGTCCCTTCCTAAAACATACTTTTATCAGAGAACCTTTCCTGATTTTTACCAAAACTTTTTTTCTTTTTTTTTTTCTGGTTGAATACTTCTTGTTCTTGATTTAGAAAATACAGGTGGCTTTATCATTATATGCTCATGTTAAGTATTTATTTTCCTTCTTGATTAGGTATGTTTTGTCGTTGCTGCTCTCTAAGAGGGAGGCATTCTGGATTTCTTATTGGGCACATTAAGTTCTCAAATAACAGGAATTGTTGGAGAACAATTGGACATTTTGTTACGGGATGGATGTGTTAAAGTCAACTGCAGAACAATTTTCTAATTAGTTTGGGTTATCTGTGGATATTGTTGTAATACATGTTGTGTATTTATGGTCAATGATAATGTTTTGTGTACTTAGTACCTATGGTGATCTATGAGTCAGATGGTTGAATATATGGAAAATGTAAACAACCTTGGACAACCAAAATTGGAGAGTTGTGCAACATGTTAATTTTAATAAATTATTTTAACAACCAACATAAAGTGTCACTGGTTTCTGTCAAATGTGAAAGTTCACACGTTGTTTTAAAACATGATTTTTATACTATTTCTGCCTTTATTTAAAAGTAAAACTAGAGAGAGTAACAGGAAATAATGGAAGAGATAAAGTCGGGGGAACCCATGAATCTCACACATTACAGGCATTTTCAAAAACACTGGGCCAACATGATGCCAGACTCTGCAGTCTATAAAAAAAGTCTACTCACCAGTGTGTATGAAAACACATCATCCGCATCATCACCGAACAACATGTTGCAGTGATCTCTCCCCGCACGTCGGTGAAACACACCAATCTGGGAGCAGAAGCCGACACTCTCCTGCTGGCCTGGCGGCGCCTGTCCAACCCCAGTGAACTCCACCTCATAACCATACTCCAAACACACCTTCAGAGCCCTGAGGAGGGGATGTACGGTTAACAGAACTCTGTGTAAATTAAGGTATATTCAACGACGATGACGCTTTTTTTTTTTTTTTTTTTGCACTGTCCTTAACACTCAACTTTGTGCTGAAAATGGATCTTTAATAAACAACATACCAGGACTGGAACTCTGCTCTGGTCCACTCAAACTTGTGGTCAGAGTGCCTGAAACCTGTCAGTCCAGTGAAAAGGGGGTTGAACTCGGAGTTTGGGGTGCTGACAATAACCGCCACTGGGATCATGTAACCAAACACCACCTCAGAGAAGCACTCCACATCAGCAAGAGTGAGGTGCTCTATGCTGCAGACAGCCAGAGAGACACAGGGGAAACAGAAAGGTGGAAAACCACACAGAAGCATAGAAAGACAAACATTTAGTAAAAGGTATGAAAACTCGAAGACACTGAACCTTTAAGGCCAAACAGCCCCTTACAGCTCTATGCTGGTCACCAGATCAAATCCTCTAAGGCGGACGTCTTTTTGTGTGACTGAGCCCTGGTACAGCTCAACACGCAGCTGATCATAAGTCGGCTGCAGATAGTCAGTTGATATAGGGCCTAATCCATGCCTGAAGGAACATACAAGCAGAGTTAACTCATTATCAATCCGCACACTATTAGTTATAGCAACAACAAAACACACAAGGCGATAGAAGAGTCAAAAGCTCAAGCGATACTCTGATCATCACTTTTTATCTACCGAGCAGGTGAAGAAGAGGTTACTGAAGGCAATTCACTTTTAAATGTTTAACCCAAGTAATCACAGTTTTCTATGAGAAAGGGCGCAAAAATAATTATTGTTTAACATTTAGACTACTCACATTTAAACCTTTATGAAACCAACTCTTTAGATTACATCAAGTTTTAAGAAAAGGTTTCCCAATGTGGCACACTAGTCCAGGCTAATCTAGGCTCTTGGTCAGTTAATTGATTGAATGATAAAAGCACTGGGTGAGCTGAATTAAGTCATTTATCAACCTTTAGTATAGTTATGAGATCATAGTGTGCCACTGTTTTACATTAACGATCATAAGTAAACTTTATTTTGTCTGATGCGCTGTGTGGATATGGTGGTGGGAATTTTAATAGCACTGACCATCAATTAGACTATTTTATGTGACTTTGCATACATCCACAGCAGGGTGTCATTTTTATTTTCATTATTAATTAATCTGTGAAAAATGCTCATCCCATATTCTCTTTATCAAACAGTCATATTTCAAAATATCTTGTTAAATTATCATTTAAAATGTAAACACCCACACCATTTGAGAAGATACAACCAAGAAATATTTGCAATTTGTGCCTGATTCAACAACTGAAAGCATTTTCTGTTGATGGACTAATCGATTAATTAATGGACTAATCTGCCATATTGTGGCATGTTTTGATATCAAAAGGAAGAAAACTCTGCAACTTTAATGTGCATAGACCTTAATTATTAAAGAATCCAGTCATATAAAATGTCTCAACACTAAACCAGGTCACTGTTTAAATACAATTATAAGTAAAATCCATATTTATAGCATATATATTTTGCACTAAAATACTACTAAATACACAGATCTTCAGCTGACAAAAAGTGGTTTCATTTAAGTTGCATTCAACTACTCTCACCATAGCAAACCGAGCAGATACTTGTTGGCATTCAGTATTTCTACATTGTACAATAATAATAATAATAATAATAATAATAACTTTCACTTAAAGAAACTATTAAACCTTTCGATTTTGTGACATTTGCTGGGGTCTTGTCTTACACCACAAGGTCTGCAGGCCAGAGAGTCCCTGCAGCACTACAGTAATTCATCATAATGCTGTTTTTGACACACAGATCACCTGCAGATCTTAAACCACATACATCTTTTTCTTCACTTTGGCACCGTTGATGTCCACTCCGACCAGCAGCTCAACTTCACGGTGAAACTTTAGTTTTTTGAGAAGGCTGCACTCGCTGCACCCCAAGTCCACCACCTGAGGGAGGACAAAGGTGTGTGGAGTAAAACAAATAAATAAATAAATAAATAAATAAATAAATAAAGTTATTAAGACAAAAGAGCCCAAACTGAAGATCTCCTGATTTAAAGCTAACTAGCCTCGTGGCGTTAATTGGCTGGGTGAAAAGTGTGAGCGATCGAACTCAAAACAAACGTTGGCTTTCCAATTAAACAGATCGATATATTTCTCACTGAAACAACAACTACCTTTCTGGGTTTGTTCCTCCGTACAAAATCGATGACAAATTGATGTCTCTGCCTGTGAAGCGACGGGCTGAATATCGGGTCCATCTTTAACGTCGATAACGCCGCCGGACCACAGGGGGCGCTGTTGTTATTGAGCGTTAACGCGGTAATTATTTAATTAAGTATTTATTTGTCTATCTATTGATGTTATTATTATTATGTATCTGGGGTTTTTTTTCCTAATACATTTTAGTCCTTTTCCTTTTTCTGTTTATTTTGTGTATTTATTTTTATTTATACATCTTAATTGAATTAATAAATCTTAAAGTTGTTTTACTTTGTTTAGTCTTTTGTATCTGACTCTGTGTATTGATCCTGCAGTGTTTCCTCACTAGGGTGTGGGTGGGGGGTGGGAGGGTGTTTTAATGTGTTACATTTTGCTTGTATTAAAAGTGCTATAAAAAAAATAAAGTCTCATTGATTGATTGATTGATTGATTGATTCAACCTTAATACTTTTCTATCACTATGGAGTACCCCCGATGAGCCCTGATTAAGAGACGTATTTTATGGATATTTGATGATATATTAAAATTAAATCAAATTAAAACAATAACTATACAGAATACAACGCATTAAATACAGGAAGTTTAATTTTGAGTTGATTATTTCTTGTGAGATTTCTCGAGATTATTGTCCTTTATATTTTTAGGAATATTTATTTTACAATTCTCTGTTTGTGTCATATATATTTTTTCAACTTTTGAATAATCATACATACTCTTTTGAGAAATTCAGTGCTTTATTCTCCATGACTACTTTGGTGGTTCAGCATGGCTGCCTTCATAGGAGAGGTAAAGAATGAAAACGCTCACTATTCCTATTTTCAGGTGATTATACATATTTAATGAAAACATACATGTAAATATTGTATTCCAATCTGTCAATAGATCCTCTTAAATGTTACACACAGGGTCATTAAACCTCATTTTAGATGTTTAAAGTGGTTGTATGTGAGAGCTTACATATGAATTAATAGCCTATAGTTTGTGTTTTGTTTCTTTATGTATTTATTTATTTATTGCCAGTGGCCATGTACATAAATCAACAACAAGAAGACATACTTTGATCAGCTGCACTGCACCACATCCACACAAACTCCCTGTCTGAACTGACAAATGCCTAAGAGAATATGATATTCCCTACACTTAGAAACAACATGTCATTAGGCTACAAGTAATGGGCCATATTGCATCATATTGCATGGCAGCCTGTTCACACCTTGCTAAATAATGATGTCTCAAGCCACGGGGGCATGACTCTGATCAAAGGTGTTAAGAAAACACCTTTTAACACAAACATTGTATAGTTCACTTCATCAAAACATGATGTAATAGTTTGGAAATAGGGACAGTTGTGGTTCCTGAAAACAGTATGTGCTGTTTAGTATTTCAGCTACTATCAAAATTGGGTTTCTAGGCCAAAATCATGGATTAAAGCGAAGGAAGTGGGCAACAGACCATTAACATGACCCAGAAATTTAAGCTTGTGACTTGTATGTATGTAATGAACAATTATCGCCTGCAATAACTGAATTCAATTTATTCTTTGAAGTGTTTTATCAGCAGTCCACCGTGTTGAACCGCCATGTTTCTACAGAAGCCCATTGGGCCTTTCTCTTACACACTCATTCCCCTTTCTCATCCCCCGGTCGTCAAATACTGACACGAGTGGTGTTCAGTTAGGTGCAATCTGCAACTTCAACTCAACTTCAACTTCAACTCTTAAATCCTGCTAAAATATACACACTGGTCCTCTAAGTTACTTCTCTTTCTGGAACTGAAAACACTAAACCCGCTTTCTGAAACAGAGCCCTGTTCTCTACCAATTTATCAACAAAATGATCTTTATTTGCTTGATGCTCCACTATGTCCACCAGTGATCATCATTTTTTTGGTTCTGAGCAGCTAGTGTACAGTGGGTTGCTGAAAACAGCTTCCTGTTGCAGCTAAAAACAACACTGTGAGAGTGACCCGAGACAGTAAAGTTCATAGGCTGTAACACCTTTCAGATGACACAAAGTCATTTAATCCATTGTTTATACAGTGCTGTGAAAAAGTATTTCCCCCCCTTCCTGATTTCTTATTTATTTGCATATTTGTCACACTTAAATGTTTCAGATCATCAGACCAATTTTAATATTAGACAAAGATAACCTGAATAAATACAATTTAAATGATGATTTCATTTATTAAGGGAAAAAAGCTATCCAAACCTACCTGGCCCTATGTGAAAAAGTAATTGACTCCCCTTGTTAAATCATGAATTAACTGTGATTAACCAAATTTTTTGGAAAGCTGAGTTCAATTTCACTAGCCACAACCAGGCCTGATTACTGCCAGACATGCTGAATCAAGAAATCACTTAAATAGAACCTGTCTGACAAAGTGAAGTAGGCTAAAAGATCTAAAAAAAGCAATGCCACGATGTAAAGAAATTTGAGAACAGATGAGAAACAAAATCATTGACATCTATCAGTCTGGAAAGGGTAACAAAGCCATTTGTAAGGCTTTGGGACTCCAGCGAACCATGGTGAGAGCCGTTATCCACAAATGGAGAAAACTTGGAACAGTGGTGAACCTTCCCAGGAGTGGCAGGCCTACCAAAATTACACCAAGAGTGCATCGACGACTGATCCAGGAGGTCACAAAAGAACCCAGAACAACATCTAAAGAACTGCAGGCCTCACTTGCCTTAGTTAAGGTCAGTGTTCATGACTCAACAATAAGAAAGAGACTGGGCAAAAATGGCATCCATGGGAGAGTTCCAAGGCGAAAACCACTGCTGACCAAAAAGAACACAAAGACTCGTCTCACAAAAACATCTTGATGATCCCCAAGACTTTTGGGAAAATATTCTGGACTGACGAGACAAAATCTGAACTTTTTGGAAGGTGTGCATCCCGTTACATCTGGCGTAAAAGTAACGCAGCATTTCATAAAAAGAACATCATACCAACACTCAAACATGGTGGTAGTAGTGTGATGGTGTTGGGCTGCTTTGCTGCTTCAGGACGACTTGCCATGATTAATGGAACCATGAATTCTGCTCTCTACCAGAAAATCCTGAAGGATATTGTCCAACCATCAGTTTGTGACCTTAAGTTCAAGCACACTTGGGTTATGCAGCAGGACAATAATCCGAAACACCCCAGCAGGTCCACCCTCTGAATGGCTTAAAAAAACCCAAATTAAGGTTTTGGAGTGGCCTAGTCAAAGTCCAGACTTAAATTTGATTGAGATGCTGTGGCATGACCTTAAACAAGCTGTTCATGCTCGAAAACCCTCCAATGTGGCTGAATTAAAACAACTGCAAAGAAGAGTGGGCCAAAATTCCTTTATGGCGATGTGAAAGACTCATTGCCAGTTATCACAAACGCTTGATTGCAGTTGTTACTGCCGAGGGTGGCACAACCAGTTTTTAGGTTTAGGGGGCAATTACTTTTTCACATAGGGCCAGGTAGGTTTGGATAGCTTTTTTTCCCTTAATTAATAAAATCATCATTTAAAAACTTCATTTTGTATTTACTCAGGTTATCTTTGTCTAATATTAAAATTTGTTTGATGATCTGAAACATTCAAGTGTGACAAATATGCAAAAAAATAAGAAATCAGGAATGGGGCAAATACTTTTTCACAGCACTTTATATTAATGGTTTGAAAAATAATAATAATTAGAGCAGCTTTAATTCGAGTGTATCCTGCCATATAGTTATAGAAGATGGTTTTGGTTTTATTTGTCCAGGTTTTGAGATGTTCATCTCTTAGATTTGTGTTTCTACGCCAATACAATAGAGGTGCATTAAATGTTGATGTTGGGGCTTGCTGCGTTGAAATATTAGATTTCAAGTATTGAAGAGCAACATCATTTTCCAAATAGTGTCCCTGTACTCTGGATAATTCACAGAACACACTGTCAACAGTTTACGTTGGCATTATTTATTTTATAGTAAGTAGTTCTTAATAAAAATTGCTCACATTTTAAAAACATTTATTGTATCCATCTTTGGCAATGTGAAATAATTCAGTGTTTGAAAGACAAGGAGAAACAATAACTAGATAAGGAATTATAAAGTGGAAAAAAGTGTGGGAGAGGTTGGGATCACAGTGGATAGTGGTAGTCTGAAAGAGGGAGGGACGAAAAAATAGAGTGGGAGAGTTCATAATGAACAATAAAGGATCTGGGGAAAAAACAAGCTGATGGGAATAAGTTTGTAGAGAGGAAAAAGAGGAGGAGAGAGACAGAGGGAGGGCAACAGGACAACACGACTGAAATAGAAGAAGATGAGAGATAAATATCTCATGAAAATCAGAGGGCTGCTAGACCTCCACAATCACTGTCTCTAATGATGGTGGAGACACTGGAAGCAGCTGACCGCTGTATCCATTCCCACAACAACACCTGCATGTTGATGCCTAATACTCCCAAGGCCATGCTTATCAAAACCCTGCTGTCCTGCATCAATCTGCTCACTGTGACACTCAACTTGTTGGTAGTCATCTCTATCTCCCACTTCAGGCACAGACACTTTTTTGAAATGTAACAACTAATATTGTGTTTAATTCATGGATGTAAGCTGTGTTTGTTCTGTGCTGTTCTTTGCTAAAATTATTGACTTTAGCTCTTAGTTCACCCACTGGATGCGTTTTTGATTGTGTTCCTAAGAAGCTAAGACAAGCTAGAGATGTCAGTACTTTCACCTAAACATGAAAATGTCATTCTCAGTGAGTTTTTCTTTACAAATGTGTCACAATTACAGCAATCTTGATTAACATATGTGACACCAAACTGCTGTAGTAATTAGTTCATAAAGTGTAGAGCTGATTGATTGACTGATGTTTATTTGGTATGTAGGCTAGAGTAAATAGTAAAATTTGACTTTTATATTCTGCCTGTATTCTCACAGTAGTTGCTGTGATCTAAACTCATTTGCTCTGAACATGAGGCACTAATCATTATCTCCCCTTCCAGGCAGCTCTACACCCCCACCAATCTCATCCTCCTCTCCCTGGCTGTGTCTGACTTGCTTGTGGGCCTTGCGGTGATGCCACTTACAATTTTTGCCCAGCAGTCCTGCATGTTTGTTGATAAAATCACTTGTGCTTTTTCCTACCTGATGAGCTTCATCCTCACCTCTGCCTCTGTTGGCAGCATGGTGCTCACATCAGTGGACCGCTACGTGGCTATTTGTTACCCTCTGCACTATTCTTCCATGGTAACAACAAGCAGAGTTAAAATCTGTGTGTCTGTGTGTTGGTTCTGTTCTATTGTCTTCAACCTTATAATACTGAAAGAACATTTGTTACAAATAGATTTGTCTAATTCCTGCTATGAAGACTGTGTAGTTATCATAAACTACATTTCAGGGGCGATAGACCTGGTTCTCACCTTTTTCGGCCCTGTTACTGTGATCATAATTCTCTATATGAGAGTGTTTGTGGTGGCTGTGTCACAGGCACGTGTCATGCGCTCTCAAATTTCAGCTCTCAGATCAAATACTGTGACTGTTAAGAAATCTGAGTTGAGAGCTGCAAGAACGATTGGTATTATCCTTCTTGTGTTTATACTGAGTCTCTGTCCATACTTCAGTCCTTCCATAACAGGACAGGACACTACAGGAAGTATAGATTCAATAGCTCAATTTTGGCTGTTTTTTTGTAATTCCACTTTTAATCCTCTGATCTATGCCTTTTTCTATCCCTGGTTTAGAAAATCGGTTAAACTCATCGTCAGCCTTCAGATACTGCAGCCAGGTTCTCGTGAGGCCAAGTTAATGTAGAGATAAACAATATACTGATATACTATAATATACAGAATATAAACGTACTTATTTTATGAGAGTAAATGGATGGGGACGTAAATTTATCAGGTTTTGTCAAAGGTAGGACAAAGAAACTTATTAGAGATGTAAACCACCTTACTTTTGAAACAACCTTCCAGACAGTGACTGATGTGAAGAGTTCTGGATCTTTACAAAGAAAAACTTCCTTTTTCACCCTGAACTCATAACATAATATGTTAGGTATTTTTCTGCTTGTAGTTCTAGTGTTGAAGGATTTCTTTTGTTTCATTGTTTTACTGAGTTGGGGTATTACCTCAAGAGAGAACCTGAAATCTCTTATTGATTACTTTCTGTCCATTAATGGTACTCTGTGTTTTTTGTGTATATTCAAGATTTCCTTTTGTGCATGAGAATAAATGCTGCTTGAAATATATTTTTGGGATGCTCTAAAGCTTTACATGTGGTAGACTCAGACCTTTTATTTAACTCAATTGGTACGAACAAAGATTTTGTTTGTGTAAAATTTAAAGCAAGAACCAAACAGAATGTTTCACACAGGAAGAGTATAAAGCATATTCTATAACAACGTTATTGTCACCCAGACGGGCTGCACCTTGTTGTATGTTCCTTCACCAGATTAAAAAATGAACCCACAGTTGTTTCCTCTTACTCGCAGTGGACAGGTGTTGAGCTGCAATGATAAGATGATTTAATGTAACGATAGAAAATTATTCATTATTAAAATTATGCTGTTATGATTAAAATATTATCTTTGAATTTGAGATGTTTCTTAGATGTAATCAGTTTCAGCTTTAGACAGAAAAAAAAACTATTTTCTACACTTAAGTTTTCACAGAGGGTTGTTTTAATGTTTCACAGATTTTCTTTTATTCCTTCCTTTCTGCGATTGATAAAATAAAAGATCTGTTCACAAAATGAGAAGTCACATGGTACATCATAAAGAAAATATACTGCATGGTTTTAAAAATATTGCTTGATAAATTATCTGTTTATTTGTTTACACTACATTTTTAGTTTAAAAATCATCCAGAGGATCTAATAACCTCATAAATAAAACAATTTTTGATAAATATAATTTCAGCAATACTTTGTTAGACAGCTAAAATGTCACATGCTGCTATGATACCAGCCACAATTATGAAAATGTATATACGCTATTGCTAACAAAGATTCATAAGAATTCAAATCTAAAGGTTCTCCTCAGGTCTGATCATAATTTATTCGTCATATGTAAGATTTACCCCAAACAGAAGAATTTTGTCATAGCTTTGTTGTTTTAATTATTTTCTTTTTACAGTTTTCCTCCTAAGTTTGTAGAGAGGAAAAATAGGAGGAGAGAGAGAGGGAGGGCAACAGGACAACACGAATGAAATAGAAGAAGATGTGAGATAAATATCTCATGAAAATCAGAGGGCTGCTAGACCTCCACAATCACTGTCTCTATAATTCCACTTTTAATCCTCGGATCTATGCCTTTTTCTATCCCTGGTTTAGAAAATCGGTTAAACTCATCGTCAGCCTTCAGATGCTTCAGCCAGGTTCCCGTGAGGCCAAGATAATGCAGAGATAAACAATATACTGATATACTATAATATACAGAATATAAACATGCTCATTTTATGAGAGTAAATGGATGGGGAATTAAATTTATCAGGTTTTGTCAAAGGTAGGACAAAGAAACTTATTAGAGATGTAAACCACCTTACTTTTGAAACAACCTTCCAGACAGTGACTGATGTGAAGAGTTCTGGATCTTTACAAAGAAAAACTTCCTTTTTCACCCTGAACTCATAACATAATATGTTTGGTATTTTTCTGCTTGTAGTTCTAGTGTTGAAGGATTTCTTTTGTTTCAATGTTTTACTGTAATTTAATGAGTTGGGGTACAACCTCAAGAGAGAACCTGAAATCTCTAAACCACCTTACTTTTGAAACAACCTTTTCCAGTGAAGATTACACAGCAAATTTGGAAGTGTTAATTTAACTCCCTGGGAATTAAATTCAACACTTTCAAAGTGTCTATATTGGTCCACTCTAAATCGAGTTAAAACAACACTTTTGAAAGTGTTAAACAGTTAACACTGTGACAGAGTTGGAACAACACTCTCAATAGTTGAAATTTAACACACATCAGTGTTGAATTTACCTAACACTAGTGTGTAGTGTCAAAAGTTAACGCTATCAGTGTGTTTTTTAACACTGAATAAGGTTCAAATTATATTAACACTGTGGAGTGTTGTATGTATAACTCAACATAGAAATCTTTTATAGTTGATTTCATTTAAAAAAATACTACTGGGAGTCAATTAATAATTCCTAATTTCACTACCAAAAACAATACATGCCACTTGAATTTACAAAGAAAACCACACAAGTTGCAGTCTGAATCAACCTGTATTTCACACAAGCACACCACATAAAAAACAGCACCGGCTTTGCAATAACCACAACACAGGTCACACAATATGACAATGTGGAACAATGTATGTTTTTTTCACAAGTCTCATTAGAAAACTGTTTGTCATACGGTCTGTAATAAATCAACTCTTTAACTGGAAAAACAGAATATGAATCTGCTCTCTCATCGACAAAGTATGCATTGAAATGATCATCAAAATAAAGAGTATCCACTCTGCAAGTCAAAATGAAAGCTTGCTCATCATGTATAATGATGTTGGTGACCTTTCTGAAAATGGGAATTTCTGTATTTGTTCCAGTACAAACAAACATACCAATCTGATATTCTGTTCCATAGTTCTTCACCCAATTAGTGGTTGACACTTCACAGTATGCATTTACATTAAAAACAGAACTTAAAACCGCACCTCCCTCCAAGCTATCAATAATTTCTTTTTTCACTGGACCAAACTCAAATCTCTGAAAATCAAAATTCTCCCAGTGGTAAGCTAGCTGTCTCTGGTGTTGTTTCACCAATTTTTTTGTGATATTTTTGAAATATTTCACTGATCTTTTTAAAAAAATTATGTTTGGCCTCAAACCTCATGCACCATACGTGAAGGAGCGGACCTATTTTTCTAATACAACGTGGATAATATAGCATGAAATGATGCAAATGATGAAGACAAAGATTTAAATAGCTTGTGGTGGTCCTTAATCAAGTGCTTCAAATAGTATGTCATACTGTTACAGTTACAATGGGTGAAAACACAATATTCACAATCTCAATCAAGAGGAGGAGCAGATTCCAGTAACAATTATTTCTTTCCAATACATCACCAAAAATAAGATGAGCATTTCTCACAAGACACCATGACTGAATTGCATTTAGTCCAAGAGCCTTGCTAGCCTCATACATTTTCAACCCACTTGGCCTTTTCTTCTCTTGAAACTTTGCATCCTCTGTGACAAAGATTCTAATGACAGATATTTCTGGTTGACAAGGTATTGAAAGACAAGTTTGAGTTCGTACTGTACTACACCTTCAAGTAAATCATGCATTATGTCAACTGCATAGTTGTCAGAGGTGTGGAAAAAATGCAATGTATTGAGCAAGCATGTCTTTTTGACACCAAATGTTGAACCCAACATAGGATCTTCCTGTAGAGCTGCACAATGTTCTGCATAGATTTCTTTTGTACGAAAAATCACGCCAGGGTCATCTTCAGTAAAGACAGACTGTGACTCATCCTTACTTGTCAAACAAAATCTACAGAAATACGTAGCACTGAAGGACTCAACAAAACCAAACAGTCCATGTAAACCTAGGTTGTCCCCTGTTACTTGTATAACAGAACCAAGCAATGGTAAGTCTGAGAAAGGCACCTCAATTCCTTGTGTTTCAAGTATTTTAAGATCAACAAGAGGCTTCAGGATGTTATCAAATCCATAAGTCTTCAGGTCTTGTGAGTGAAAGAGTGCCACAACATGTATATTCATCAACACAGAATTATATTTTGGGGGCAGGTTCCGCAATATAAAGTAAGTACAACCAAGTTTGTGAATCCCTTTCTTTGAACCTAAGGGATTTACTGTCTCAAACTCATCAAAATAGAGTTGAATCTGTAGAGCATGTTTTTTCTGGGAAAACAAAATGTTACTCTTGAAGTATGAACCATCACATATGTCTTTATAAATACCTTCTTCGTATTGTTTGGTTTGCAAGAAACTTTCACATAACTCAGTGTTCTTGAACATAGACTTAAGAGTTCCCAGGATGGGTGTATACACAAATGTATCTGTTACAGGGACCTGATTGTAAACTCCTGTTGTTTTATCTCTGCTAACATCAAACCTCACCCCAAGAACATATTCAACAGGTTCAACAATTTCCCATTTTTCCTCAAAGAACTTCTGTCGTTTGACTCTTGTGTTCAAGGTTGAGAAAGGATTTTCTAGTTGATCAAAACACTTTTCCACCTTCTTTTCCAAATCTGTGCCTTGAATTTCTGAAGTACAGCTGACAACTGCCTCTCTCGCTTGCCTATGAATGTCATTTACAAGTTCCTCCATGGACCCCACCATTGCTTGGACTGTGCTCTCAGCAACACCAGATGCTTGCAACTGTGCTACAACAGAAGCACACATGTTTAACACATGATTATTGTCAACAGAGGGCTGGGTAGATATTGGAGCGTCTGTACTGACTGCCTATGAAGTTGAGGGCTCACCAACTTCATTCTGAGTGTCCACATTGTCAGCAGTATTAGTTAAAGCAACATCTCTATGGAAATGAACAAGATGCTTCTTGAAACCTGAATAAGTGCAAAATGATAAACAACATCCCGGCTGTCCACATTTCAAACGTAATGTCTTTCCAGGATATAGACCGTGGTGGAGTCTTAAATGCTGACAAAGCAATGTAGAACTTTTGTGGTGTGCCTTACAGACATTACAAAGAAACATATTTGCATCGAAGGATATTTATCACCTCAAGCGTTGCGCAAAAATCTTGCTCTTAGTTCCTTGACCCTGGGACTTTCCTTGGCACTTCCCACGTCAATGTTAAAAACTGTGGTTTGGATGAACGTATAGAAGTTGTAGAGGGATTCATGGTAGCTGACACTGAAGATGAAGTGTGCTTTGAAGAGCACATCAAAAGCTGCCAAGGATGTCTGTGCCTTGCAAGGGATGGCCTTGTGATCAATGATGACATAGTATCTTTGGATGCTGTTCTTCTTCTCACCAACACACAGGAGGAAGGGCTCTCCCGGCTCCACACCAGCAAGGAAGGTTTCAACACTGGCTCCCATCTTTAACAAAATGTAAAGAAGAATCGTGAGAAAATCATGAAATGTAGCGCCACTACATTCAAATGACTAAGCCAATAAAAAAAAAATGTGCTTCAACACAAGAAGTAAGATCATCAGAATAACTGCATAGGTACACTACTATTTGCATACCTGTAATCTCACAACATGGTCAGCAGCTTGACAAGAGCTGATTTTGGCACTCTTCTTGTGGCCTTTAGAGGTAGGAGGAAGCAAGTGAACCAACAGTAGAATGCTTGACAGGTCACTCTCCCATCCTAGGGGGAAAACCGGAGAAATATCCAACACATTCACATCATAAGTAAGAGATATCTTAAAGAGAAGAATGAGCCAAGCTTACCAGACCCACCTGAGTCGTGCTGCACAGACAAGAGGTCTTCAGTGTGCTCATTAGAAGTCAGTTTTTTGCAGTCTGTCAGGATCCTAGGCTTGAAAAAAGTAGGCCATTTTGCCAAACATCTGCCCGACACTTCCTCTCCAAACATCATTGCTCAATCTACAGAAGAACATGCATTTTTATACATAACTTAGTAACTTAAAAGTGTATACCTTACCTATACCTCACCAAGCCAGTGATGTCAAGGAATCGTGGGAAGACATCCAAGACTGTCGATGAGCACTGCTGATCTTGAACCAGTGTTTGGCAATACTGAAATGTGGCCCTCATCTTCTCTTTGATTGCCAATTCATCAGTTGAATGTTTCAAAAGGATACTGCTTCATGACAGTGCTCACCAAGCAGCTGTTTATCAATGCAGAGAACCTCCCTCTTTGTCTCTGGACTATCTTGATAGATTGTGCTGGTGGAGGATCTCTGGGACTGAGCTGCAGTGTTGCGCTGAACAGTCTTTATCCTCCAGGCCAAGTAGCCAGAACCACTCTGTGGGTCATAGAAGTGTTCCTGTAATATTAAAAACAATAAATTGTAGCGTAAATTCAACACATATTACTACTCCATAAACTGACATATAAGCTTTTCATTTACAAACGTACATATCCATTGTCCGAGTATGGATCTCTGAGACGGGTGGGCTCCTCCTGAAAGATAAACATGACATTACTACTACAATTCCTTCAGTGTTTAAAAGATACAAATTTTACTGTTGTTAGCTTCAGTGAGTTTGAGTATCTCTCAAATTGTTAGTTTTTGTAAAATATTTTAGCCATTTAATATTTATTTCTGACATAGGAGAAATGTAATAATACATTGCTGTACTAATATGCAATGTCCTAAGATGAGTGTGCCCTTTTTAAAAAAAAAAAATCTATATTAAGTAAAATACAAATATGAACATTGAAGTCTTACCCATGAATTTCAACCATGTCGGCCACAAGAAGGTTTACCAACTGTCTCCTTGTGCTATCCGTCAATGTCGTCATTTTATCATATTCATCCAAAATAATCTGTCCACCTGGTTTAGCCTGGAGAGCCTCTCTCACCATCCAAAAGATAAAGAATCAGAAAGTTAGCAATTATATCCATCATCATCATCATCATCATCATCATCATCATCATCATCATCATCATGTCCAACAAAAAAACCACAGTTTAACTGCATAATATCTTTGTGTCTGATATTTGATAACTTATTTCATTCGTTACAAAAGCTGCACACCTCTTTTGCCGATTCCCGTTCAGCATGGGTTCTCTTCCCTCTGTTTGTCTGAACAATCACTGTTGCATCTGATGAATCAGAGGATACTAGCAAGGAGTCTCCTGACACTGACACGGGTGAGTTGTCTGACATGGGTGACTCCAACAAAGTAAATGATAGATCATGTTGAAGCACAACTGTAAACAGTTTTAAAAAATGTATACACAAAGTAAAAAAAAAAATTAGTTCTACACAATACTCATTACTGACGATCCACTCCTTCCCTAACAAGGCTGAGTCTCACCTGTTGACTTCTCAGTTGTCACCCTAACAGTAAGGTTCCCTGCTTGCAAAAGCTCCTCAAACACATCTGCATCAACTTTTGTCCCTGATTCATCTGTCAAGTGCAGCTCAGTCTCAAGTGGAAGATCTAGCTTTAGAATGACTGATAAAAATATTAGATTTAGAGCAATGACAAAATTACAATAAGAACATTACCAGAAATTTGCTAAGCTTGTTTTTCAGCATTGTAGGTCAACTTCTAAAAGTACTTTTTGATTTCTTCACAGGGCATTACCATAAGCTATCATAAACACAACTCCATAATATAAGACATTTAAATTTTACATACATTTACACAAACATTCTGGGCTGTATGAAAAGTGGTGCCAACCTTTCTGAAGAAATGTGTTGAAGTCATCATAGCCATCTTCAGTCTCAGCAAACTTTGACATACTTCTGCGTTTCTCCAAATCTCACCTTCACCAACATGATGGAGGCTACTATGAAGAAAAAAAGAAGAAAAGACATCCACACTGTGCCATCATTTACATCAAAAACCACCCAGCTCTCAGAACTTGACCGACTTTCAGTAGCTGTCCCTCAGCAAGCAGGAGCACAATCCCCCGGTCCAGCCCCGGCTCTCTACTCCATAGCTTGACATTTTGCCGTGAAGAGCCAACAACGTCATTCATCAAGACTAGACCATAGCTAATTAATATGCTCACTCCGATGGATTTATCCGTCACTGTTTTAATATTCGGGATTAAGTGTTGATTTTAAATCAACACTTAATAGAGTTGCTCAGATTTAACTCACTGGATTAACACCATTTCTTTTGAGGAACTAACTCTCACATAGTTGAATTAGACTAAGCAAGTGTTGAATTGACACTGTATTTTTAACACACAACACCAACACTGGAAATCTAACACTTTTGATTTTGCTGTGTATGGAGTTTTAACACCCTTAGTTTAGAAAAACCATTAAATATGCAGTCTTCCAAAGGTATCTCTTTAGCGTGTTGATTTGGAATAGAAGTATTAGCCCTTATCCACTGAGTCATTGTCAGAATAAACCACATTTCTAGTCTATTATCAGTGGTAAAAGCAAATATAATTCTGACAAAACATTGCTTTGAAATCAAGGTAAAAGGCCAAATCAATAAACAGGAAACTGCAGAGTGAAAGTCCGAAGTGTGGATGTTGTCATGGAGATGCATAACATTAAATGCTGCTTGAAACTATATTTTGGGGGTGCTCTGAACTTGTTAGCCATTAACCATCAAAGCAAGAACAAACCATTTAGGTACTATATTGTTTCACAAAGGAAGAGTATGAAGCATATTCTATAACAGCTTTATTGTTACCCAGACAGGCTGCTGTAGGCCATAGCTTTTATTTCCTGTATTTTCCTGGTCTGCACCTTGTTGTATGTTCCTTCACCAGATTAAAAAAATGAACCCAGCAAAAGGACTTTCCAAACAGTGTCCCTGTACCCTGGATAATTCACAGAACGCAATGTCAACAGTTTATGTAGGGACTTTTCCTTTAATAGTAAGTAGTTCTTATGAAAACTGTCCAAAAAATAACAATGCTAAATAATTCAGGGAATTATGAGGAGGAAAAAAGTTTGAGAGAGGTTAGGATCACAGTGGATAGTGGTAGTTTGAAAGAGGGAGGGAGGAAAAAATAGAGTGGGGGAGTGAATAATTAACAATAAAGGATCTGGGGAAAAAACAAGCTGATGGGAATAAGTTTGTAGAGAGGAAAAAGAGGAGGAGAGAGACAGAGGGAGGGCAACAGGACAACACGACTGAAATGGAAGAAGATGAGAGATAAATATCTCATGAAAATCAGAGGGCTGCTAGACCTCCACAATCACTGTCTCTGATGATGGTGGAGACACTGGAAGCAGCTGACCGCTGTATCCATTCCCACAACAACACCTGCATGTTGATGCCTAATACTCCCAAGGCCATGCTTATCAAAACCCTGCTGTCCTGCATCACTCTGCTCACTGTGACACTCAACTTGTTGGTCGTCATCTCTATCTCCCACTTCAGGCACAGACACTTTTTTTGAAATGTAACAACTAATATTGTGTTTAATTCATGGATGTAAGCTGTGTTTGTTCTGTGCTGTTCTTTGCTAAAATGATTGACTTTAGCTCTTAGTTCACCCACTGGATGCGTTTTTGATTGTGTTCCTAAGAAGCTAAGACAAGCTAGAGATGTCAGTACTTTCACCTAAACATGAAAATGTCATTCTCAGTGAGTTTTTCTTTACAAATGTGTCACAATTACAGCAATCTTGATTAACATATGTGACACCAAACTGCTGTAGTAATTAGTTCATAAAGTGTAGAGCTGATCGATTGACTGAGGTTTATTTGGTATGTAGGCTAGAGTAAATAGTAAAATTTGACTTTTATATTCTGCCTGTATTCTCACAGTAGTTGCTGTGATCTAAACTCATTTGCTCTGAACATGAGGCACTAATCATTATCTCCCCTTCCAGGCAGCTCTACACCCCCACCAATCTCATCCTCCTCTCCCTGGCTGTGTCTGACTTGCTTGTGGGCCTTACGGTGATGCCACTTACAATCTTTTCCCAGCAGTCCTGCATGTTTATTGATAAAATCACTTGCACTTTTTCCTACCTGATGAGCTTCATCCTCACCTCTGCCTCTGTTGGCAGCATGGTGCTCACATCAGTGGACCGCTACGTGGCTATTTGTTACCCTCTGCGCTATTCTTCCATGGTAACAACAAGCAGAGTTAAAGTCTGTGTGTCTGTGTGTTGGTTCTGTTCTGTTGTCTACAACCTTATATTACTGAAAGAACATTTGTTACAAATAGATTTGTCTAATTCCTGCTATGAAGAATGTGTAGTTATCATAAACTACATTACAGGGGCGATAGACCTGGTTCTCACCTTTTTCAGCCCTGTTACTGTGATCATAATTCTCTATATGAGAGTGTTTGTGGTGGCTGTGTCACAGGCACGTGTCATGCGCTCTCAAATTTCAGCTCTCAGATCAAATACTGTGACTGTTAAGAAATCTGAGTTGAGAGCTGCAAGAACGATTGGTATTATCCTTCTTGTGTTTATACTGAGTCTCTGTCCATACTATAGTCCTTCCATAACAGGACAGGACATTACAGGAAGTATAGATTCAATGGCTCAATTTTGGCTGTTTTTTTGTAATTCCACTTTTAATCCTCTGATCTATGCCTTTTTCTATCCCTGGTTTAGAAAATCTGTTAAACTCATCGTCAGCCTTCAGATACTGCAGCCAGGTTCCCGTGAGGGCAAGTTAATGTAGAGATAAACAATATACTGATATACTATAATATACAGAATATAAACGTACTTATTTTATGAGAGTAAATGGATGGGGAATTAAATTTATCAGGTTTTGTCAAAGGTAGGACAAAGAAACTTATCAGAGATGTAAACCACCTTACTTTTGAAACAACCTTCCAGACAGTGACTGATGTGAAGAGTTCTGGATCTTTACAAAGAAAAACTTCCTTTTTCACCCTGAACTCATAACATAATATGTTAGGTATTTTTCTGCTTGTAGTTCTAGTGTTGAAGGATTTCTTTTGTTTCATTGTTTTACTGAGTTGGGGTATTACCTCAAGAGAGAACCTGAAATCTCTCATTGATTACTTTCTGTCCATTAATGGTACTCTGTGTTTTTTGTGTATATTCAAGATTTCCTTTTGTGCATGAGAATAAATGCTGCTTGAAATATATTTTTGGGATGCTCTAAAGCTTTACATGTGGTAGACTCAGACCTTTTATTTAACTCAATTGGTACGAACAAAGATTTTGTTTGTGTAAAATTTAAAGCAAGAACCAAACAGAAAGTTTCACACAGGAAGAGTATAAAGCATATTCTATAACAACGTTATTGTCACCCAGACGGGCTGCACCTTGTTGTATGTTCCTTCACCAGATTAAAAAATGAACCCACAGTTGTTTCCTCTTACTCGCAGTGGACAGGTGTTGAGCTGCAATGATAAGATGATTTAATGTAACGATAGAAAATTATTAATTATTAAAATTATGCTGTTATGATTAAAATATTATCTTTGAATTTGAGATGTTTCTTAGATGTAATCAGTTTCAGCTTTAGACAGAAAAAAAACTATTTTCTACACTTAAGTTTTCACAGAGGGTTGTTTTAATGTTTCACAGATTTTCTTTTATTCCTTCCTTTCTGCGATTGTTAAAATAAAAGATCTGTTCACAAAATGAGAAGTCACATGGTACATCATAAAGAAAATATACTGCATGGTTTTTAAAAATATTGCTTGATAAATTATCTGTTTATTGTTTACACTACATTTTTAGTTTAACAATCATCCAGAGGATCTAATAACCTCATAAATAAAACAATTTTTGATAAATATAATTTCAGCAATACTTTGTTAGACAGCTAAAATGTCACATGCTGCTATGATACCAGCCACAATTATGAAAATGTATATACGCTATTGCTAACAAAGATTCATAAGAATTCAAATCTAAAGGTTCTCCTCAGGTCTGATCATAATTTATTCGTCATATGTAAGATTTACCCCAAACAGAAGAATTTTGTCATAGCTTTGTTGTTTTAATTATTTTCTTTTTACAGTTTTCCTCCTAAGTTTGTAGAGAGGAAAAATAGGAGGAGAGAGAGAGGGCAACAGGACAACACGACTGAAATAGAAGAAGATGTGAGATAAATATCTCATGAAAATCAGAGGGCTGCTAGACCTCCACAATCACTGTCTCTATAATTCCACTTTTAATCCTCTGATCTATGCCTTTTTCTATCCCTGTTTTAGAAAATCAGTTAAACTCATCGTCAGCCTTCAGATACTGCAGCCAGGTTCCCGTGAGGCCAAGATAATGTAGAGATAAACAATATATACTATAATATACTGAATATAAACGTACTTATTTTATGAGAGTAAATGGATGAGGAAGTAAATGTATCAGGTTTTGTCAAAGGTAGGACAAAGAAACTTATTAGAGATGTAAACCACCTTACTTTTGAAACAACCTTCCAGACAGTGACTGATGTGAAGAGTTCTGGATCTTTACAAAGAAAAACTTCCTTTTTCACCCTGAACTCATAACATAATATGTTAGGTATTTTTCTGCTTGTAGTTCTAGTGCTGAAGGATTTCGTTTGTTTTGCTGTTTTACTGTAATTTAATGAGTTGGGGTATAATCTCAAGAGAGAACCTGAAATCTCTAAACCACCTTACTTTTGAAACAACCTTTTCCAGTGAAGATGATGGAGTTTTAACACCCTTAGTTTAGAAAAACCATTAAATATGCAGTCTTCCAAAGGTATCTCTTTAGCGTGTTGATTTGGAATAGAAGTATTAGCCCTTATCCACTGAGTCATTGTCAGAATAAATCACATTTCTAGTCTATTATCAGTGGTAAAAGCAAATATAATTCTGACAAAACATTGCTGTGAAATCAAGGTAAAAGGCCAAATTAATTAACAGGAAACTGCAGAGTGAAAGTCCGAAGTGTGGATGTTGTCATGGAGATGCATAACATTAAATGCTGCTTGAAACAATATTTTGGGGGTGCTCTGAACTTGTTAGCCATTAACCATCAAAGCAAGAACAAACCATTTAGGTACTATATTGTTTCACAATTGAAGAGTATGAAGCATATTCTATAACAGCTTTATTGTTACCAAGACAGGCTGCTGTAGGCCATAGCTTTTATTTCCTGTATTTTCCTGGTCTGCACCTTGTTGTATGTTCCTTCACCAGATTAAAAAAATGAACCCAGCAAAAGGACTTTCCAAACAGTGTCCTTGTACCCTGGATAATTCACAGAACGCAATGTCAACAGTTTATGTAGGGACTTTTCCTTTAATAGTAAGTAGTTCTTATGAAAACTGTCCAAAAAATAACAATGCTAAATAATTCAGGGAATTATGAGGAGGAAAAAAGTTTGAGAGAGGTTAGGATCACAGTGGATAGTGGTAGTTTGAAAGAGGGAGGGAGGAAAAAATAGAGTGGGGGAGTGAATAATTAACAATAAAGGATCTGGGGAAAAAACAAGCTGATGGGAATAAGTTTGTAGAGAGGAAAAAGAGGAGGAGAGAGACAGAGAGAGGGCAACAGGACAACACGACTGAAATGGAAGAAGATGAGAGATAAATATCTCATGAAAATCAGAGGGCTGCTAGACCTCCACAATCACTGTCTCTGATGATGGTGGAGACACTGGAAGCAGCTGACCGCTGTATCCATTCCCACAACAACACCTGCATGTTGATGCCTAATACTCCCAAGGCCATGCTTATCAAAACCCTGCTGTCCTGCATCACTCTGCTCACTGTGACACTCAACTTGTTGGTCGTCATCTCTATCTCCCACTTCAGGCACAGACACTTTTTTTGAAATGTAACAACTAATATTGTGTTTAATTCATGGATGTAAGCTGTGTTTGTTCTGTGCTGTTCTTTGCTAAAATGATTGACTTTAGCTCTTAGTTCACCCACTGGATGCGTTTTTGATTGTGTTCCTAAGAAGCTAAGACAAGCTAGAGATGTCAGTACTTTCACCTAAACATGAAAATGTCATTCTCAGTGAGTTTTTCTTTACAAATGTGTCACAATTACAGCAATCTTGATTAACATATGTGACACCAAACTGCTGTAGTAATTAGTTCATAAAGTGTAGAGCTGATCGATTGACTGAGGTTTATTTGGTATGTAGGCTAGAGTAAATAGTAAAATTTGACTTTTATATTCTGCCTGTATTCTCACAGTAGTTGCTGTGATCTAAACTCATTTGCTCTGAACATGAGGCACTAATCATTATCTCCCCTTCCAGGCAGCTCTACACCCCCACCAATCTCATCCTCCTCTCCCTGGCTGTGTCTGACTTGCTTGTGGGCCTTGCAGTGATGCCACTTACAATTTTTGCCCAGCAGTCCTGCATGTTTTTTGATAAAATCACTTGCACTTTTTCCTACCTGATGAGCTTCATCCTCACCTCTGCCTCTGTTGGCAGCATGGTGCTCACATCAGTGGACCGCTACGTGGCTATTTGTTACCCTCTGCACTATTCTTCCATGGTAACAACAAGCAGAGTTAAAATCTGTGTGTCTGTGTGTTGGTTCTGTTCTGTTGTCTACAACCTTATATTACTGAAAGAACATTTGTTACAAATAGATTTGTCTAATTCCTGCTATGAAGAATGTGTAGTTATCATAAACTACATTACAGGGGCTACAGACCTGGTTTTCACCTTTTTCAGCCCTGTTACTGTGATCATAATTCTCTATATGAGAGTGTTTGTGGTGGCTGTGTCACAGGCACGTGTCATGCGCTCTCAAATTTCAGCTCTCAGATCAAATACTGTGACTGTTAAGAAATCTGAGTTGAGAGCTGCAAGAACGATTGGTATTATCCTTCTTGTGTTTATACTGAGTCTCTGTCCATACTATAGTCCTTCCATAACAGGACAGGACATTACAGGAAGTATAGATTCAATGGCTCAATTTTGGCTGTTTTTTTGTAATTCCACTTTTAATCCTCTGATCTATGCCTTTTTCTATCCCTGGTTTAGAAAATCTGTTAAACTCATCGTCAGCCTTCAGATACTGCAGCCAGGTTCTCGTGAGGCCAAGTTAATGTAGAGATAAACAATGTACTGATATACTATAATATACAGAATATAAACGTACTTATTTTATGAGAGTAAATGGATGGGGAATTAAATTTATCAGGTTTTGTCAAAGGTAGGACAAAGAAACTTATCAGAGATGTAAACCACCTTACTTTTGAAACAACCTTCCAGACAGTGACTGATGTGAAGAGTTCTGGATCTTTACAAAGAAAAACTTCCTTTTTCACCCTGAACTCATAACATAATATGTTAGGTATTTTTCTGCTTGTAGTTCTAGTGCTGAAGGATTTCTTTTGTTTCACTGTTTTACTGAGTTGGGGTATAACCTCAAGAGAGAACCTGAAATCTCTCATTGATTACTTTCTGTCCATTAATGGTACTCTGTGTTTTTTGTGTATATTCAAGATTTCCTTTTGTGCATGAGAATAAATGCTGCTTGAAATATATTTTTGGGATGCTCTAAAGCTTTACATGTGGTAGACTCAGACCTTTTATTTAACTCAGTTGGTACGAACAAAGATTTTGTTTGTGTAAAATTTAAAGCAAGAACCAAACAGAAAGTTTCACACAGGAAGAGTATGAAGCATATTCTATAACAACGTTATTGTCACCCAGACGGGCTGCACCTTGTTGTATGTTCCTTCACCAGATTAAAAAATTAACCCACAGTTGTTTCCTCTTACTCGCAGTGGACAAGTGTTGAGCTGCAATGATAAGATGATTTAATGTAACGATAGAAAATTATTCATTATTAAAATTATGCTGTTATGATTAAAACATTATCTTTGAATTTGAGATGTTTCTTAGATGTAATCAATTTCAGCTTTAGACAGAAAAAAAACAATTTTCTACACTTAAGTTTTCACAGAGGGTTGTTTTAATGTTTCACAGATTTTCTTTTATTCCTTCCTTTCTGCGATTGTTAAAATAAAAGATCTGTTCACAAAATGAGAAGTCACATGGTACATCATAAAGAAAATATACTGCATGGTTTTAAAAATATTGCTTGATAAATTATCTGTTTATTTGTTTACACTACATTTTTAGTTTAACAATCATCCAGAGGATCTAATAACCTCATAAATAAAACATTTTTTGATAAATATAATTTCAGCAATACTTTGTTAGACAGCTAAAATGTCACATGCTGCTATGATACCAGCCACAATTATGAAAATGTATATACGCTATTGCTAACAAAGATTCATAAGAATTCAAATCTAAAGGTTCTCCACAGGTCTGATCATAATTTATTCGTCATATGTAAGATTTACCCCAAACAGAAGAATTTTGTCATAGCTTTGTTGTTTTAATTATTTTCTTTTTACAGTTTTCCTCCTAAGTTTGTAGAGAGGAAAAATAGGAGGAGAGAGAGAGGGAGGGCAACAGGACAACACGACTGAAATAGAAGAAGATGTGAGATAAATATCTCATGAAAATCAGAGGGCTGCTAGACCTCCACAATCACTGTCTCTATAATTCCACTTTTAATCCTCTGATCTATGCCTTTTTCTATCCCTGGTTTAGAAAATCGGTTAAACTCATCGTCAGCCTTCAGATACTGCAGCCAGGTTCCTGTGAGGCCAAGATAATGTAGAGATAAACAATGTACTGATATACTATAATATACTGAATATAAACGTACTTATTTTATGAGAGTAAATGGATGAGGAAGTAAATGTATCAGGTTTTGTCAAAGGTAGGACAAAGAAACTTATTAGAGATGTAAACCACCTTACTTTTGAAACAACCTTCCAGACAGTGACTGATGTGAAGAGTTCTGGATCTTTACAAAGAAAAACTTCCTTTTTCACCCTGAACTCATAACATAATATGTTAGGTATTTTTCTGCTTGTAGTTCTAGTGCTGAAGGATTTCTTTTGTTTCACTGTTTTACTGAGTTGGGGTATAACCTCAAGAGAGAACCTGAAATCTCTCCATTGATTACTTTCTGTCCATTAATGGTACTCTGTGTTTTTTGTGTATATTCAAGATTTCCTTTTTAGTGCATGAGAATAAATGCTGCTTGAAACAATATTTTGGGGGTGCTCTGAACTTGTTAGCCATTAACCATCAAAGCAAGAACAAACCATTTAGGTACTATATTGTTTCACAAAGGAAGAGTATGAAGCATATTCTATAACAGCTTTATTGTTACCCAGACAGGCTGCTGTAGGCCATAGCTTTTATTTCCTGTATTTTCCTGGTCTGCACCTTGTTGTATGTTCTTTCACCAGATTAAAAAATGAACCCAGCAAAAGGACTTTCCAAACAGTGTCCCTGTACCCTGGATAATTCACAGAACACAATGTCAACAGTTTATGTAGGGACATTTCCTTTAATAGTAAGTAGTTCTTATGAAAACTGTCCAAAAAATAACAATGCTAAATAATTCAGGGAATTATGAGGAGGAAAAAAGTTTGGGAGAGGTTAGGATCACAGTGGATAGTGGTAGTTTGAAAGAGGGAGGGAGGAAAAAATAGAGTGGGGGAGTGAATAATTAACAATAAAGGATCTGGGGAAAAAACAAGCTGATGGGAATAAGTTTGTAGAGAGGAAAAAGAGGAGGAGAGAGACAGAGAGAGGGCAACAGGACAACATGACTGAAATGGAAGAAGATGAGAGATAAATATCTCATGAAAATCAGAGGGCTGCTAGACCTCCACAATCACTGTCTCTGATGATGGTGGAGACACTTGAAGCAGCTGACCGCTGTATCCATTCCCACAACAACACCTGCATGTTGATGCCTAATACTCCCAAGGCCATGCTTATCAAAACCCTGCTGTCCTGCATCACTCTGCTCACTGTGACACTCAACTTGTTGGTCGTCATCTCTATCTCCCACTTCAGGCACAGACACTTTTTTTGAAATGTAACAACTAATATTGTGTTTAATTCATGGATGTAAGCTGTGTTTGTTCTGTGCTGTTCTTTGCTAAAATGATTGACTTTAGCTCTTAGTTCACCCACTGGATGAGTTTTTGATTGTGTTCCTAAAAATCTAAGACAAGCTAGAGATGTCAGTACTTTCACCTAAACATAAAAATGTCATTCTCAGTGAGTTTTTCTTTATAAATGTGTCACAATTACAGCAATCTTGATTAACATATGTGACACCAAACTGCTGTAGTAATTAGTTCATAAAGTGTAGAGCTGACTGATTGACTGATGTTTATTTGGTATGTAGGCTAGAGTAAATAATAAATAGTTGACTTTTATATTTTGCCTGTATTCTCACAGTAGTTGCTGTGATCTAAACTCATTTGCTCTGAACATGAGGCACTAATCATTATCTCCCCTTCCAGGCAGCTCTACACCCCCACCAATCTCATCCTCCTCTCCCTGGCTGTGTCTGACTTGCTTGTGGGCCTTGCGGTGATGCCACTTACAATTTTTGCCCAGCAGTCCTGCATGTTTTTTGATAAAATCACTTGCACTTTTTCCTACCTGATGAGCTTCATCCTCACCTCTGCCTCTGTTGGCAGCATGGTGCTCACATCAGTGGACCGCTACGTGGCTATTTGTTACCCTCTGCACTATTCTTCCATGGTAACAACAAGCAGAGTTAAAATCTGTGTGTCTGTGTGTTGGTTCTGTTCTGTTGTCTACAACCTTATATTACTGAAAGAACATTTGTTACAAATAGATTTGTCTAATTCCTGCTATGAAGAATGTGTAGTTATCATAAACTACATTACAGGGGCTACAGACCTGGTTTTCACCTTTTTCAGCCCTGTTACTGTGATCATAATTCTCTATATGAGAGTGTTTGTGGTGGCTGTGTCACAGGCACGTGTCATGCACTCTCAAATTTCAGCTCTCAGATCAAATACTGTGACTGTTAAGAAATCTGAGTTGAGAGCTGCAAGAACGATTGGTATTATCCTTCTTGTGTTTATACTGACTTTCTGTCCATACTTCAGTCCTTCCATAACAGGACAGGACGCTACAGGAGGGATAGATTCAGAAGCTCAACTTTGGCTGTTTTTTTGTAATTCCACTTTTAATCCTCTGATCTATGCCTTTTTCTACCCCTGGTTTAGAAAATCTGTTAAACTCATCGTCAGCCTTCAGATACTGCAGCCAGGTTCCTGTGAGGCCAAGATAATGTAGAGATAAACAATGTACTGATATACTATAATATACAGAATATAAACATACTTATTTTATGAGAGTAAATGGATGGGGAAGTAAATTTATCAGGTTTTGTCAAAGGTAGGACAAAGAAACTTATTAGAGATGTAAACCACCTTACTTTTGAAACAACCTTCCAGACAGTGACTGATGTGAAGAGTTCTGGATCTTTACAAAGAAAAACTTCCTTTTTCACCCTGAACTCATAACATAATATGTTAGGTATTTTTCTGCTTGTAGTTCTAGTGTTGAAGGATTTCTTTTGTTTTGCTGTTTTACTGTAATTTAATGAGTTGGGGTATAACCTCAAGAGAGAACCTGAAATCTCTAAACCACCTTACTTTTGAAACAACCTTTTCCAGTGAAGATGATGGAGTTTTAACACCCTTAGTTTAGAAAAACCATTAAATATGCAGTCTTCCAAAGGTATCTCTTTAGCGTGTTGATTTGGAATAGAAGTATTAGCCCTTATCCACTGAGTCATTGTTAGAATAAATCACATTCCTTGTCTATTATCAGTGGTAAAAGCAAATATAATTCTGACAAAACATTGCTGTGAAATCAAGGTAAAAGGCCAAATTAATTAACAGGAAACTGCAGAGTGAAAGTCCGAAGTGTGGATGTTGTCATGGAGATGCATAACATTAAATGCTGCTTGAAACAATATTTTGGGGGTGCTCTGAACTTGTTAGCCATTAACCATCAAAGCAAGAACAAACCATTTAGGTACTATATTGTTTCACAAAGGAAGAGTATGAAGCATATTCTATAACAGCTTTATTGTTACCCAGACAGGCTGCTGTAGGCCATAGCTTTTATTTCCTGTATTTTCCTGGTCTGCACCTTGTTGTATGTTCCTTCACCAGATTAAAAAAATGAACCCACAGTTGTTTCATTTTACTCGCAGTGGACAGATGCTGAGCTGCAATGATTAGGCAACTACTTTGATAATTGAATATTTTAAAGGGGTAAAGAATAATTCTCTTTGGATTTTAGATGTTTTATAGACCAAATAATTAATCCAGAAAATAATAAAAAATTAAACGATAATCAGTTTCAGCCCTAGACAGAAAAAAAAAACAATTTTCTACACTTAAGTTTTCACAGAGGGTTGTTTTAATGTTTCACAGAGTTTCTTTTATTCCTTCCTTTCTGGGATTGTTTAAAAAAAGATCTGTTCACAAAATGAGAAGTCACATGGTACATCATAAAGAAAATATACTGCATGGTTTTAAAAATATTGCTTGATAAATTATCTGTTTATTTGTTTACACTACATTTTTAGTTTAACAATCATCCAGAGAATCTAATAACCTCAAAAATAAAACCATTTTTGATAAATATAATTTCATGCCACATGCTGCTATGATACCAGCCACAATTATGAAAATGTATATACGCTATTGCTAACAAAGATTCATAAGAATTCAAATCTAAAGGTTCTCCTCAGGTCTGATCATAATTTATTCGTCACATGTAAGACGTACCCCAAACAGAAGAATTTTGTCATAGCTTTGTCGTTTTAATTACTTTCTTTTTACAGTTTTCCTCCTAAAGTTCTTCGAGATTGAGCCGGTAACAATTCTGTTATGGATGCTACAGAGTGAAGAAGATAAACATATAACCCATATGGTGGAATTTCTGCTGAGTCCAGTGTCTATTTAAGTGGATCTGTGGTGTTTCATTAGGAGGCACCAGTGGTTGTGCACATCGGCATGGAGTAGTTGCTTTGGTTGATGGCGTTTATGGCTGCCAGCCTGATGCAGTAGGTGGTCCAGGGCTTGAGGTCAGTCTCTATGTAAAAATTACCTTCCACGTTTCTCACTCTAGGAGGCTGATTGGCCTGCTGTTCCTCCTCAATCACAAGCGTGTACTCAGTTGCATCCCTCACTGTCTTCCATCCCACAAACAGGGAAACTCCACTTACTGTTACATTCAGTCCTTCTGGGGCTTCAAGACCTGAGAGCCAGAGAGAAAGAGAGCAAGAGCGAGAAAGATGGGTAAGAAATGAACAGTTGTTTAATAGTACAGGCCTATGATGAGTTCAGATTCATAACTATGTACAACACTATCTCTAGGTCATATAATAATATTAGACTTACCTCTGTCTAAACGGGAAAAGACTTCAGTGGCCCTCAAATCTCTTCTTCTGCGAGATCGTACTGGACCTGAGGAAGATGACAAATGTGTTTAAAAGGGCAATATAGAGAAAAAAGGGATTCAATGAAACATACATACAAAATGGCTTTTGTATAGTGCAAGCTATAGGCTCAACCCAGTCTCTTATTTCAGAAAGAATGAACAGTAACAAGTCATATTTATCAGATCGCTCACATTTTAGATATGTTAACGATGAATCTTCAATAAATACTACAGTTAGTCATGGAGTTCCACAAGGTTCTGTGCTTGGACCAATACTATTTAATTTATATATGCTCCCTTTAGGCAACATCATTAGGAATCACTCCATTAACTTTCACTGTTATGCAGATGATACGCAGTTATATCTATCAATCAAGCCCGATGAAATTAATCAATTATCTAAATTACAAACATGTCTTAAGGACATAAAATCCTGGATGAGCTGCAATTTTCTGATGTTAAACTCAGAAATTCTTGTTCTTGGCCCCAAAAACCTTAGAGACTCAATGTCTAAAGATATAGTTACTCTAGATGGCATTACCTTGGCCTCTAGCACCACTGTCAGGAATCTTGGAGTTATCTTTGATCAGGATTTGTCATTTAACTCCCACATAAAGCAGACCTCTAGGACTGCCTTCTTTCATTTACGTAATATTACAAAAATTAGACACATACTATCACAGACAGAGGCAGAAAAACTAATCCATGCATTTGTTACTTCAAGGCTGGATTACTGCAACTCTTTATTATCAGGTTGCCCCAATAAGTCCATTAAAACGCTCCAATTAATTCAGAACGCTGCAGCACGAGTACTGACAGGAACTAGAAAAAGAGATCACATCTCTCCTGTACTAGCTTCTCTGCATTGGCTCCCTGTAAAATGTAGAATAGAATTTAAAATCCTCCTCCTCACCTTTAAAGCTCTTCATGGTCAGGCCCCTTCATATCTTAAAGAGCTCATAGTACCCTATTACCCCTCTAGAACACTACGTTCTCTGAATGCTGGGCTACTTGTGGTTCCTATAGTCTCTAAAAAGTAGAACAGGAGCCAGAGCCTTCAGTTACCAAGCTCCTCTCCTGTGGAACCAGCTTCCAGTTGTGGTTCGGGAGGCAGACACCCTCACCACATTTCAAGAGTAGGCTTAAGACATTCCTCTTTGATAAAGCTTATAGTTAGGACTGGATCAGGTGAGTCCTGAACCATCCCTTAGTTATGCTGCTATAGGCCTAGACTATCGGGGGGATTTCCCATGGTGCACTGAGCTCCTCTCTTCCTCTCTCTCTCTTTCTGCACTCATTCATGTCCCATTAATGCATGTTACTAACTTCACTTCTTCCCCGGAGTTCTTGTGCTTTCTCGTCTCGCAGGTTCTTATCGATCCTGGTGGAGCCTCCTGCCATGGTCCTGCTAGATTGCCATTGCCAATACTGTTGTTGCTGTGCACCTGTCTGTCTGTCTGTCTCTCTCTCTCTCTCTCTCTCTCTCTCTCTCTCTCTCTCACCCCAACTGGTCGAGACAGACGACCACCCACCTAGAGCCGGAGGATCTGTCCTAGGTTTCTGCCTTTTAACAGGCAGTTTTTCCTTGCCCTTGTCGCCAAGTGCTTGCTCATGGTGGTACTGTTGGGTCTCTGTAATTAATGTTTTAAAGAGTTCGGTTCGGAGACCTGCTCTATTTGAAAAGTGTCCTGAGATAACTTCTGTTATGAATTGGCGCTATACAAATAAAATTGAATTGAATTGAATTGAATTGAATTAACAGTTACCAATAAAAGGTAAGCCTACTACTTCTTTGCGTTACTCAAACAGACAAGAATGTTGACATTTTTAGACAACAAGGAATCCATCCATTTCGGCGTCTCACGCTCGCCATCCACTCAAAACGTAACGTCTGCTACTCTTAAACAAGTGTGTGCAGCGTGCCTGTTGTTTTGTTTCCGGTCTAGCTAGATCCGGTGTGGTGTTGTAGTTTTTCTAACGTTACTAGTTGTTGCAACAGCATGTGAAAAAAACTACAAAGCGTGCTAGTCGTTAATTTTGCGATAAAGAAATTGAAGCCGTTAAAAGGGGTTTGCGTTAACGCCATTAATAACGTGTTAAACTGACAGCACTAGAATTTATGCAAAAACCCATATCCACTATCACACAGTCCTTTGGTTGGTTTGTTGGCTTTCATACCACATACGAATCAGACTCCTGTACAGATAGAGACCTCCATTTCAGGTCGTCTCAACCCAGCGTCAACACATTAGGTGTGAAATAACCCTTATGTACTCAAACCACACTGGACATTTAAGAATTAGACAAAGTAAACAGCTAAAATTGAACAATACGACGTGTACTATGTAGTGCTCCAGATGTTTTCGCCATTAGTCTGACCTGTAATATTTCGGCTAGGGAGACTCTCTCCCTCTGCATTGCTGGCTGTCACTTCAGTGGCACCAGGATCGAAGTTAGTCAGCTGGCAGGAGAGCCCAGTGGTGCTGCAAAGCTCAACACGGCCTGCCCCCGACCCATTGTAGACAGTGTACGTCATGGCAAACACAGATGCATCCCAGGAAAGCACAGCAGATGCTCTGTTACCAGTGTATTTCACATTCTGTGGAGCACAGGGGACTGGGAAAGAAACAGTGAAAATGCTGTTAGCAAGTGTTTCCATAATCTTTTTTCTTCACATAAACCTAAACCCCAAAAATGATATTATATTTTTGTGTTCATAAAGGTGACTAAAAACAAAAAAAGGCATTTAAAAAGTTACCTGTGACTCCAGTAAAGACACTGGACGGCTCGCTGATCCCAGCTGAGTTTCTGGCGCGCACAGTAAGGTTATAAGCTGTGCTGCAAGGCATTGGGAACTCAAAGTATCTCCTGGGCCACCAGTAGGAAGAGAACTCCATCATGGTCTGTGGGTTGTTTTGGATGTGACCGGTTATCTCTACAAGGTACTGAACATCAGAACAATTGACGCTGTCCCATGTTATCATGGCCCAGTGATTTTGGTCTATCTTCTGCATTCTGACGTTCAGAGCAGTCGGAGGGCATGGAGCTGAGGAGGAAAGAGATTTAGAAAGTACTTTACCAGTGGAAATAGCCCAGTTGCATTTACACCAGCATACCACTTGTAAATTTCCTTACTCACTGGAACTTCTTAGTAGGATAAACTGATTTACAACATCTTTACCTCTAAATTAGCTAAACTAAATTACAGGGAAGTAGTTCTCGACCTGATTATTGTATTATACCTGAGAAAAATCTCGCTCAGCATCCCTGAGGCCTGAAGCCTTAAAAATGTGTTTAACGAGAAAAAAAAAAAAAATTCTTGCAATTACATTGGACTAGAACTGACACCTAAACACTCAACAATTATTTGCGCTGAATTAACACATTGGAGCATGGTTAACTGTGAACTGCGATAGTTTAATTTTTATGCGTACCTGCTCCCGCCTGCAGAGGTGCACTGAACGAGCTGTTGCAGACGCCGTTAGAGGCTTCAACAGAGAAATTGTAAATGTCACCACATTCCAGGCCTTCGATGGTGCAGAAGGTGTCAGTGCTGTTACAGTAGAGCGCGTCTCCATCCATAGATTGGGCGCAGCCAAAGTACTCCACGGCCCCATCAATGGCATTCCAAGACAGCATGGCAGACTCGGTCTCACAATCAATGACCACTGCGACACCGGTGGGCTCACAGGGCACTGCGAGGAGAGAGAGAAAAGACCTCCTGTCAGAGATTCGAGCAGGACTGCAGTTTCTGCAGGTTTAGGGATGATTTTAATGAAATAAATAAAATAAAATACAATCATATCAAGAGAGGTGACTAGTTAGTGTGAAATCCAGTGCTTAGTCTAGTCCTACCCACTCTACTTAAACATGTGTCTTAGTGGTAATGTAACCAAACTGAGTGAGACAGTGCATATTGTGAAAACTATTGATTAGTACAAGAAAGAACAATCACCAAACAGTCACCATGAACTGATTATTAATGAATTGAATAGAAATAAAAAACATTTATTGCAGAATTTTGCATCATCATAGAAGATGTCTGAGTGTCCTGATTAAATACACTAAATTAAATTGTGTTATCCTTTACTTTCTACCTGTTCTGAAGGATGAGATGCTGGGCGGGCTGGTGCAATTCTCTCCAGTGGCGGTGATAGTTAGATTGTAGTGCTGTCCACAGTGCAGATCAGTCAGGGTGCAGTTGTTCACCAAGGTGTTGCAGCTCGCCACATGTCCATCCATTCCTGTGGCCATCAGTAGATAGGATGTAGCCACAGGGGAGTGTCGCCACGTCACTGTGGCTCCTCTATCCTCACATGAAGGTACCACTGTCACATTGTCTGGGACACAGGGCGCTGAAGGGGACAGAATAACCATAAACATTTCTACAGGTATATGTTTTGTTCATTTGTTTCTGTATCCTGTACCCTGGGGTCCACATAAGAATTTAATTGACCAGTGACCATACAGATCTCACAGTTACACAAAATGGTGAAATGTAACTAAGTACTTGTACTTCACATTTCCTTTTTATACGACTTTATACTCATTACTTCCATTAGATCTGAGAGGCAAATATTTTACTTTTTACTCCACTACATTGGTCTGACAGCTTAAATTACTTTTCAGATTAACATTTTTCACACCCTTCCTGTCCAGTGAAACCCATGTATCTCAAAATGTGCTGATTTTGAATTTTTCTAAAATTAAAAGAGAATAAAAATAATAAAAATAAACTAAAGAATTACGTGTTCCTTTATGGGTTAAGAAAATTATCCTACTACTTAAGGTAAACTATTTAAAATCCTCTTGGATTAGCTTGAAAATGCATTGTCACACAGCTGAAAACAGGCAGATTTTTCTGAGCTCAAGAAAACATTTCCTATAGATATGCGGTTCTCATAAGACAGCAATGCTACAAACATATGATGATCCTATTGAATATGATGCATTGTTGTAGATTAAAGTACAAAACAGTATATAAAGTAGTTCAAATGAGCTCAACCTTAAACCACTACGGCGCTAAAATGCGTCATGCACATTAATGCAGAAGTAATATTAATCGAAAAGCATAATTTATAATAGTCAAACACTGACAAGGACTATTTCACTGCACAATGACACATAAAATGCAGTATGTGTACATACATACATACATACATACAACTTCAGTGTGATAAAGTAAATATACTGCTGAGGTGAAAAATACCTGTTTTAATCTTCTTTGGTGGGCTTCTGAGATTGCTGCACTTATCAGAAGAAGTCGATACTATGATGCTGTAATGCATGTCACAGAGGGCATCCTGGAGTTCACATGAGGTGGACGAGCTGTTACACGAGATGAGCTTTTGGTCGTCGCCCTCACCAGTCACCAGGTAGAGGGGGGTGTTGTCCATCATCTCCCATTCAACCAGGATTGTGTCGCTGTTGCATTGTGTCATTGCACTAATGGATGTTAGAGCACACGGACCTACAGGACAGGACACATATGAAAAATAACATAGCTTCAGAAAACACAAGCAGAATGAAATGTTTTGGAATACCTTGGAAGGCATTTAAGAACACTTAAGCATTGTTTCCTTCTCATTTCTTGTTCTACTTACTCTTTCAGAGAGGGGAAAAAAAGGCTTTATTGGTGCTTTAATCCTTCTTTATAGACCAAGATGAGATGAGATGAGATACTACTTAATTCCTTTGAATATCTATGATGCTTCTTTCCCTTTGAGTCTCCCAGTCAACAGGTGTCAGCTAATAATCAAAGTCTCTTTAAATCTCAGTCTGCTCTTTCACCTGAGTGGTTCTAATATTGAATTGTATGCAGTTTATTATATAGTTCAAAATAGAAGCACAGAGTAAATCCTTTACCACAGATGACCACTTTCAACTAGGAATGTAAAGATATATAAAGATATATATATATATACAAATATGTGAAGATTCAGTTCGGTGAGAGGAAAAATGAATTGTCATATTCCTTTCAAACAATAAAGGGTGCCTACTACTACTATCTACTTTTGACTTTGCTTGTGCAACGTCCTATGTCACTCGTGTGCTTGATCAAGATGCAAAGATCAGTTTCACTTTTAGAAAAAAACCAAAGGAAATACGCATTGATTTGTACCGTTTATACCCTATAATTAATTATATAATTTGATAATATAAGGAAAAATATATTTCTTACTTCTTTGGGGAAAAAATCCTATTGTGTATTTAGAGTAAACATTTTTGCTGAATACCTGTCTGAAGCTCAAAGGTGGTGCTCTGATTGCTCTGGCAGTATTTGTTGACAGCAGTGACGTGAAAGGTGTAGAGCGTTGCACATTTCAGATCTGGAACATTGCAGGGAGAGGAGCCGGTAGTGCAGCTGGAGTTGTGACCTCCGACACCTTCAGCCAGCACAGAGTAGCTGAGGGCTCCTTCTGACGTGTCCCACGTCACCCAGGCAGAGTTTGTTACACAGTCCAGATGGCCTTCGGGGTTCCTGGGCACACATGGAGCTGTGGAGGGTGAAACAGAAAGGAATGAGCATGTAGTTTGGGTACTGTAAGAATAATTTTTACGGGATATGTTATTATTCTGAGGGAATAAAAGGGGGTTCTGTACTTAAAGAAGCTCCCTTAATGAAGTTTTATGTGATCCGTCGTGGAGTGCCCTAATCCCCCTCCCAGTATTGAGGCAATATATATTTAGCTCCACACTTTATTTCTTATTTCCTCCTCTGTTTAAATACATTATCCAGTGGCATAGGGAGGGTAGAAACTATTATTTTTGTCAAATACCATAACCTGTGTCCAACCTATGTCTCATATATATGTAAGCATAAGCATATTCAATTTCTATCAGTTATTATAGTTTTGGGGAAAATATGCTCTAAAATTAAAACAGCATTTTTATTTTAAAACAGCTATATTAAAAACTGTTATTGTAACACTCCATCCCTACAGGTGATGCAGAAATTGCACCATACATATGTAGCAGCTATTACTTTTCTCTCCTATACCACATTGTGAAGAATGAATGAATTTGAAGTTGCAAAGTCAGTTCCAGTGCATCACGTCAATTTACCTGAGGAGGTCTCTACGACAGCACTCAGCTTACTCTCACATCTATCTCTCACAGACATCACAGTAACGTTGTAGGTCTGTCCACATGGTAGATTGCTTATGGAGCAGGTGGTGCCACTGGAGTTACAGTAGAGTCTCGCCCCGGTGTTGCTCACTGCGGCCACATGGAAGTACTGGGCATCTGGGTTGGGGGACCAGGACACGGCCATGACACCATCAGCACACTGTGAATCAACAGTCACATGGTGGGGCGGACAGGGGGCTGAGGAGAGAAAGAGAGGAGAGAGGCGGCTTAATATAGTATAGGTAAACTACCCAGGAGATTTCTCCATTGAGGAAAAAAACACTTAACAATAAATAATACTCATCACTATTCATATTTGGTCCACCATGTTTACAATACCTGTCCGCACGTAAGCCTTATCGCTCTCCACACTGGAACAGGACTCATCCTGACCGAACACGCTCACATTGTAGGTCTGTCCACACTGCATGTTGCTCAGATCACAGTGGGTCATGGTGTTGTTACATTCAGTCTGGTGGTTTCCGTCGGCTGTAACACCCACTGCACGATAGGAGAGAGCTCCACTGGCCTGCTCCCATGTCACTGCAGCAGAGTTTGAGTGGCACAGTAGGGACGCCTTAACGTTGGTTGGCCTGCAAGGCACTGGGAGACAGAAAGAGGACAGACAAGCAGTAAGATGATAGAGTTCATGTGGCTTAATAATATACAGTATATGAGAGATGAGACAATTCACACATTAACACATCAACAACAACACATTTGAGATGAAAACATACCTATAATGAATATTATATTCAGAGGTTTTTTTTGTAAGTCAAGCAAAATTCTTGGCGTGAGTATACCAAATGTATTATTATTTGGGACTGACCTCCCTTTACTTGTAACAACATCATTTTCATATTAGACTATCGACTGTTGTCATGGGTAATGAAATAAACCTTCTATAATTGAACCAACAATGTCGGACAATCCAAAAACTTAAACCATCTGACTCAACTCAAGAAAAATGACACTTCTCATACTGAAAACCTTTTACACTTACCTGACTGCAGGTTGAGGTAGGCGTGGCTGTTGTCACACCGTCCATCCTCAGCTGTCAGTGTCAGGTTGTAGAGCTGGCCACAATGCATGTTGGGTAGCTGGCAACTGGTTTCGGTGCTGTTACACATGGCCTTGTGACCATCGGGCCCGAAAGCTTGGACCATGTATGAGGACACAGCGTCTCCTTCCTCCCACGACACAACGCCTGTGTCACTACTGCACACCATCTCTGCTGTTACGTTCTGTGGTACGCACGGCACTACGGACAGACAGGCAGACAGACGGGTATGAGTGAAGTCAGGTATAAATAGAGATTTAATATAACATGGCGATTATAATGAAATCTTCACTCTACCTGTGTTGAGCTCCACAGCAGAGCTTTCAGCGCTGCTACACTGCTCATTTAAAGCACTAACAGTGATGGAGTAGTTGAGGCCACACAGCAAGTCATCAAACTGGCACGTTGTGTCACTGCTGTTGCACGTTGATGCGTACCCGCCGTTGCCCTGGGCAACTGTGGTGTACGATAATGCCCCTTTGCTGGGCTCCCAAGAGACCGCCACAGCACCAGACTCACAAACCACCTGGGCCTCCACCTGCTGTGGTACACACGGCACTGCAAGGACACAGCGAGAGAAATATTGATATTAAAAAATGATTCAGGATCAATGTGGGTTCAGTAATCATCCGTGCAAATCGAGAACCAACAATTGCTCAATCTGTGACATAGATATCTATCGAGGGCTCAACAAGTTAAATCTCTTTGGTTATCCTTACCTGCATGCAGCTGTGTAATACTGCTCTGCGAGACATTGCACATGCTGTTAACAGCAATCACACTGATGTTGTAGGTGAAGCCACACATGAGGTCTGGGAGGACGCAGGACTGTGAGTCTGTCTCGCAGCCGGATTCGTGTTCTTGTACACCGAAGGCTTGGACAATGTAGGAATCAGCCCCCATGCTGGCCTGCCACTCTATGCGGGCTGTGTTGGTAGAGCAGTCCAGCACAGGTTCAACATCTTCGGGGGGACAAGGCACTGGAGGAGGGAAGGGGAAGCGAGAGGCAAAAAAATCACTGAGGAGGTTTTACCTCCGTGTATCAGTGTAGAGGATGGTTTGAAGTGTGCATGTGTGTGATATTCATCAAAAAAAATTCCAGGGATTTTTCCAGTTTTTGTTTTTGTCTGTTCAAACTGGCTTCCATATTTAACAGTAAACAATGTCCTCTTGCTCCAAGTACACAAACACAAATTAGCTGCTGCTGAGTTCATCATCAGTACAGAAAAATAAATAGATTTAAATACTGTTGTTTATTTACAGTTTTTGTTTTATTGTATCTTTTTGACTGTTTTCAAAATAAACACAAAATTAATTTCTGTGTTTATGTATGTACTAAACACACCGTTGTCACACTTTAATTTTAACTACTACAGATCAGTAAAACAAGATTTTCAGTGGGTGTTACATTACCAAAAAAAAAAAGTATTTATAATCCATGTCCTACTAGTCTTAAATTTACAGATTAACGGTGCTTTTTTGAGAGCTCACCTGACTCCACCTGCAAACTGGTGCTTGGAAGGCTGCTGCAGTTCTCATTTGAGGCCACAGTTTTCACATTATAGGTCTGGCCACACTGCAGGTCCTGCAGCTCGCAGTTGGTGAAGTTGGAGCTGCAGGTGACGACATGGCCGCTAGAGGCCCGGCCTGTTGCGGTGTAACTCAGGGCACCATCAGCAAAGGCCCAATCCAAGATCGCAGAGTTGGTGAAGCAGTCCAGAACCACTGAACCAATGTCAGGTATGCATGGAACTGAGAGAAGGAGGGAGGAAACAGAGAGCTGGAGTAACTTCCAACACCAGTGAATAGCAATAAGATAGTGACACATTCACATGTAAAGATTCATGTCCATCCAGTTGTTCTACCTGATTTGAACTTGATAGCAGGGCTGGGTAAACTTGAGCAAATATCATCCTCCGCCACCACCTGGACAGAGTAGGACTGGCCGCAGGTCAAGTTGGTCAAGGTACACATTAGGTCTGTACTCTCACAGAGGGACAGGTCTCCCTGCGTGTTCTGAGCTGACACTTTGTAGGACAAAGCGCCCTCGCTGGCACTCCAGGCCACGACAGACTGATTTGTAGCACAGTCTATGTTCACAACCACGTCGGTAGGAACACAAGGCACTGGAGACAAACATGGGGAGGAGATTGTAGTAAGTTTAATTAGCTAATCATGGAGTAATGAGATGTATAAGATCATGTAAACACACCTGAAAAACACCAAACCTTCATTTTAAAGGTTACTGATTCAATTATAGAATGAACTAAGCATACAAAACAATGACAGTAAGACAAAACTGGGACTATTTTGCAGACAATTATAAACATAATCTTGTCTTAAAGAGTGTAGGAAGAGAAATAAATGTTAAAACAACTTGTGTAAGACTTTAAGTTCCACGTTTTAAGACAAGATACATTCAAGATTAATTATAAAGATGCATTTTAACTCATTTTAAATGATTCCTTAACAAACTCAGTAACTAAGGACAATGTTATCTTACTGAAAATTGACCTTTACTTGTTTGTGATGTCTAGGAAGATTAGATGACTATTTGGTTGAGTTAATTTGTTTAGCAATACATTAAAGCAACCTAACACCTCCTGCAGAACACAAAATGTATGAAAAAAGTCGAGAGAATAATGAACTGAATGTCTCACCTGACTGCAGTGTGTTGGCCTCACTGGGGTCAGAGTCACACTTCTCGTTTGAGGCGACGACCGTCACTGTGTAGTTCTGCCCACAGTGGAGATTAGGCATGCCGCACTGCTCGCTGTCAGACCAGCAGCTTTTTGATTGGCCGTCTTCCTGAGTCACTGTGGCGGTGTAGAAGTCTGCTCCAGCAGAACCGGTCCACGAAACCACAGCAATGTTAGAGAGGCAGTTCATGAAGCTGGACACGCCGGTGGGCGGGCAGGGCACTGTGGGAAGGAGGGATATGTTAGAGGGTGATAGAGGTTATACAGAGCTTAAATCTCTCTGAGACTAATATGTAATTTTTGGGATATATAAATAATCTAGATAATGAGTCAAGAAAGATGTTAAATTGATCGTTCGATGGACTTTGCCATCACTGAGTGAATGTGTGTGAAAGGGTGAATGTGGCACGTAGTGTAAAAAAGCGCTTTGAGTGGTCGGAAGACTAGAAAGGCGTTATACAAGTACAGGTCCATTTACCATTTACTATAACCAATACAAAAATGTTAACTAATTATTGTCAATTCAAAAACATAATGAATGAAGTAGTAATTAAATGTTTGCATAACCCTACTGTAATATGTGTGTCCCCCCTTTACTTAAACGGGTCCCTTGAAAACTAGTTTTCAAAACCAGTGTTTTAGGGTATTATGGAACAGTAATCTACCTGACTCAAGCTTTGAAGGATTACTGGGGCGGCTTGTGCACACAGAGTCGGCCGCCTGAACAGACAGGAAGTACTCCTGGCCACACAGGAACTCAGAAATGAAAGTCCAGGTGTCGTTGGTGCTGAGCTGCACTTTGTGGCCACTGTTGGTCTCTGCCGTCACAATGTAAAACTCAGCAGTTTCACTGGCATTCCAGGTCAGCGATCCCACCTTAGAAACAGATAATGATTTAATTTTAATCTCTTTTTATAATAATAATAATAATAAGAATAAGAAACTTAATTTGTCCTCTTTCAAAACAAAAGTGCTTCACTGTGCTGGAATGAGGACAGAATATATTTTTAATATTTCCTGAGGAGGAAGTTTGTAAAAAAAAAAAAGGTAAAATATTCACCTTTGTAGAGCAGTTCAGAGATGATTTCAAGTTCTGAGGGATACAAGGTGCTAAAAACAGAAGAAAATAGTTTCCTTGTGAATAGGGCTGCAAAAATAAGTCTAAAAAGCCTTGTTTTGTCTTACTAGCAGTTATACACGTAAGCAAATTGGAGACACTAGAACTAGAAAATGTTTGACATTTTTGCTTAAATCATTATTTTTTAAAACATTAAAGATTAATTTTCTGTTGATTGCCTAATTGTTTATTTGTGATACTGGTGCTTTTCACATTATATAATTTCAGAGCAACACTGCAAGCCTCATTTCTTTGATCAAATCTTGTTGGAATTCTCTCTAACCTTTAATCTCCTAAGATTGTGCAGAGTTTCCTATTTGTTTATTCATTTTCAGGTTCGGCCTATAGAATTCCGCCTTAAAACTTCCATGTTTTCACACAATGTTCAATGTTAGTTTGATTTTAGGTGATGTACAGTATAAAAGCTTGTTTACCCATTCGTATTGAAGTGCTGTTGCTCGGCATGCTGCTGCACAGGTAGTCGTTGGCAATGATGTGAATGGTGTACTGCTCGCCACAGTGCAGGTCGTCCCAGGAGCAGATGGTGGTGTTTGTGGTGCACATGTGGGTGTGGCCGTCTAGTCCCACCGCGATGGCCATGTAGGACTCCGCCCCATCGCTCTTGGCCCAGCTGACTGAGCCCAGGTTGTTCTCACAGTGTGTAAAGCTCCTTACATGTACAGGCACGCAGGGACCTGAGGAGGAGGTGTATTGTTACATTACTATGAACTTACTATACTGCACAACACATCAGTGAAAACAATAAAATGATACACAAACCTGTCTTGAATACTGCAGGCAGGCTCACAGGGCTTTCACAGCGATCGTCTAGAGCTTTTACAGTGAAGGTAAATACTTGTCCACATGGCAGCTCAGCCTCTATAGTTGTCTCATCGGTTCGGAAAGATGTGACATATCCCAGGTCTCCTGTGGCTGTCACCATGTAGAGTGATGCCCCATCGGCCGCCGACCAATCCAACACCACTGTCTCATTGTCACATGACCCACTGACTGCGAGGCCAGTCGGCTGGCACGGGTCTGGAGGTGGAGGAGTTAGACACAAACATTACACAATGTCCTTAGTGAAATCATATTTTAGTTCAGACCTTTGCTGTTGAATTCATGCTGCAACGATGAAGGTGGACGATCAGTAAACAATTCTATATCTATCTTTATGTAACTAAAAACCCAATCCTTAAATCAACCAATCAATTACCTAATTAGCTAATTAGTTGACGCTAATGAGTCCTACCTGTCTGAACCTCTGCACTGCTGCTGATGTCACTGTAGCACATGTTACTGTACGCAGTTACAGAGAATTCGTAGGTTTCCCCGCAGCGTAAGTTGGGGAACTGGCAGGTGGAGTTGGTGGAGTTGCACTGCAGAGTCATTCCCATGCTGTCGGTGGCAGTTGCCATGTAGAGCTCCACTCCCTCTCCCTCCTCCCAGTACATGTTGGCCGTATTCAGCCCACACTGCAGGTCCACTCCGACACGCAAAGGTGTACAGGGCCCTGAACAACATGTTTAAGTGAATTGAGTATCAACATATAAGAGAAATTTACCCGATAAGAGACTTGAGGTATTTTTACAAGAAATAAACAAATGATAAAATAGTATAAATCAGTGATCCCATTCACTCGACTCTTTACTCTGGGAAGAGATGTTGCTCAACTCACGTGTGCTGAAGGTGGCGTTAGTGTGTGTCTCAGTCTGGCAGTGGTCACTGATGGTTGTGAGGCTGACGTTATACATCTGACCACACTGCAGCTCCGTCAAATCACACTGCTGCCCATCCGTCTCACATGAAGCCCAGCTGCCATCCGCTCCTACAGCAGTCACCATGTAGGAGTCTGCTCCTGTGGCAAAACTCCAGGAGACTTCGGCTGTGTTGTTGTAGCAATCCAGATTAGCTACCACATTTTCAGCCATACAGGGAGCTAGAGACAGAAGGGACAGACACAGGCATGTCAAATATCAAATAGATTCACTGTAGTGGAAAAATGCAGTGTGACAAAGATGATTCAGCATAATATATAATAATAAATGTAATAATAAAATGAAGGCAGTATATGCAGCATACCTGAGGTCAGCAGGACGCTAGTAGAGGTGCTACTGTTGAGCGTCTCTCCGATGGCAATGACGTTGGTGTAGTAGATAGTCCCGCAGTGGAGGCCTTCTACGTTACAGAAAGTGTTGTTAGTGTAGCAGGACAGAGCGTGACCGTCGCGCCCAGCGAGACTGGCCTTGTAGCCCACCGCACCAAAACTGGACTCCCACGACACAGTTCCCGTGTCGTTATCACACTGCACAGTGGTCTGCACGTTGTTTGGAGGGCAAGGCTCTGAGGGAAGAAAAAGAGACAGAACAGGTTAAAGGATGCAAAATGGATGCTGATATTATCTTTCATCTGTACTGCATGATTTAAAAACAAAAATACAATCTTATCTTGAATACTTTGAGATGTAATATTTACATCAACAGATACTGAAAACATGCCAAAAGTGGCACTATTGCTGCAGACGATATATACAAGAAAGTCATCTGACTGTTAAGAACCAAGCAAGTGCAAAGAAAAACGTCCTCTCAAGATGTTTTCTCACCTGTCATAATTGTAACTGTTTCGGTCGAGACCGACAAGTCTTTGCACACGCTGTTGTGTGCGATGACATTGATGCCGTATATCTGGCCACAGACCATATTATACATGGGGCAGTAGGTGTCGTTGGTGATGCAGGAGACCATCAGGCCCTGCTCTGTTACCCCTTCGACTGTGTAGTAGTCAGCACCGGCAGTCATGTCCCACTGCACCTGGCCGATCGTCAAGCTGTACTGAGTGGTGATGTGTTCGGGTATGCAAGGCTCTGGAAGAGAGGATGAGGAAAGCGTTCATGAATAAATACGACCTAGATAAGAAAAAGGTTAATGAAAGTGTTGGAAGTGTTAATGAAATTTAAATAAATCATGCAATACCAGTACTATTACAGTAAAAGTAAGTGGAAATGTGTTCTAGGCTGGGAAATATGATCTGTGATGAAAAAGGTCTGACATGTCTCCAATACACATCAACTTATTGCAGGGAAATCTCTAGAATGTGTAACCTTTTTTCTTTCTAGTTTACTATCTGGTTTCAATATACTGATATTCAATTCTGGAAAATTTTAGTTGATCTGTATTTTACTTTTTTTTTAAGAAAACAAGAATTTTAGGACTTTAGGAATAAAACAACAACAAAGATTATTTTTCAAGATTCCCTCCAGATATGTTTTAAAACATAACACCGCTGACACAAACAGCAGATGAATGTTAAAAACAGCCTTCTAGAGTTTGCACACATCATTCTGCACAGTGAACCTCAAACATCCAAGTAAAGTAACATTACGCAAACCACATTATTGAGTGGAGGGGGAATAAGCATGCATGCAGCTTCGTAAAGCTTGAGCTCACCAGTGACCAATTGTTTTGTCATGTAAGCGATGCTGCTGCAACTCTCTCCCACAGCTTTGACAGAGACAGAGTAGCTCTGGCCACAAAGCATCCCTTCCAGATCACAGTTGGAGGTGTTGACCTTACAGGTGACATTGTGGCCTGACGCAGTGGTGGCCGTGACCATGTACATCAAAGCTCCGTCACTTGGGAACCACCCCACCAGGGCTGTCTGCGTGTAGCAGTCAATCACTGCCTTGATATGTCTCGGCTTACAGGGAACTGAGAAGACAAGTAAGACAGTCATAACATAAGCCGAAAAAATATCTGCTCAAGCTCAAAATCTGTTTCACAATTGACAAGTATTAAGAAATATTTTTGCACAATTACATAGAAAAACATTGGGTTTAAAAGCACACATTTTCATTCCTACCTGAAGGTGTGTCAACCACAGGAGTGGATGGGCTGTCGCAGTATCCATCAGAGGAGACCACGGAGACATGGTAGAGCTGGCCGCAGCTGATTCCTGTCACATTGCAGGAGCCCTCAGTCGTGCCCTGGCAGGTTGTGGTCTGACTGTTACTGTCCTGCACTGTGGCGATGTAGGAGTCGGCTCCTGAACTCTCAGACCAGGATACAATCAGAGAATTGGCCTCACAGTCCACCACAGAGGAGACGTTTGCAGGGGTGCACGGCACTGGTGAGTAGAGAGAAGATGTGATGTGAGAAGGGTATTTGATGACTGAGTACTGAACTGGTTATAAAATATAAAATGTACATAATTCTACATTTAGAGAAATACGGTTATTTTCTTTCTTCCCCAGAATTGGATGAGATTAATACCAGCCTGTTAGCTTAGCTTAGCACAGGTTGGGCGATATTATGTTGTATATGTAAATGTTTGCACATACCAGTCTTGATTGTCACACTATCACTTGGTTTGCTCATGCAGTCTCTGTCCTCTGCCAGCACAGTAGCTGTGTAATACTGCCCACAGCGCAGACCTGTCAGATCACAATGGTTCTCGTGGGAGCTGCACTCGTCCACATGGCCATCGGTACCCACAGCGCTCACTCGGTAAAGCTGTCCGGCTCCCCTGTTGTAGTTCCACGACATTGAGGCCACGTTGTTGCTGCAGCTTAAACTGGCCTCGAGGTTCTGAGGAACGCATGGCGCTGAGGGGGAGAGTCAACATACACATTTATTTCTCCTTTTTTCTTCTTTTTAACCCTGTAACACCCCTTGTTGTAAAATTACAACGTTACCTTTAGCCATTCTAAAAACAATCTGTTATATTTTATCTTATGTTTTACCACATTTACATAGTCATTGGGTCCTATTGTTCAGTCTCCAATGCTATTGGATGGTACATTTGTTTATAAGTCCCGCCTTATGGCCATGAACTCACTCAACTTCTCAAGGTTTCTTTGAACAACATCTCTTTGTTTCATTGGACTAAATTCATCAGATTCTAGTAAGTAAAATGTCTTTTACATTTTTGGGTTGTTATTACAATGTCCAGAGCATGTACATATGTAGTTATTGTGGAATAGATTCATCAAATTTCATTTAGAGCTTGTTATATATTTGTTGCAATTCTACAACACTGGGTGAGTGTGGTAGTCAAAATAGAGGCTTGTTGCGGGGCCCAAACAGGTTGCATTCCCTCCACTACACCACTGCCTCTAACAAGTATTTTCTTTATACATGGACAGTATACATTCTAACCTTGTGTTGTGTTCTGGTCAAATTTGACTGATTTAAAAGTTTTATCTCTAAAAATGTAGTTAATTTGACCAGACTGACCTAAAATTCCATGACTTTGTCAACAAGAGGATACCAACAGACAATTCAGTTCTGGGAAAGGTGAAAATGTTCCTGAATGTGGGGTGTGGATATAAGTGGGGGTATGCATGTTTTCCTTTTAGTATGATAATTAGAGAGCACAAAACGCAGTATTGTTATACCAAGGCAGTATTGTTTGACTAAATGGCTGGTGATTGGGATGCATATTTCTTTTAGCATGATAAGTGAGAGCATAACAAGCTGTCAGGCAGTATGAAAGTATCCTATCAAGGGGAAATTCAGCAGCATCAAGCAATATATGCAAGGCAAGCCAAACCCATGGGGATTCAAAGTGTGGGTGAGAACTGGAATCTCTGGCATGATGTGTGACGTCTACCAAGGCAATGTTAACGGAATACAGCCAAATCTGAACTTGGATTGTCAGGTGATGTTGTGATGAAGCTTGCTTCCACACATCCAGAAGGTCAGAACTACAAAATGTATGCAGACAACTACTTCACCTGTGTTCCATTATTAGTGAAACTCCTTGATCGGGGAATTCATTACGTGGGAACAGCCAGGCAGGTGCGCCTACCCTACTGTAACCTTGAAGACGAGAAGAGCTTGAAGAAAAAGGGGAGATGAAGCTATGACGTCAGAGTGGAGGGGAATCACAACATCTGTGCTGTCAAATGGTATGACAACAGGGCCGTCACACATCCTTTGCTTGAACTGAACCTGTGCAGAAGATTCAACGCTGGGACAAAGCCACCAGAACCTACATTGAAGTTGAGAGGCCTTACATTGTTGGTGCCTACAACAAGTACATGGGAGGTATGGATTTGTTGGACTCATTTACAGCCAAATATAAGTTCCCCATCAAATCCCGTCGCTGGTACTGGTACATGTACATCTTCTGGCACACCATCATCCTCGCTGTGGTCAATGCATGGCTCCTCTACAAGCAGGACTGCAAAGCTCTCAAGATGTCTAGCAAAGAGACAATGAACAGGAGACAGTTTCAGGCACAGCTGCATCTCTCTCATCCTGGTAAACACAACACTTCGAACTCCAAAGAGAGGACGACCATCTTCAGGCAAGGGGCCCAGCATCACAGACAGTGACATCAGAAAGCCCTCTGAATGCTCAGAAGAGACCATCCAAGAGATGTGCACACCTTACATTGGATGTACGCAAGGACCTAGTTGCACATTTCCCAGTGAAGACAGGGAGGGACGCTGCAGACACTGCAATAAAGGATACACCAACACCAATGCAGCAAGTGTGATGTTCGCCTTTGCTTTTCAGAGGACAAGAACTGTTTTGGGACTTTCACTAACAATGAAAGTCAGTCATGAAAAGAAAAAAGGAATGAAGAAGTTGCTAGAAAAGATGGATTTTTATCCTGTTTAATAGTTTTTTTAATAAATGACTTCATAAAATATGACTAATGTGTGATTATTATTAATGTTATATACCTTTATGGGGCTAAGTAAGCAATCAACCCTGCAAATTAACCCGTAGTTGTTCTGAATTGTTGTTCAGACAACATGAGTACAAATACGAAATTCTGCTCCCACCTAAGCCCAATGTTGCAATATTACAACATTTCTCTATAAACTTACATAAACATTATTTTTTAAAAACTCTTTAATTTCTGCATCAAAGGCCTACTACAACAACATCTGAAAGGTAAAATAATTTTTTTAAAGGTTTTCTATATTTGGGTCTTACAGGGATATATAGCACTGTATTTTATTCTCTGTTTCCAATTCTTTCCAAAGTTTCCAAAATAGGAGTGTGTATGCACGTGTCTGACAAGTACAGTATATACAGTACCTGTCCTGACAAACTGCCCTTCAGTCTCGGAGCTGTTGCACGTTCGTCCCTCAGCCATGACGAGCAGGATGTACATTTCGCCACACGGCAGATCGGTGATATCACAGCCGGTGTCCGATGTGGTGCAGCAGGTGGTGCCTCCGTTTATCTGCTCCAGCGTGGCCGTGTACGTCACTGCCCCGGGAACGGCTGACCAGGAGATGCTGGCCGTGTGATTATCGCATCCCACTGATTTCTCTACATTCTCAGGAGGACAGGGAGCTGGGGAAGGAGAAACACTGTTTAAACTGAACTGGATCTGTACAAAAACTAAACTGTTAATACGTCAAAAGCCACTATGTATATGTTATTTTTATCTGAATGTGGTCTTAGCTTTGCTTTCAAGAAAATTTGTATTAAAACTGGTGCAGTCAATCAGCATCGTCTCAGGGTCTCTTGGTCAGACAAAATTTTCAAAGTCTAAACATATTTTACACAAAATGTTTTTAACAATTTTAGGAGGTAAAAACAAGTTGCGGAACTGGAGAAATTGATGAAAAATATTCCTCTCTTTATTCAATAAAATATGACATTTCAGATTTATAAATCAAATCTGAAACATCATATTTCAATAAATAAATATGTAAATAGAGCTATATTTTAATATCGCAGCAGAATCGCACCTTCTCTTTTCCTAGCTGTCTCTAGCTAAATGAAACAGGGTAGTTGGTCATTGACATTATCAGTTACAGCACTGCACGTGTATGCTCTAATAGTTTAGAGTTTTCTTGTCTTTTACTATTTATTTATGTTTACAGTTTAACTGCATTTACCTGTCTCAGATGTGATGGCATTGCTGGGTGCACTGGAGCACTGCTGGTCGAGGGCCTTGATGGTGAAGGTGAAGTTTTGGCTGCACATCAGCGGCGGCACACTGCACATCTCATCTGAAGTGGAATTACACTCAAACATCTGGACGTTACCCTGGCTGTCTGTTGCCATGACGATGTAGTCCTCAGCCCCGGCAGACTGCTCAAAGATCACCCAGGCTGAGTTTGTCAGGCAGTCGATCTCCACTTCGGACAGGTGAGGCACACAGGGAACTGGAGGTAACCCAGGAACAGGTCAGAAAATTAGTTGTGCTAAGTAGCGGAGATGAAGCGAGTTTTTGAGGATTTCTTTTAGTGAGTATTGAATTAATTATGAAATTGAAAGTGGATTTTGGAGATTACGCCTGTTGCAGAGTTAAGAAAAAGTCCAGAATTTGGGAAAATATGATAATTTGATATTTTGCACAGAGTTGATCATCTCTACAGTAAATATTTATAGCACCCAGTTAGCATAGCTTAGCATAAAAACAAGTGTACATCTGCCTTCTTATTGAAGTAAAACTCAAATATTATTGATCCTTGCCTGTTGTGATCATTTCTGTGTGACTGTCTCTGCCCACACATCCGTTCAAGGATGGTGTGACAGAGACGTTGTACTTCATCCCGCACTCCAGTGTGCTGAGGTCACAGCCGCTGTTTGTGCCGGTGCAGTTGTGTCGCTGACCTGCGGCGTCGACCGCTGACACCGTGTGCACAACCCCCGCCACACTGGTGTTCCAGGTTACAGATACAATACCAGTGGTACAGTTGACATTGGGATAGAAGGTCTTGAGAGGACAGGGGGCTAAGAGGGAGAGTGGAAGAAGAGGAGAAGACAGTAAAACTGTATACCATCCAGCATTAAGACATACCAGTTATATTTATATTTATTTACACTCAGATGTACCGTAACTATCAACTGGAGCTTCACCCACCTGTAAGAACCTGCTTTGTGGGGCTGCAGGAGCTGTTGCAGGCCTCATCTTGGGCCACCACTGTAACGTTGTAGGTCAGACCGCACTGCATGTTGCGTACGACGCAGTGATGCTTATTCGTCTCACAGATGTTGACGTGACCTTTGCTGCTCACCACGGAGGTGCGGAACTGAACAAAGTGGCCAGTTGACTGCCAGGTGACATTAAGGACCCCAGACAGACAGTCGAGGTCGTTCTGTATGTTCTGTGGCACACACGGGGCTAAGAGAGAGAGCAAAGAGAGTGAGTGTGTGCTCACAGGTTCACATCCAGCCAAAGCCATGTGGGTCCTGATGGGAGATACTGAACTGCTGTTTGCTTTGAGCCGCTTGTGGATGAACTCGAATTATTCTTGATTTTTAAATAATCACTTAACTAGAATAAAACTGACCTACATACAATCAACATAAAAATAGGCAATAAAATAGTGAAATTCAAAGGAATGGGACCGCACTTTGTGATATATTTTTTAAAAAACTTCTCAAAACGTATCTCAAAAAAGTGTTTCATCCATTATTATTATAGTATTATATCACGTTATCTTTGCGACACCAAACCTGTAACCTACAAATGTGGGTTTGGGACTTTTTATTTTCATTTTTTACTTTCTTCACAGCCAATTTAAAGCACCATCTGCCCGATTTGAACATCTTATAGAGTGGACAAGAGGTAGACAACAACCAATTTACTTGTTGTCTTTTAAACAGCATCATACACTTGCATGTAAACTTATTTTTTCTTGTTACTCTTGTTTTTTTAATGCTTCAGGGTTTCCCCTGGTAGCCCCATGTTAAATGTCACAACACTATGAACTATGGGTAATTCCTTTGGGCAAAGTCTGCAGAAATGGGGAGTTACATAAATTGTGGATAAAGGAGTCAAAATGTCTGCGGGAGAGCCCTCGTGGACTTGACTAGGGCTGCACAATTAATTGAAATATTCTCAAAATTGTAAAATCGAAATATGACCAAGTGCAAATTACAAAGACTGTGGACCTAAATACCTACCCGTTTGAATTATTTTAATGTTACTCTTTGCTCCAATGCACTGGTCATCAACACCAGCAGCGTAGACCTGGTACTGCTGTCCACAGAGCAGACCAGATATCTGGCAGGTGGTGCTGCTGGTGTTACAGGACCACTGGCGGCCCTCTGCATTCTCAGCCACGGCCATGTAGGAGAATGAGCCCTGCGAGGCTTGCCACGACACCGAGATGTTGTTCGAGTCACAGGAAGAGTTGACCATCAGCTGGGTTGGAGGGCAGGGAGCTGGAGGAGAGACAAAAGTATGGGGAGTCAGATAATTTACATGCATCATTACATGAATGAAAAGAATATAATACATTTTGGGTTTCTGTATAGAGATAATGATTTCATGAAAATGGCTGGTACTGTATAACTGTGTAACCTTTAGTTTAGTAGTGATGGTTGTATTTAATTCTATTGTTTTTTTTCTCTGCTGTCAATTTATTCAGCTTACATGCTGTACAATTACCAAATTGTTAACTGATATACTTAATTTTGACACTAGTTGTTAAGCAAGCAGACGAGCTGAAAAATGCTAGAAGCTAGAAGCAGTGGATAAATGGTCTAAATATTTATGAGGATACAAGAAATGTATGAATAGTTGAAACAGACTAGACAATAGAAATAGATGGTTGAAATTGTCAGATAAAAGTCATTTATAAACAGCTTGGGTCAAAATTAAGGATTAACAGTTGAAATATTAGGCATAAAGCAGTAGATAGATAGTTTGCTAGAAGACATGGTGGTCAAAATTTTGGGTCAAAATGATGGATAAACAGTGGAAAATGTAAAAGGATGATAATAGATAAACAGTTTAAATAATTTGGCAAAACTAATTTATAAACAGATCCAGTTGAAACAATTACCTAAAAGTACACAGCTGACTTACACTAAAGGACAAACTGTTGAAATAATCAGCTGAAATTAGTTGCTGTACACAAGAAAAAATAAGTTACCTAAAAGTAATGGATAAACTGTTCAGCAGCCAAACTTTATAAAGTATATTGAGTTACCAGTGGTGATTCTGTGCCACTCCTGGGAAGAACTGGGGCAGTTCTGTCCCCGTCCACTGACGCTCAGCCTGTAGCTCTCCCCACAGCGCAGAGAGCTGATGTTGCAGGAGGAGCCATTGCTGGAGCAGGTCTGCCGGTGCACTATGGCAAAGGCATCGGCTGAGGCGTTGTAGTAGAGGATGCCTCTGCCGGGCGTCCAAGACACCAAAGCCGTGTTGGTGTCACAGTCCAGGTCAGTCTGCAGACCACTGCTGGGACAAGGAACTAGACAGAGAAGGATGTAGAGAGGAAAAAATAAATACATAGACAGAAAGTCATGCTCCTTGTTAAATATGGATTTTTAGTAACACCTAGTGGCAGCCTTAGGAAAAAACATCTTTCTGCACAACCTGTTAGTGTATCTTGTGATAGGTAACTGATAATAAACAATGCAATCACAATAAAAAGAAGCAGATAAGATTCTGTTTATGTTGTACAAAGAGCCAGTAAAATATTACTGACTGTACCTTTATGATTCAGGTAAGCCCTTCAGGTTCGTATGGTGGCACATTGTTTCTTAAACAGCGACCGTCACTGTTAATCAGCTGATCTGCGTTTGTTTTATTACCTGTGGTGGCGATGATGCTCTCGCTGATCAAACTGACGCAGGAATCATGGCGAGCCACCACTGTAATGTTGTAGTCTTGCCCACACGCCAGGTTATAGAAATTACAGTTGGTGTCAGTGTTGTTACATTCAGCGTTGTGGCCAAGATTTCCCCGAGCATACACGGTGTAAGACGTGGCACCACGTGCAGCGTCCCATGTAACCCCAGTGATACTAGTGTCGCAGTCCACACGTGCTGTGAGGTGGGTGGGAACACACGGAGCTGGTGGAGAAAGAGAGAGAGGTAGATATGTGGAAGGGTCACTTTCAGTTCAGCTTTTAGTTCACAGTTTTGTTCAGTATGAGTGGTGGGAAATAAGTAGTAAACTCACTCTGCCTCAGTACAGAAGGCCTTTTTCACTACAGCTACTTTGACTTTTTGTGTTTTTAAGTGTCCCTGAATGCCAGTGTGACCGTGAGCGAGCATTGACCTGAAACTGATTAACCATTAATATTATTATAACACTTTCCAATTGTGATATTTCAGAATTTGTGATAAAAGGCCTATTTTGAATATTCTATTTCCTACTCCTTCATCCATCCAGTTTATATATGTAACATTATAAACAATAATATAGCAGAAATAGAAAACAATTTGCTGTGTAATGATGCAGTCGTGGAGTCCTGAGCAGAGAATGTGTGTTTTATTGTTGGAAAGCTTTTGGTGATTTTAATTTTGTTTCTGTGTTTTACCATTATGATCTGCTGGGTAGAATTACTAGTTTTGTCAAGGGAGTCTGGTGGGCTGTAGCACCTGCTGTTTTGGTCTGAGATGCCGGTGCTCTAGTGCGACATCAAGTGGCAGAAAGTTTTAAAGGACTAGTGTGTAGGATTTAGTAGCATTTAGTGGTGTAGTTGCAGATTGCAACTCCCTTGCTTCACCCTCTCTCACCTTATAATAATTAAGTCAATATTAAATTCCATAATACTTCTATATATCTACTTTAAACGCAGGGCTTGTACTTTTAGTGGCGTACTTTCACTTTGTAGTGTTGTACTTTTACAGAATAAATGATTCTGAATAATTCTTCAGCCTCTGTTGAGTTGACAAGAACTTTATAATTTTTCACACGTTTTTTTCAACTACAAATTTAAATTTAGTACTGTGAGTACAACACTTTGGATCTTGATGGTTCTAAAAGTGTAGTAAGGGAACTTTTATGTAACATAAATCTGAGAAATCCAAGTAAAATGAAAAGACATCCTGGTGAGTAACCAATAACAGTACCTGTGTTGAGCATTGCTGCAACAGCTGACTGACTGCTGCATGTCTCTGTGTGGCCGACCACACTGATGGTGTAGCGCTCCCCGCAGGACAGCTGGTCGAAGGTGCAGTTGGTGCTGCTGGAGTTGCAGGTGGTGATCATTCCTCTGCTGTCCACCGCTGACACCACCTGGGTCTGGTCTGGCCCTGAGTTACCCCAGGTCACTGATGCTTGGTTAGTGCTGCACTGCAGATCCACCATCACCCCGTCTGGTTTACAGGGGGCTGAGGATGAAGAGGTGGATAGATAGAGAAGTAGGGTGTAAGAATAATTCAGAAATTATAAAAATAATGGGGACATGTGAGTAGATTAAGAGTATGAAAACGATTACAACTATAGTAACTATTAAATTCAATATAAAGAAAGAGCTTATGATACCTGACTGCACTGTGTAGTCGGAGCCATTGATGGTGCCACAGTCGACTGATGATGTAGTGACGACGATGCTGTAGCTGAGGCCACATTTCAGGTTCTGGATGGTGCAGTTTGTGGTAGCGGAGTTACAGGTTTCACGGGAGGAGTCACTGCCAATGGCGATCGCAGTGTAAGAGTCGAGGTCGCCGATGCTCCCCCTCCACTGTACCGCAAAGGAGTTGAGATTGCAGTCCAGGTCTGCTACCACCCTGTCAGGCAGACATGGAGCTGTGGGAAGGAGCAAGAGCACATCACGATTGATTGAATCACTCGCTGATCGGTTTTGAGCTTCCGAACAAAAACAAAACTTTGAGAGTGCAGCCGAGAAATCTGTAGAGAGAAGAAGGTGTCATTTACCTGAGTCGAAAGTCAAGGATGCTCCCGTGCTGCTGTTGCATGTCGCACTAGAAGCGATCACAACCGCTGTGTACTGGTGTCCGCATTCCAGCTTCACCGAGCAGGTTGTTGTGTTTGAAGAACAGGAAACAACATGGCCGTGGGTACCAGTCACTGTTGCTGTGTAGGAGATAGCGTGGGTACTCTCCATCCAGTTCAGTGTTCCCATGTTGGTGCCACAATCGGCTCTGGCAGTCAAGTTGGTTGGAGGACACGGAGCTGGCAGGAAAGAGATTTAGGTTTAAATCAACGGCGTTTACAAACCAAGCAGGGAGTGAAATAATACAGGGCAGGAGAAGAGTAAACTTTTAGTTAGCTTAGAGTGCATTTTGTCAAATGTACAAACAAACATTTTAAGTTAATTCATTAATTCATGGACAATTGGTTGGGAGTATAAATATAGTTTAATATTAAATAAAAATTCACATTTTTATTGATGCACTTAGTTTTGAAGGGAGAAAGCACTGGAAAAACACAAAAAATCTGATATATCTCATAAAAAAGATCATCTCTGCTGAAAAAATTAGTCGATTAATCAGTTAATCAATAAATAGAAAATTTACCAACAACTATGTTGATATGTTGAATTCACTGTTTGAGTCATTTTTAAGCAACAAGCTTCTCAAATATAAACGTTTGCTGCCTTTCACTGCTTTATATTATTATAAACTGAATATCTTTGACTTGCTCAAATAACAAAAAGCACGTTCAAGTGCATTGTGGTGGTAATTTTTCACTATTTTCTGATGTTTATGGAGCAAATAATAAATCAACAAATTGAGAAAATAATATTTTGATAAATCGATATTGAAAATAATCATTAGTTGCCATACTGGAGAAACGGATGACCACTGATTGCTGGTACTGAATGACTTTATCTCACTGTATCATCTGCATTGATCCAGATATTAACCTGTTTCAGTTTGTATTGGCTCGCTGAAGATGCTGGAGCACTCGGTGTCCATGGCAGCGACTGTCAGCCTGTACAACTCGCCACACTGCAGCCCGGTGATCACATGAGACGTCTGAGTTGTGGAGTAGTTGGCTGCGGCCCCGTCATCTTCCTTAGAGTGGATGAAGTAGCTGGCACCACTTTCTGGACTCGGGTCCCAGCTTACTTTGATGTCATTGTTCCCACAAGTCGTCACTCCGGTCACGCTGGTCGGGGGGCAGATGACTGAGAACAAGAGAGAGACATTTTTAAAATACAGAATTTTGTTAATTAGACCCAATATGATAATAGTTCATATGGAAACATTTTATAATAATAATTGCTCTATATTAAATATATAGAATAAAAATCATGAAACTGATTTATTATATTAATACAAATAAAAGTTGTATTATAATTTCTAATTCAATCAAATGTTTTTCTATTACCTTAGTTACCAGTTAAGATAAAACACTTTCAAAACAAACAGCAAATAGTGTGTGAAAGCTAAAAGGAGAAGTATGATGGACCTTATTAATATTTATACTGTTTACTCAAACATCTCTATGTGGCATTGCTGTCACCATGAGGTTACAGAAATTATGGAGATGCTGAACTGAAGTACAGAGCAGATGGATGAAATATTGTTGTATTTTTAACCTCTGAAGAGAGACAGGTTTCCCCTGCGTCATGAGAGTGGTACCAATCTACTAATCTAGTAGGGGAAAAAAAGAACTAACTTAATATCTGCATATACATTCTCTGACCTGACTGGAAAGTGAAAGGCAGGCTGGGTTTGCTCATGCAGTCCCTCTCGATGGTCACCACCGTGACGGCAGCCGTCTCGCCACAGAGGAAGTCTGTGAAGGAGCAGCTTGTCCCATTGGAGGAGCAGGTGTGGATGTGGTCATCCACGGCTGTGGCCACATAGAGATCTGCCTGAAGGGCAGCAGTCCAGGTCACATGGCCCACATTACCGGTGCACTGCAGGGACACGTGAACATCAGTGGGAGGACAGGGACCTGAAAGACAGACAGAGGAGAAGGGGAGACTAATTAAGGGAAGCTAAAGTTGAATGAGCATGTGGCAAAAATGTGTTATTAATTAACATTAGAACTATGTTAAGGTAGCAAACTAAATGTTTTATATAACAATTAAAATAAAGGAAATATAATAAAATGAGTATTCACCCAATATTTAACATAAAAATCACCCCCTAGACACAAGTAAAATTAGCTATTGAGATCTAGTAGTGAAGATCCAGCATATAGTGACATCTAGAGGAACTGTATCAGTATTCAGTATGAGTATGAGCAACCCGGAAAAAAATGGAGCACACATTTTAAGTTTTTAGAGAATAAGTATTAAAACATACATAATATTTCTATGTATAATAATATTGGCTATTTAATTAAGGACAAACCCAATACTCTTATCACATCGCAGTACATTTTCCAGTTCTACCTCACCTGCAATATAAGAGAGTGGATAGCTGGTGAAGCCCTTGCAGCGATTAGAGAAGGGGGTGACGGTGATCACATAGGTCTCGGCGCAGTGCATGTTGGGTAGGAAACAACTTGTGTCGTTTGTGGTGCACTGTTTGACATCCCCATCTCTGCCGTGCGCCATCACTTTGTAGGAAACTGCACCGGCACTCGGCTGCCAGCTCACTGCAGCTGTGTTGTTGACGCACACCAGGGAGGCACTGACATTCACAGGAGCACAGGGGGCTGATGGGAAGACAAAAAGGAGAACCACCTCTGAGCAGGGCTGCACAATTAAACAATCAATATATTATCGAAATCGCAATATTGGCCAAGTGCAATATGCAATTTGTTTGATGATGTGTGTCAAAACAGCATTATAATCAGAATAAATCATGTTTGTTTGGCCTTTATTTACATTTATTTGTACATTATCTGTGATGGATTAATCATATCATATTTTTCTAACTTAATGTTACCATTACAAACACCCTTGGCTTCCAGCATCTTTGTGCAATATGAAAATCCATTAGCCGACTCTTGAAACCTCTTTGAATTGAATTTATCATGCTGACATCAAATCAGATTTTTCTTTGGCAGAGTCACATTATTGTTACGAGGTTCAGACTACTCAGATTGTCTCTGTTCTCTTACCTGTCTGTATCTGTGCTACTCCAGGTACACTGCTGTTGCAGTGGTCAGCCACACCTATCACATTCACATCGTACATGCGGCCACAGAGCAGTGAGGGCAGAGCGCAGTCGGTCTGGCTGGTGCTGCAGGAGGCCATGTGGTCTCCAGACTGGACGTAGGCGTAGAAACTATTTCTTCCCAAAGTCTCGTCCCAGCTCAGGAAGGCGATGCCAGTATCACAAGAGTATGTGTACTCCACGTTAGCAGGGGTACAGGGCGCTGGATGAGAGAGGAGTACAGTCAGTTCCTGAACACCTCATATTTGAGTACCTCTGTGGCCCCAGGTGGTCCCGACCCCATGGTTAACAAATCATTGAATGTATATCAATAAATGAGTACGTATCATACCATTCATAACATATCTTCAGCACCTTACACCAGTGGTTCCTAACCTTTCTCTTTAAGGGAGTAAACTGGCGACCCCTGAGTAAGTGACATATGCTATGGATATTTCATTTTGTATTGAATACATAACAATAACAGTATGCAAAACAAGAGATAAACTGTACAATAAATCCAAGTAGTAAGTGAAATAACTGCAAAAATGTTTGTTTGGATGAATTCTGAGCAGATTATTTCCTGTGAATAAATTTTTTATACAATTCTGTCTATATTATGGTTTTTTTACAATCATATTTACTTAATAGGCTTCTTTCTTTGACAAATCTAATGTTTCCTTCTCATTGTTCTATTTGCTCTTTGGTTGTTTTAACTGCGTTTCTATTGCAGGGAGTTGCTGTTTGGCAGAGAGTGAAGGCTCTGTGAATACAGCTGGTGTTCAGGTCAAAAATCAAAACTTAAAAAATAACAATATCATTTAGTTTTCTTTACAGAAATGAGCATAATAATGCTGAGATATAGGCCTGTGCATATATTCTAAGTTTCCTTACACCCCCTAAAAGAGTGAAGCTTTGGGGACCCCTAGTGGGCAAAACAGGAAACACTAACAACATAAAATACAAACTATAAAAACCAAGGAATTATAGTGCACATACAACAGCCTTAATATAAGTCTAAAGTCGAAATTATAACTTACCGGTGACAATCTGAAAAGAAGAGCTGGGTCTGCTCAAACAGTGGACTCCTTGTGCAACAGCCTGGACGGTGTAGGTGTTTCCACACTTTAGTTCATTCAGGACACAACTGCTGTTGGTGGCAGAGCTGCAGGATGTCGAGTGTCCCTTACTGGAGGTTGCGTTGACCATGACGTTCATCGCATCCTCATCCTTAACCCAGGTGACCAAGGCGTGGTTGGAGAGACAGTCCAGAGAGTGGTTCTGGATCACTGGAGCGCAGGGGGCTGGGCAGACATTACAAAATTAGAGGGAAACTTTTGGGTGAGACACAGTGTACAAAAACCCCTTCCCCTCAGCTTCCCAATGATATAATTGTTTGCTTTCTTTCATGTCAAGGTGCATTTTTATTCCAGCTAAGGTCCCAAAACTATTACAATGTATTAACACCATTAGACAATGCTGCATTCTTCTTTTATGTATTTTACAACTTTATTTATTTTACCAATCTTCTTTAACTTTTTTTAACTGTTATATCATAATTATGTGCTTACGACAAACCCTCCTGCAAACCCAAACAAATAAAACTATACAGTATATCACATCAGAAATAGTTTATATATTTATGTGCATTTGTTGGGTTGGGTTTTTTGTAATCTGGTGGAAGTTTACATTGAGCAATATAATAAATATGCACATGGTGGGTATTTTATTAGCTGATTCCTGTATTTATTTATTTTTTGTTGTGTTTAAATTTGATGCTTTTAGGCCAACATTTCAGCATTTCTTTATTTAGAGGCCTTCTTTTGGAGCGATGAGTGGTGTGTTTGAGAATATTTGTGACCTCAGTATCCCTAAAATCCTACATTCACAATCCTAATGTAAAGTAAAGATAAAAAGTCATATATCCAACAAAGCCTCATTAAATCCTCAAATAATCTGGACTTAAAAACTCTGTACTCTAACTGTTTCTTTACCTGTTGTCATATTGGTTTTGGTGAGTATGGAGCTGTTGCAGTTCCTGTCCCCTGCCAGTACAGTCACTGTGTAGTCCTCCCCACACTGCAGCTTGGTCAGCTCACAGGACGTGCTGAAGGAATTACAGGTGTCGACGCGTCCTTTGGCCTCGGCGAGGACTGTGTAATAATTTCCTCCAGCACTGGCCCCCCAAGTCACCGTCACGATGCCAGAAAGGCAGTGCTGGGCAGCAGTCACATTTGTAGGGTCACAGGGTGCTGGAGGAAGGTGGAAAGAATTAGCATTATGACGCAGCAGGATAATGTATATGGACTGTCTCAAAATGGACTACATGTCCCACAGTGCAACAGTGTTTTTTATAGTTTTTGTAAAACATTGGAGCTCTATTGAAACAGAGGAATAACAAATATTTGGTTACACAGAAAACACTTGTGAATAGGATCAATTAATTGTTGCTTTTGGTCTTTTAGTGGGATTCATTCATAATAAGAATGAATCCTAACATTATCCTTTAATGTTTGTTTTTTAATGTCCTTACATGAGCCCAAAATAAACGGCTCAAATTTGAATAACTAAAATGTACATTTACCGGTTTTCGCTGAGATCATGGCACTGTTAGAGCTGTTACACCTGTCGTTTACTGCCACCACACTTAACATGTACGTCTGAGCGCACTGCAGGCTGGAGAAGAGGCAGCTTTGGTTAGCTGAAGTGCAGGAAGTAGAGAAACCTCCTGCTCCCGTCAACATGGAGATGTAGGATTCTGCGCCGGCTGCTGCATCCCAGGACGCCATCAACGTGTTAGTGGAACACTCCACAATGCCGTTGACATTCACAGGAACGCAAGGAACTGAGAGAGAAATGATGTTGGAGGTAAAGAGCCACATGAGGAGAAAGGAAAAAAACGATTTGCTATGAAGTTATATAATGTCCTTTACTTGCTGCATTTTCTGTATTTACATATAACACACTGCCCTGTTGGGTCAAACTTACCAGAATTAACTATTTCCGGGACACTGCTGTTTCCTTTACATGTGCTGCTGGTGGCTTTGACTGTCACAGTGTACTGCTGTCCACACTGTAAATTAGTCAGCATACAACTTAAATTGTCTGTCGTGCAGCGAAGTGCAGTTCCATCTGTGGCCATGGCGGTGGCGGTGTAGTTTACTGGGAGGGATCCAGGCGCCCAGCTGATGGTTAGTACGTTGGTGCTACAGTTCAAGGTGTTCAGCACACTTTGAACAGCACATGGGGCTAACACAGGGGGCAAAGAGTGAGGCTCTGATTAATAAGAACTTCAGAAGTTGCTGAATTACTTCAAACTGCATTAGTAGATCTTATTTTTTTTGGCCACTTGGGGGCAGAAGAGCTCCACAGCACACTCATATACAGTACTGAAATCTATTGCATAGAAATAGTTATACCTCTGATGCATAAAGTAACTGCACCACACTATGCTCACATAATTAAACAATTATGTATCTTACAGCACAGGAAACAAAGAAAAGTTTTTCGTAGAAAGGAGGTAGAGGAGGAAAATTGTGTTTTTTAGGATCCAGGAAGAAGCAAGGAGAGGATAAAAACAGGATAAGCAAAGAAGATAAAGAGGTACTACTCCATCTCACCAGTTGTATGCATGACCGGCTTGCTGTCGGGACTTTGACAGACGCCATCGGAGGCTGACACAGTGAAGGTGTACTTCTTGCCACATTGCAGACCATTCAATTGGCAACCGAGGTTCATTCTTGCGTCACAGGTCACAGTGTGTCCGCCTGCACTCACTGCCTTGCCAGTGTAGAACACTGCATTGCGGCTGCTGCTCCAGGTCAACATGGCAGAATTATCAGCACAGTTCACTGAGGCGTTGAGCTGAGAAGGTGGGCAGGGTGCTGCAGAGGAAAGACACAGAACAAATGCATGGTTTGGGTTGGAATTTGAGAAGATTTACTTATTTCAAAGTTAAACTTTAACATTGATTGATTCCTGCTCATTCCTACCTGTCTGTAGTATGCTCGCAGAGCTCTCATTGCTGGTGCAGTTGTCGCCCCTGGCAATCACCCTGACACTGTAAACCTGGCTGCACGTTAGGCCCTCCAGCCTGCATGACGTTTCATTGGAAGAGCACAGCAAGCGCAGGCCATCCTGATTCCTTGCAGCTGCTTGGTAGGATAGGGCACCAAGGCTTGGTTTCCAAGTCACTTGTGTAAAATTCTGGCCACAGTTTCTCCTCACCACAACATTAGTGGGCACACATGGTGCTGAGGGAGAGAAAACCTCAGATCAGCTCAGTACATGTTAAGGACCTGCCTTCAAATTAGAGTACTGTAAAGCACCTCAACTGAGACTGTCTACACATTTGGTGACAGTTTGTTCTTACTCTGTGAATGAAGCACAGATGTCATTTTCATATAATGATGAAAAATCAAGTGCAGAGCATATAGTATAAAAACACAATTAAGTCATAAATCTATTTCCATTATGGCTTTATACACATATAACAAATTTCTCTAAACTACAGCAATTATATATACTCACAAATGAGTACATAATTGTATGTATACATTATATTATTGATTTCAAACATGACAGAAACCTCATGTATGTTGAAAGACAAAAGAAAAACATTTGTCACAGGGCCCTCTTACTTTTCCAGACAGGTAACACTGAGGGTCGACTGACACAGGTGCCATTGAAGGACATCACTTTGAGTGTGTAATCAAGTCCACACTCCAGTGTGCTGATCCTCAGCTTCGGCTCTGTGGTATTATAGGACATTTGCCTGCTGCTGTTTGAGATCACAGTTATGTAGCCTTCTGCGCTGCTCGACCCGTTCCAGCCGACGGTCAGTACTCGGGACTGACAATCTAAGTTGGCATTCACCTTGGGTCCACAAGGAACTGGACAGAGAAGAGAGAAAGGTGAAGGCTGTCATCTAAACAATGTGATGATTATTGTGGTTAAGTAAAAAAACATTGAAATGTATTCAGTATAATTTTGTATACGCATCTCTCCGGGTATTTGTACTGTGAGTATTTCCATTTTTATGCTACTTTATACTTCAACTCCATTACAAGGCAAAGGGGAAATATTGTACTTTTTACTCCACTGCATCCATTAAAAAACTGAATTTACTAGTTAGTTTTCGGATTAAAATTTTACATACAAAAGTTATAAGTTAATATAAAATATGATGCATTGTTATAAAATAAACTATCCGGTTATAGTTAAAGTTTGCTGTACCTTGACCAACTACAACAGCAAAATGCTAGTGTAGCACTCACAGGGGCCATTTTTTTGCATCATTAGTACTCTTTAACTTTTCTAATAATACTTAAGTACCTTTAGTTACAATTCGAATGTGGGACTTTTACTTGTAATGGATTATTTTTATACTGCACTTCCTCTCACCTCAATCACCTTGTCTAAGAGGCCATATTCTAGTTTCGAGCAGCATTTTCAGAGGTTCACTTAAGAGTGCAGAGATGAAGTGACATAAAGGGAACAATCAAATGTTTCAAACAGAACGTTTTCCTACCAGACTTCATGTAGATGGACTCAGAAGCCGTGCTGGGGCACATGCCATCGTGGTAGCTGACAGTGACAGTGTAGAGCTTGCCACATTTCAGGTTGGGTACCCTGCAGCTGGTATTAGTGGAGCTGCAGCTGAGAAGTCCTTGATTTTCATCCACGATGGTGGCAGTATAGGAGTTCACTCTGCTCTGGCCACGCCATGAAATCAGAGCCTCGTTGGCTGCACAGTCCAGGGAGGCAGTGACGCGATCCGGTGGACACGCAGCTAAAATGAGGCAGAGGGACAGTTAGCCAGCAGAATGAAAGTGTGACATCTAGCAGTGAAGTTGCAGATTGCAACAATTTGAATACGTATAGTAGAAACTACGATGGCTGCAAAACTTAAAAATATGAAAGGCCCTATCTACAGCCAGTGTTTGGTTTGTCCGTTCTGAGCTACTGTAGATTGTAGACTGTAGTTCAACATGGTGGCCTCCATGGAAAAGGACCCGCTCCCTTTGTTGATAAATATGGCTCATCAGAGAGTCTGATTTCTGAAAGGCAGAAAACTCTGTGCCTTCTGTATTCAGTCTGATTTTAACTGGCAAATAACTTAAATGTGTGTAAATAACAGCAGTATACTTCTGAGAAATAAGGCCAACAATCATTATATTACACATCGTAGCTACAAGTTTGTTCGGTGCTTCCACCCAAAGATGACATTTTAAAACTGCCTCCTTCAGATAAAAGATGCATGTCTCTTCTTCTCCTTTTGTTAATTTCAAAGGACACGCAAGAAGCTTTTCAGTACGATAAGAGAACTCAGAAGAAGAAAAAACAAGCAGCCTCACAGTACCTGTCTCTACGGCGATCATCTCGCTCTTGGAGCTGTTGCACATGAGGTTGGAGGCAATGACGTACGCTGTGTAGTTGGTGCTGCACGTCAAGCCCTCGATCATACAGGTCAAATCCATGGAGTTGCAGCTGTGAATGACGCCGTTACTGTCCACCACCATGGCAATGTAGAAAATCGCACTTTCACTGAGCCAGGTCATTGTGAGGGAGTCGCCTCCACATTCCTTCACTGCCGATACGTTCCTCGGCATGCATGGAACTAGAGGAGAGGGCGTAAATCAAAATGAGAATAAATTCTACTCTTTAACTCTTCCACAGTTGTAGGTGAGAGCAGAGTCGAGGTTGCGAGGTTCACACAAACGTACTCACAATCATACCTGATTGAAGCAGTTATCTTTGAAAGGTATTAAAACTAGGGATGCAACTAAAGAGTGACACAGGGGCCATTGTTCATAATACAGTACCTCCTTTCCATTACTTAAGTAAGCTTTAGTCTAAGTAAAAGATCTTAATGCTTCTTGCTGATATCTAATAAACAGTCCATAACAGCTTATCCTCACCTGTGTCAGCCACGGGCCCGAGTGTCCTTGGGCTGGCACATTCATCGTCAAAAGCTGTGATGTAAATGGTCAAATACTCTCCACAATGGATGCCACTTATAGCACAGCTGTTGGATGTTGTGTTGCAGGTGTATTTGCTGTTGTTTCCCCTGTTGCCAAAGGCCTCCACAGTGTAACGTAAAGCCCCTTCAGCGTGGTCCCACTTGCTGAGCAGCAGATCTGTGCTGCAGTCGGCTGCAGTTTGCAGATTCTGAGGAATACAGGGTGCTGGAGACGGACAAACGAATGCAAGGATTAAGTTATTTTACTTAATTCTTGAAAATGTTTGTATTTGCAATGTATAAAAGTAGCAATAACTGAAAATCACAAGCTAAAAAGAGCTGACGCCTAGTTACTGTCCACCAGAGGGCGCTCAGATAAGCATAGACAACTGTTGTAGAGCTCAGTTCAACTGGACTCACTGAGCAAAATTGTGTTTTACAAGAACTTTAAATTAGTTGCACATGTTTTTTTCCGTCTTAGGTTGTTATATTTGAATACTTTACATACGAGCCTGGGGAGACAAAATCAAAAAAATCTAATAACTCACTAGAACAAATGACACAAAGTGATGGTTTTTGTGTAGTTATGCGTGTATCTACTGCCGCTGTAGAGATAAAGTAGTCATACCCGTGCTAATGTCAACAGTAGAGCTAATCCCGCTTCTGCACCCCTCTGTGACGGAGTACACTGTGAAGTGATAGTGTCGTCCACACACTGTGTGTGTGAAGTAACAGGAGTTGTCTTCAGTCAGACACTCCTGGACCATTCCCTAGAAACAAAGAAATAACAAAATATTTAATGTGGACACGAAATGACAGACCCAGGTTATTACCTCTTCAGCAACATTTTGCTTTCTTGTCGACAGTTAGACGTGAAGGTCGCTACCTCTCTTATCCGTATGTTAAGTATGAAGTTACAGCCAGCAGCCAGTTAGCTTAGCTTAGCACAAGAAATGAAGTCAGGGGGAATCAGCCAGTCTCTGTCCCCTTTAAAAATACAACTTCTCATTTTTTACACATGCTTTATGTGATTAATTAATTAATAAATTTGCTTTAGAGGTGTCGGTAGGTGTACTTTTGGACATAGCCAGGCTGGCTATGTCCCACTGTGTTTATGCTAAGCTAAGCTAAATGGCTTCTGGCTGTAGCTACATATTTATGTAACATATTGATCTTCACATCTAACCCACAGCCAGAAAGTGAATAAGCACATTTCCCAAAATGTTGAACATAAAAAGAGTTTTAATTCGAGAGAATTTTCTTTACAAATAAATGTATTCAACACTGACAATTGTGGCAGCAAATACTTTTTCAGTAAAGAATGCAATACCTGAGAGTCCACTGCCTTGGCAATGTAGTAATTGGTATTGTTTGTGTGTTCCCAGGAAAAAACAATGACTTCACTGGAACAATCTCGCAACAACTCCAGGTTCTTGGGAGGACAGGGAACTGAAAGGAAATACATATTTATACATTAATTAAAACTAGATAGATAGATAGATAGATAGATAGATAGATAGATAGATAGATAGATAGATAGATAGATAGATAGATAGATAGATAGATAGATAGATAGTAAAAAATGGGGTTAAACATCAAACATCAACATCAAAGGCGAGCGTCTCAAATCCCTTGTCAGGTTAAAACGCCCTGATACTGAAGATTACGCATCAGTGTTGCTTTTCACTGTATGAGGTTTCAGGTTTAACACAAACACAGGCTCATTCTTAGCAGCCTGGACACAACACAATATGATATAGACCGTGGAGCTCAATAGGAGACCCAGTTTTCACCCAGTGATGCGCTCAAATAAACGTGTGAATTTAGACACCAAACAAAAAAAGTTAAAAACAGCTATTCCCAAATGACTGATGACTGATATGATTAAGTAATCATTATCCTGAGGTAAGAACAAACAGATTCAAGTTATATTATCTTAAGAATTCAAAGCTGAACGATTGCAAAGAACCAACTGGTGGTTATAAGATCATAAACCTGACACAAACAAATGTAATCTTGAAGTGAATTGTCAGTTTGGTATGATTTTAATATGAGAATTAATTAAAAGTTTCCATCCAAGGCTCTGAACGCACAATAAGAGTAAATCAGAGTAATCTAAAACTGATGCTGTTTTCATTTGCTTGTGCCTTAAGGCTTTTGCTAAGAGGTTTTATATCTCCGGATTGAGTTATTTAATGTTTTCCCTCAAGTATTAAATGGCCGTATACTTGACATGTAACAATTACTTGTCATGAAATCATATTCAGCATCATCCAAGTCACGGCGGCTTAGCTGTTCACAATGTGGCCCCTGGGGAGGAGCTCGACAGAAAATCACGACAGAATAGAGTGAAATATGAGATGAAAGGATTAACTGCCTGCACAAAAAAAAGATGGCAGGGTGGAGCCGTTCGTCAGCCAATAATTTAATCGAGCCGGTCACTCCGTTGGCATTGATGGGTTGGTAAGTGGTTGGTTCTCTGTAAAATAATAACTAAATCCAGATTTGGGTTTAATCGCTGTTTGATTCTATTGTAATAAGCACAATTGTTGCATCCAGCTGGCACAAACCTTTCAGTGTGTTACTTATGAAGGAAATCCAACTCTTGACATGATTCCAGAAAGATTTTAAACAGAGTTGGTGCCTCTATTGCACGTACACTTTGGACATGTGGTTTGGACATTTAGCAGGGCTGTATTGGGGGGTTAACCCAAGTAAACTCAGTTTATTCACCTCCTTGAGACGAGCCTACTCATCTATTTCAGATCAATCCTATTAATCAATAAGGGAAACAAATACAGCAAAGCATTTACCACTACACCCCAGAATACCTCTGACTTCTCTTACATTGAAAGGAAAAGCAAGCAGATACTATTGAGTCACTGGTGGGAAAAAAAAAACATCCACGTACTCTCTATAGAACAGACTTCATTGCTTGATTGACAAAATCTTCATTTGTGTGCGTTTTTTGTTTCGTCTACTTGTGTGTGTATAAGTGTTCATGTCTTGTAGTTTGCCTAATGAGTTAACACATCTTTCTTTTGTGACGATTGTGTCTCACCAGTCTCAAAAGTGGCCGAGGTGGAGTTCAACATGTTCTTGCAGCTCTCTGACATGGGCGTCACGTTGACCACGTAGGTCTCGCCACAGCTCAGTTCGGTGATCAGACAGCTGGTGGTCTGGCTGCTGCACGTCAGCTCCGTGCCATTATGGCTCATCGCCGTGGCTTTGTAGGAGTCGGCCCCGAACACGGCCGACCAATGCACCATGACAGACTGAGTGGTGCAGGTGTAGTCCACAGTAACCGATGAAACTGGTGTCAGCTCTGCAAGTAAAACGGTACATTAGAGTATTACTTTTGTAGAAGGTAGTGGAATGACACTTTATATACATTTTATATCAGAAACTGCAGAGTAAGAAACACTGATGGGGTGAAACGGCTCATTTTCTACAACGATCTTCACTGGAAAGGGTTTTTTTTTTAAAAAAGGTTGATTTGTTCTATTTAAAACTTCACATTATCTCTGTCTCTGATTGGCTAAACTTTACTTATTAAAGTTATATATTATATTGTTAAAGCTGTATACCCTATTTTTAATATCCTGTAAAAACACTAAAATAATAACAGCAGATTTTTGTTTTTTCTTAGGTTAATGTTTTCAGCCTCCACAACAAGTAGGTTGTCAGGGCATCTGAATCCTTTTTTCCTCCAAGGATCATATTCTGCATGTCTGAAAGGAACGCCTCAGAGAGAATAGCTGACCCAGATCCTAATCATCAAGTTATTGATATTGGTTTGGCTCTGCCGACTCACTGTTGGTGGTGTAAAAGTAGTCAGTGGACTCGCTTGGCACCAGGAACTTGTTGAATGAGGACACTGATATCCGATAGGTGGAACATGGGAGGATGCCATGAACATCCAGCTTGGTGTCTGAGACGTTGTACACAGACGGCTTGTTGTTGGGTTCATCGATGTCCAGGATCACGCATCGGTACATCAGAACGTCCTTCACCGGGTCCCACGTTATCCTCGCTGTACCCCGGCCAGTCTGTATTGCCCTGACATTCAGTGGAGGTTCCACCACTACAGACAGACATAATGACTCATTCAATATGATAATGTATGTAAAGGAATTATATTTGATGCACTAGTTTGAAATTAATTCTTGAGTCCCCCTTGAGATCAAGTTTTAAAAAGGATCATTCAGTTAATTAATTCATATACTGCCCTAACAGCTATGTTAAAGGGTCACATAAATCACAAAAATACATATATTCTAATTTACTCAAAGCAGTGTCTAGGTGAGCTTTTGTGCTGGGGTTTAAAGAGATCTGCCTCTGAAACTTATGCAGCTCAAAAATAAAATGGATTCTGAAAAAGTTGGACGCATGTTGCTTTTGAGTTTTTAAATGTCATTTTTCACAACTTTGAGCACCACCAACAAAATTCCATTCATCTTAACTGTATTAAAGTGAAGGCAAAGTTCTCAAAGACGGATATCTCGAAACCTGCATGGTGATATACTGTACAGGTAATTTGTGTTTTATGCTTTACCCACTTTCCAAACTGAGGGGATAGAGGGTGTTGTTGGCCAGATTATGAAGCCCTTTGGGGCTAATTTGGGATCTTGTGGCAATATGATAAACCTGAAAATCAAGACCCCCATTTTGAGGAACATTTTATAAAAGTAGTAGTTCTGGCAGTTTTACTCTACGGGTGTAATATATTTTAACGAGATAATCTTAGATGGGCCCCCCCACGCCCAGATCTCTCCTTTTCCTCTCCTCTTCCTCTCTTCTGCTCTTCCTCTCCTTCCAATAACAATGTTTGTGTGCACGGTTTCTTTCATGTTCTAGAAATCTATCATAAAAGCTTTCTGTAAATTTCTGGAATTTAGTGCACTAGTTGACTTTTTCTCTACTTCAAAGGAGAACAGGAAGCATGGTAGGCAAAACAAGGCCTTTATTGAGCTGCTATATACTATACAGTCCCTATCGATTTTTTCCCCTTCCATTGTGAGATGTGGAATATGTCAGATAGTTTGGGAATTCACTGCCCTCTGCTCCTGCTGGCAATTCCTTTGTCCTCTCTGAGCAAGGCGCCATCACACGTACGAGGTTCACTCTATCAGAGTCGGTCATTCTAGTTGGCCATAATGCAGGATCGCTGAAATTAAGTGTGTGATCTCTGATCCATTCTGCTCAGACTCTCCGATGGGGCCTCCCGCTCCACTGTGACTCTCTCTCTCTCTCTCTCTCTCTCTCTCTCTCTCTCTCTCTCTCACCGCTGCTCACTCACTCCCGCATCACTCTCTCTGTCACCTGCCTGCAGCTGGATCTCTCTCCTCTCTGACGGAGCTACCAAACTCAGCTGTTTCTGTCGGAGATAACGTGTTGTGTCAGGCTTTAAGCTGATGGACGTTAACATTAGAGCTGGCCTGTTAGGTTACGTTACAAGGCGGCTAAACGTTGGCTGCGCTGTTTCTTACCTTGCGCTACGTTAACTTTACCAGTTTCAGCTTCAACGTCACCACCTTTTTTTAAATATTTACACACATGAGCTCTTCTCTTCTCTTTCCTTTTCTGAGCACCGGACTTGTGCTGACCGGACTTTTTTAGCGTACTGAACTCCAAATCAACTACAACATCAAATTTCGATCAGTGGCCAAATCATTTTTGTGTTGGGGGGGGTTCTTGACCACTATTTCAAGGACAATTAGGAAGAACACAAATAAAAAGATGTTATGTAACTCAAATATTACACATTTTTCCCCCACAAATAGGCCTATTTTAAAAAATATAAAACAATTATAACTGTGCTGACCACAGTAGGAATTCAGCATCAACTGTGTGTAACATCCACCCTTCTTTTAACAGTTTTCTAGACTCCAAATGGACTGAAACAGATCACTCACAGGTCGTAATGGTCCTCACTTTGCTTCTACTTCCCAAACCCGCGCTGTTAACCGTGTAGACGTAGCAGTCGTAGTTGGTGGAGGGATGCAGGTTTCGCACCACTGTGCTGAAGTTGGTGTAAGTCATGTTGAACGTCTGTCCGGTGGCCTGAGAGATCACCAACAGGTAGTAGCGGTCCGCCGACGGTACTTGAGTCCATTCTACCATGACTGAAGTACTCGACAATACCTGGCTAGCTACTATCTGCGATGTGTCGGGGACTGGGAGGAAAGAGCAGGGGGAAAAACATTGTTTAGGATGCTAAATAGCTGCGCTGTGTTCATGCGTAATGACGCATCTTTGTGCGTAAAGACGCAGACTGGATGGACTACGGTTTAATCCAGCTCATATCATGAATGGTTTCTGATTTCACTTGATATATATTTATAAATGTCAGAATTTGACCTCTGAGGTCTAATGGCACGGTTACAAAAAAATCATTCCAATCACTACCACGTTTTAAGGTGTGTTATAACTAATGAACGTCAATGTTGTATTTAGTGTCTTCTTCTTACCTGTGGTCGCCTCGTATGTATCCATACACACCACAAGGAAGTACCGAAAGACTTTGAGAGTCACACTATACTCGGTTCCTGGTCTCAGACCCTTGACATCTTTCTCTGTTCCGGTCGCTAGGAGGCTCACCACAACCGGTGCAATTTGTGTATTGTTTTTCACCCGAATGTCCAAAAAATAGTTTGTTGCCCCAATATATTCTTCCCATTTTACCAGAATTGATGAGGGGCCAGAGGACTTTGCTGACAAGATTTTGCACCCTGTAAGAAATGGAAGTACATGGCACTAAAAAACACTGATTGAAGGATACTGAGCAACTTCACATCATAAATGTTGGATATTTACCAATATTTAATTTTATCTAAACAACACAGTGACTTCCATTTAGTGTAACATCTTTAGCTTTAGTGATCCATTGTGTTATAAATATTGATAATATAATGGTTATTTATTTTTAAAGAATCTATGCCAGTCCAAAATATACTCAGAATTTCTTGGTTTACTTACCTTCTGCACTATTAGGTATCTGCAAATTACAACAACAACAACAACAACATCAACAACAAATCAATAAGATGTTACAAAGTTGTACCCATATTGTTGAGTTTTACAGGTTTTAACATAACACATGATATTTACCTGAGTTAGAGATACCAATGCTAAAGAAAAGCCTATGGCTCCCAACAATCCCATCTTTGACATTGAGTGCGGGATTACAATTAGTTTAGTATACAAGGGAGCCAAATACAAAAGCCAAATTTGAGTTTCAGCCCAGCATGCATGGGAGCCAATCAGTATTACCCAAATGGGGACAGGCTGTCCCACCAATAGCCCCAGGCAGTTGGGAGGGAGGGATGAAGGGCAGGATGGGTGGATGAGAGTTTGGTGAATTTACCTGAAGTCACGGGTGAAAAGAAGGTCCCTCTATCTGCCCTATTCTCTCTCTCTCTCTCTCTGTCACACTGGTTCTCACACATCTATCAGTTTGCATAACCTCCGTCACAGCAATTTTGTCTCATAACTGATCAGTCTGCCTGCTTCATTACGAAAATAAGTTTCCAGCTACGCTAATGTGTTTCTGTGTTGCTCGTATGTCTGACATTTGTAAACTTGAAGATGTCTTTGTTTTTTCACACAGAAGTCTCAGACAGATTGTATAACAGCTCTAATGAGACTTGAGAATACATTTATTTGATAAGGTTGGTTAAACATGGTTAGATTTTCATGTGCTCTAGATCAGTGATTGGTGTTGACAGTACTTTTTGTTCAGCACCCATCCAAATCCAAAGCATACACACACTTGTGCACATATGTGTGTTATTGGAGTTTGTTCATAAGTGGACACATAAGTCTCATATATACATAATATAAATGATTTTGTCTGTGAATTATTTTTTCACTAACAAATTGCTAGTGGTGTTTTTTTTTTTTTTTTCTGTTGACCCCAAAGTCAGCCAAAGTTTATGTATTATTATTGGGAACGGAGCGGTAACAGTGCCACAGCTTAGGGTTCAGTTCTCTCTATAGGTCAATGGGCAGTAAATAACATTTCCAGGCATAATTAAATGTGTTCTACTATAAAAAAAAACAAAAAACAATATCTGTAAATATATGTTGTTACAACAACTACGATATTGACAGCTTAACAATCTTCGGTACTGAATTCATCGTCATTTATTGGGCTACAATTTGAGATGGAATATGAACACAATAACTCTTGAACATTAGATGCTACACAAAGAAAATGGAGAAACTCTGTGAAAAAATGTTCAACATGTGACTTATTAGTCCAGACTCCAATTCTATCACCAAACTGTAAACTGCACTTTGATGAGCTCTACTTATCAATAATGTAACACTGGTGATAACAACAAGGGCCTCAAGGGAAGAAATATGAGCCGATCCTCTTTAAATGTCAGTTATTCACTTCAAACTAACCAACACTGATCTTATCGCAGCAAAACATTTTGTACTCTGAGGCCACAGTTTACATGCAGCCTGAACTCTCCTGACCTACTAGCACAAGCTGTCATTCATTGTGTCAATCCAAGCAGGAGCATGCTGAATGAAAACTGCTATTACATTATTACGTCATCCTTTTGTTTTCTCCTTGTGTTTATTTCTAGCTTTCTTGTCAGAGGTCCACATGTTGTCTCTTTCCATCCTTTCTTCCCATCTGAGTTATGGTAAATATGAAAAATCTGAAGGCATGCTGCAGCTTTGCACATGGCCATGTTTCTGTGTTAACTGTTTTTTTTTCCATCCCTGTAACAATACATGAGAACACAGTGAATGACCTGAACCAAAGAGATAAAGACTTGGGAGGGGTTGCCTGAGCAAAGGAGACAAGTGCCACTGAAACCCAAGTCAAGAATGCAAACTTGGGAATGGGGACTCCATCTACAAGGGATGTACAAAACGCATTATAATTGGAACTGTTAATAAGTTGGGTCTTGATTAAACTGTTAACTTTTAATGGTTTTGTAATGGATTTCCATGAAAAATAAAGTTAATTTCTTCCCAGAAAGACTTATCCTAAAACTGGCAGGCATCATGCTGGGCGGAAAAGGATCTTTTTTCACTGGAGAATAAAAGGCTATCGCCTCCTCATTCCCCATCGTGTATTAGATAGAAAAAAAGGAAGTCAACATGAAAGCGGAGACAACCCATAAACCTACCAGGAAACTTAAGCTGCCCTGCTTAAACAATAGAGCAATTTTGAAGGCCGGTGAATAAGGACAAGTGATGTGAACACCTTGATATTTCATTGTATTGTATGTGGCTTCGATATTGTCTCGAAGTAGACACTGTTACAGGTCACAGGCATTGAGCTTCTTATGATGCAACTTCCCATAAATTTCTCGAGTCAATTAAGTAATGGCACTATAGGATTTGGTTGTTTTTTTCTGCTGTTATTAGAGTTATTAGAATACAAATATAGTAGGCTGAGAGTCAATCAGTTTCACATATAAAAAAAGAGAACCTAAAACTGCTCTTGATGAATGGATGAAAAAGAGGAATGTTTGCCACTGACTCTAGCTGAATAATTAAGTCAAAGTAAGAAGTGTAGTGGAAGGTGTCTTTGTGGGATAAAGCTGCTTTATAACTGAATAACACATACAACTGTAGTTTGGACCACTTTGAAATTACTATATCTCAATGTGAATCAAGGTCTAACCAAACATTAAAGTACAGTAATTTAAATGCTGTTGAAATAATGGCTATGTGTTACCAAGACATCTAAAAAACTTTATAAATAACATAATAAAAAACACAAATATAAAAAAAATAAAATGAAATAAAATCCTGTTTTTAGTCTATGTCTAAAATTACTCTGACCTGTAATTTTCAATCTGTTTAATACTAATGAAAGGCTATTTTTAAGCAGCTCTGGGCCAACTGACCCTACCTAAGTCCCGCCCCTTTTTGCTCTATGCTCCAATTACAGTTGAGCACACCTCGATCAGCTTCCTCCTTTCCTGTGCTGGCTCTTTTATGTTGTAAAGGCAACCAAATTTTGAAAATGGTTAAAAGATAAAAGCGACATATATATAAGTCATCTAACTGCTAAGATAACAAAATGCTAGCTAACCAGCATCAGGAATTTGCTGGCTATTTAAATTTGATAGCTAATGCAAAACGGGAGCCAATTAGCTAGCTAACAATTGGGAACATCTGACACATTTTGAAAATATTTAAAAGATAAAAGCGACAAATCTTCAAAATGTGCCTGTCTTTTCCAAAAGAGACGAGAGCTATGTGCTAACTCTTCTAAGTACAGGAAAGGAGGAAGTTCACCAAGGTCCCAAAAAGGGGCGGGGCTTAGGAAGGGTCAATTTTCAGCATTTTCACACCACTTTGATGAAAAACTAGAATGTGAGAGACATCTGACCGGACTACTCATTATACTGGCATAAAACATCATTCACAGCTGACCATGATGGTAAGAGATCAGATCAGATACCCTTAATAAGCCCTGTTGTTGTCGAAAGCAGGTTTATAAAAGATTTGGAAAAATAGAGCGCTGCCCAAGAGTGAACCGAGGTTTGGTGTGAATTGTATCCACAACAATTCCCTGTCACATTGTTTTCAAGGGAAGCAGAGATTTCACACAATAAAAAGAAAATCCAAAAAGGAAAGATATTAGTGTGTATATACATGTGTTTGTCTTGTAAGGACACTATATGTGTGGTGTCTTCAGTTATGGCAAGAAACAGTCTCACTCGGGGTGTTATGCAAGCTGCTAAAAGACTTTCAGATCTGGGTGGGGAGATCTCCAAGATCTGTGTGTCTCAAAGAAATGCCACCTCTTTGGCTGAGTCATGTTCTATGTTTTGGCTGTGAATGGCAACTATTCCCTACTGACAGCCAACACAGTATCCTTACTGATAATCGATACAGTTTACAGTGCAATGGGGATAATACCAGAATTATTCCTTTGTGTTTCGAGGGATTAAAGCCAACTGAAACTTGTGTTGTAAAAAGGGGGCAGGGCAGCACATGTTTCTGGGATTAGTGCCCTGTAAAGCTGATGGCTGGGTGTGCTTTACAGTAAAAAATGAACTGAAAAATTCAGACCTATTGTCATTGTCAGATGTTAAAGTAGCTAATTTTAAGAGCAAGTGATGTGTGGTGTTGAATTTGATATCCTGAGGTCATTGGTGGTTAACCCCTGTACTTGTATTTCCATCTGGTGGCTGTGGTAAAGGACCACTGAGTAGGATTTAGTGGCATCTAGTAGTATAGTTGCAGATTGCAACTCTTGCTTCATCCTCTCCTTCCAAAGCATGAAGGAGAAAGTGGGGTGGCCAATGTTTGGTTCGACTCTTCCTTTGTAGAAATTCATTCTAATGAAAACAACGATTCTTATTTTCACAGCATTATACATCAATAAAAACATACCAATAAATTGTCCTAAATATTCCACACTGGACCTATACATGACTTACTGTGGGATCTACTGCCATGAACATTAAAATGTTAACCTGAGTGCTCCAGTATTGTCATGCACATGAGCTCCGGTAGTACCAGGAACCAACACCAAATCAGAATTTAGTGAGTTAAATTCTATAAAAATGTTGTTAAAATATTGATATCTTTGGTTTGGCTAAACATCAAATATTGGTGATATGATTATAAACTCCTGAATGAATATGATCACAAAGAAGGCTGTTTGTACTAATCCATGGAGCTGCTCTCAACTTAAAAAATATATATATTTTTTACTTTTATTAGCTTTATTAGACAGGAGGAGCTAAAGATAGACAGGAGAGAGGGGGGTCTGTGACATTCGCCAAAGGGCCGTTAGCTGGATCCAAACTGGGGCCATTGCAGGAAGGACTTAGCACCTGTACATAGGGTGCTATAAAATAAATTAAATTAAACTAAACAATATACAGTTACTTATATCAGTATACTTCTACACGTGTTCCATGTCACTTATTTATGGTGTAATGCAGAGGACTATACATATATAAGAGGTAAATTCATTAGGAGACAAAATGTAAACTTCAACCAATATGCTGATGACCTGCAATTGTATTCTTGTCACCAAATAATTTAATCACCAGCTTAAATTTGATTTATCAATAATATAAACCACCACACAGAAACAGTTACTAAAGGTTAGACACAACAAGAAAAGAGTATTGGCATTATCAATGAAGTTGTTTCTATCGTTCCAAGAACATAGATCAACTATTGGATTTAATTTCATAAAGTCAAATCATAAAGTTGAGGTACATCAAGCACCTAGAGTATATCCTGAAGATTACTCTATTAAGTTTTTATTTCAGATTCTTAATTTTATTCATGTATAATAATCATTTCTTCATGACTTACAGTTGATGATCAATACATCCATCTACTGCATCCATCTCTACAAGGTTTGTTTATATCTCAAGCTGTAAGCATTAGTCATTGGGGAATTTCCTCCATGTATACAGACTTACCTCATTTGTCACCGTAATGAAAGTAGGACACACCTTTTCACCAAGGTGCCAGAGCATAAAGACTAGTTTATGAAAGGCTAAAACACACAGACTGGACACAAAAGGTCTTCCAGGCCTCTTTCTTTGAAGCAGGAGAAAGATGTGGTGAGTGACTAAAATTGTGCCCACTCATCTTTTAGTTAAGAAAGAAGGAAAGAAAAAATGTCCGGTCAAATGATATCTTCTTTGTAAGGAACTTCCTTCTCAATAACATCTTATCATAATCGCTGTATACAGTTTTCATTTCATTTCATTTCCCAGGTGAGAATTTCAACACCACAAAAACAGACCACAGACAAGACTAATTAATTCTAATAATATAATTATAACTGAATTATAACTAAATTTAACCCCTCTCTTTTATTTTGTAATGCACATATCTATGCACAAAAGAAAGCACAAACCACAAAAATGATGCTGGGAATTCTTTATTAACTGAAATACGCGTCAGGTTTACGCAACCACAGTGACACATATTCCAACCGTTAAACACATCCTGAGAGCAAGTGGCAGCACACAGTAGTCATTGTACGCTAGAGGGTGACACATGATGAGACGCACAGATCAGTGTCTGCCACTTATCATCAAGAGGCTTCCTACTTGGGGCTGGAGCTACAAAATTAGTTTTTATTTGGTCAATTGATCCAATTAATAATTCTTAAAGTGAAAGGGCAGTCAGTTGTTTAAAATGTCTGTTGGGGCTTCTGTTACTGTTTCGCCGTTACTGTTTTTTTTACATTTACGAAGTCCAATGCCATGATTTTTGTCTCATGATACATATTTTGAGCAGCACACAACATGTGCACTTATTGCCCGCCATTGTTTTTTTCATATTTAAGTGCTTGATCATGATTGCTGAGCGCACAGTGATGGTTTTGCGTGGCCATGATACATGAACATCGTTTAAAGGCAAAAACATTTAATTTCTCATTTATTTCTCATTATTCATCATGGTATCACCTATGTATCATGGCATGTTTATTTCTGGTTAACAGCTGTTTTTCCATGTAGCTATGAGCATGGCTTCATTTCAGTAGAGCAGGGCTGATGCAGGAGGAAGAAGAGGATGAAGAAGATGGAAGTGTTTGTTGTATCTGTGGAGAAGAGACTGTAAAGACAAAACAAAGATTTTGCAGGGATTTTGCAGTTTTCAGGAAATGTTCTATTTATTGTTTATTTACTACAATTTGACTTTTTATATCACCGAAACCACGAGTCAGTGATTGATTTTATTCATGCAGAACAATCTATTTAAAATGCAAGTCGTGTTTCATTGTGACCAGCAGAGGGAGACATCAAATCACAGCAACACTGGATCTAATAAACCATGGAAGAAGATAAAAGAAACGGGGCCTGAACAGATAGATGTGCATGTATATCCTTATTTTACTTACTTAATGTCATCTTTGATATTGCTTAAACCTCTCAAATATTCCGGTTTATTGAAATTGATAGAAAGATATTAAAAATATTTATATATATATATATAAAGATATATTTTTATTCAACCACTATTAATATCATATGCTGGTAAATCAAGCTTCCATTACTTATGAGATTTTATATATTTACTTACTATATATGCTAGTCCACACTTCTCTTCCCTCTGTAAACCACTGGAGAAAAACAGATTGAAGTGACATTAGAAAAATCGTACATGTAAAATGTTTTGCTAAACTTTCTACCAGTATAAGTACTGGAACTTGGTGATTTTACCTTCAAGTAACCTTACAAAGATTTATTCAGATTAAAAGTTCATAAGATACTCACCTGTGCCAATGTTACTCCCTGAGCAAATGACTGAGAGCAGAAACAACAAAAAAAAGTCAAAATAAGTGAAAATGTTGACGTCTATATTAATAATATTTCAGCTGCATGTTTTATGTTAAAATTGTCTTTAATTCTGTTTTAATGCGAACAAAAGTTAATAAACTTGTACATGTAATATATAAAATGACTGAAATTAAACTACAGGCTTTGTGTTAATACTGTAAATTTACATTATAAAACATGGTGAAAACTCTGTTTACACTTTTAATAGCATAACCACAAGCAGACATATAAGATCCCACTGTCATACCTGAGTACATTCTCTGGGGGCAGAACGGGGCTTTGCTGCCCTCTGGTGTGAGCGGAGCCACCACTAAACTGTACTCCCCACATTGTAAATTGGCAACATCACAGCTGTTGTGCCCAGGAGAAGCAGTGCAGGTGTAGTTGTTGCTGCTGCCCACCATCTCTGTGATGTAGCTGTGGCTGCTGCCACCGCTGCGCCAGTACACCCGCAGAGAGTTACCGGCCATCTGGTAGAGCCTGACACCAGATGGACAGCAGGGGCCTAAGAGAGAGAGAGAGAGAGAGAGAGAGAGAGAGAGAGAGAGAGAGAGAGAGAGAGAATTATTATAGATTAAACTACTATTATTATAGATTAGCAGTATATAAAATAATTAAAATGAGGTCTAATTTAAACTTTTTGATAAGCTGATATGCTCTAATTTATCAGCATGCTCTATTTATTGGTCATTTATTGGTCATTGTTTATTGGTCAGGACCCTGAGAGATTGTGAGATTGTGGCTGACCAGTCCCACTCGGGACACTTTTTGAGACACTTCCCGCTGGCAGGAGGCTGCGGCCTACCAGGACCAAAACCTCTCGCCACAATGACATTTTCTTCCCGTTCTTCCTGTTAATTCACATAGTTAATATTGGATTCATACTAGATGTTTTATCACTTATACCAGAAGCTCTTAAGTCACTAATATGTTTGTATTGCTCCCATATTGCAAGAAGTATACTGGATAGCTGCATAAATACATCACATAAACATTTCAATGTTATATTATTAATAGTACGATGTTGGGCATAGATGCTCATTCTTCGGTAGGAAACATCATCACTCACTGGATGAGAAGCCCTCATAGGTACAGTTGGAGCTTCGCCCGCTGTGGCTGAATGCCTCCATGGTGACAGTGTAGTTGGTTTCACAGGTGATGCATCCCATGAGGCAGTGGGAGTCCTGTGTGTGGCAGCGGGCGTGACCACGCAATGATGTCAGAGAAGTGATGAACGTATGTGCCCCTTTGGCGTGAGACCATGAGACGTTGGTCATCGCCTGAGTCACCTGATCCACTGTTAGACTCAGTGGGCAACAGGGCTCTGTAGAAGAAGATGATTATGTGGATGCTATCTGTTAATGTTCATGTCACAAAAATTACTAACATTCTGTCTGTACTTTTTAATCCATGGATCAATCCAATCTTTTGACTACCCACCTGTTTCCAGACTCTCAGAGAAGCTGGGTAAACTCTGGCCGGCGGCGCTGGTTGCTATGACTCTAAATTCGTAGGTGGAGCCACAGGGAAGGTCAGTGATGTCACAGCTCTTTCCACTGGTGATGCAGTTGCGCACACCATCATCTCCAGACGCAGTCACAGTGTAATTAGCTGCCCTGTTGTTTGCTGTCCAGCTGACACTGACGCAGGAGGAGTTTTTCGGATTCAGCATCAGATTCATCGGCATGCAGGGAGCTGATGGAGACGAAGGAAAGAAGGAGTTAAAAGTTTAGCTCACAGTGTCCATATACATTTGAGGATCCTAGATGGAATTTAGGAATTGGTGTTGGCAACAATGTAACTGCAATAAAGATAAACAGCACTTAAGTGAAAAATGAATAGTTTTCTACCTGTGTCTTTGGTGTGAGCTTTGCATGCACGGTTGCATCCACTAAATTCACTGCAGGGTGTCACCACCACGCTGTAGGAACTGTCGCAGCTGAGGTCAGACAGGGCGCACACCGGTGACGTGTCGTTACAAATGATGACCTCTGAACTGTCCACAGCCCGAGTCTCGTACAGCTGTGCCCCCCGCGAGGCGGTCCACGTGATCTCCAGAGTGTCAGTGCTCACCACTGAGACAGATACATCCTCTGGACAACAAGGCACTAAAAGACACATACCCATGTAAACAGATATAAACATTATCATGACTCAAAATCCTAAAACATGTCACCTCAGCTGCTACTTACAGGTGGTATAGTTGAGAACATCTCCTTGAGGACTGCTGCCAGCCTCATTAAACGCAAACACAGACATCAGGTATGTGTTCCCACACATGCAGCTGTAGGAGCAGTTGTTCCATGTGGTGTTGCAGATCTCCTCGCCGCCGTCACCTCTCTTGATGAAGGCTGAGTAGCTTTCAGCATGAGGCACCGTGTCCCACGTCAGCGTGCAGTTTCCTTCTGATGACTCCACAACAGCCAAAGACTCTGGTGGGCAGGGGTCTGACAGGACAGGACAGCAGGGGAGTTAGTCACACTCATGTACTGACTGCACTCAGAGATGCTATGCCTTTCTGGATCCTTAACAACTGCTTAAGTGGTAGTGTAGTGTGTTTTTCTAAAGCTTGTCACTCGCAGATCCCAAACTAATGATTTCATTTTTCAATTTACTGGTACATTTCCACATTTAACACATAGTAATTAGTTTTATTAGATGACAAAGTGTGATATTAACTCTTGTATTGTATATTAAAAGTATTGTTATTATTGTACTGTAGTTATTATTAGTTCTAATGGTAGCAGGCTAAAAATCTGGCCTTTATTAAAACAGCTTCTACTATCTTTTGTGTTTGAAGGGAATATGATGCTAAAATAAACTAATGGTTGTCACATAAGCAAATCTTAAATATGCACTGTGTTCTGCAGCCCATAAGGGTGCGGACCTATTTTCACATCGTATGTGTCTCTGCAGCTTAAATCCTAACAGTTTTTACACTGTCAGACATATCTGCAATTTTGCTAAACACAACCAGTTTACAGGCTGGTTAAAACATTGCTCCATAGTTAAATATTACATACTTGATCTTCAGATCTTGTGGTGTGGATTAACAATGACATATTTAGTTCTCTCATACTAAATTGAACTCTACAACACATTTTTACATAAAACTGAAAGACTGCTACTGTGTATATACCTATATACCTATTTTTTTTTTACAATTAAATACTAAATTTGATTTTTGGTAGTGGGTATGGCTGATATGGTTATAATCTTATATCATTGTATATGTGATTTTATATCATAATAGTAATATGATATCATAAAATATATGGTCATTCACTGAGAAAATAACTAAATGGGAATGTTCCTGGCTAATCCAGTGAATAAAATACTCAACAGATATGCATCATGATTTGTGTAGCAATACATTCAAAATCAGTACCAGGAAAAACACATAAAACAACTAACAAACAATATTCTCTACTACTTACAGGTGATGAACACCTCGGGGATAGATGGGTAGCTGGGCCCGGCCTCGTTTGAAGCGGTGATCTGGATAGTGTGGACCTCTCCACAGCCTACTGGTGACAGAGTGCAGGAGCTGGATGTGGAGTTACACGTGAGGTTCTGGTCACTCATCACATGGTACTGGATGGATCCATAGACATTCGCATCGAGTTCCCAGGACACAGAGAGTCCAGCCACAGTATTATTCATCACCATAGACACACTGACAATAGATGGCGTTGGAGGTCCTGTGAAAACACAACAGAATAAACCATAAAGACACACCCAATGATGCATCAGAGTGCACATTAAAACATATATACACACACACTGGGACAGTCAGAAACACAAGTTGATAATGCAAATCTAAACACAATAGTTGAGTATAGTTACTGTATTACAAGGACTTTTTTTACTTCTTAAGAGAATCTAAATTCGATACTGATGCCTCTATATGACCTATAAACAAAGACCATCAGCAAGAAAAATTATTATTTCTATGAAGGTATTCTTGAAACCAGTTTCATAGCAGAGTATAAAAACACACAGAGAAGTGCCTCCTTACGTGTTGTTTGGTTGATGTACAAACTGCCCTCTCCCTTCCGGCCCTCGACGTCCCAGGCGAAACCCCTGATGATGTAGAGAGAGCCAGCGTCCAGGCCAGAGATGGTCATATTGGTGTTGGAGGTGTTGTGCAACAAGCTGTTGTCTGAGCCCAACTTGTATATGGACAAGGTGTACTGGACAGCGTGAGCAACAGGGTCCCAGGATACAGTGATGCTGTCATTGCTGGGGGAGGAGGTGGCGGAGAACTGAGGAGGAGGCAAAACTGTGGAGGAGGAGAAAGTTTGACAAGTTTTACATGTTCTAGACCACTATTTACAAGCCAGGTCCTTACCAGTTCCATCCAACACTATCTGCCTAGGTTTTTAGGTGAAACTGATTTATTCTGTGTTTGTTTTGGAGCAGAGGAGACCTCTGTGGATAATTTAGCTTCTGGTAAAAAACTCCTGAACAATGAACACTGAAGGAATCCTAACTGGGAGAAGCTGACTGCAATGACGACAATGGTAGTGAAGACAACAACTCCCATGATCCAACGTTACCTTACAACGTCATCAAACTTTGTAAGTTGTTTGGATGTGAGAGATTAATTTCAGTATTGCATTTTTTCTCCTTGCTCATCTCACTGACCAAATTTGGGTGTGGCTTAGTTGGAAAAGGTGATGCCACATATTTCTGAGCACCAATCAGGACTAAAGGGGCATTTGAACCAGAATCTGCTGACAGTTGGGTTGTTTGGCCATTGTCAATCAACCCTGATCAAACTACACCCACATAGTCCTGATAAAACAGATTAGCTTTTAATCATTTTAATTAGAGTTTTTGATTAATACTTAAAGGTGATTTTTATTTAACCATCAATATTTAATGTTATTGAGAAATATTTAAGATTTGAAGCCATGTTTTCAGGGGCTTTAAGTCTCAGCCTACTGTCTGAAAATCATTCTGACTAGGTGAGAATTTTGCCTTTTGATGTGTAAACTTTTACAAATATTTTTAATTAACCTTTTTTCTCATTAGATCATTTTTTTCCTCATGTTTCAAAGATTCATATATATTATTGTTTGTTTGAATTTGACATTAAGTAGCCTATGTTTGTGAGATAAAATGAAATCTCAGATGAATAATGAGGAAGAAAAAAGTGAAACAGCTTGTTCTTTTTTTTGTTTTCGGCTCATATGGATCATATTTTTCCCCCCGGAGTGGGAGCGGAGTGTACAGGTTGACAAGATAAGGTCATCTCTTTGTGTTTGACATATAATCGTCAGGTACAGTTACCACCAATACAGCAGGGGCCCTGAGGGGTCGTGGTGCATTTATTGGGTAAAACAAACCTGGATCTGCACAAACAGATCATGTGTTTACATCTACTCACAGTACTGTGTATAGTGGCTCTGCTATGTGACAATGAGGCTGATCAAGTGACTCCTGCAAGGCATTGGTATTGAGGACAAAAGTACTCAGTGGTTCCCAGTGTGAGTCATTTCTATACATAGAGCAGCTCTTAGGTGTCATTTTTCCCACTGATTTCATCTATTAGGTTTGGTTTCCCAGCTATGGGAGTGGAAATGTGAAAATCTAACATTCTGCACAGAAGTAAAAATAATATGAGAGATTAAAGTACCTGTCTTTACAGTCACAGGAAGAGACGGCTGACTGCGGCCTCCGGTATTCACAGCCATGATGCTGAGCGAGTAGTCAGTGTACGGTGTGAGGTACTTAATCTCAGCAGGAGTGGTGGGAACGCTGTCTTCTCTGTAGAAGCCATTGGTGTTCTGGACTCGTATAATGTAATTTAATGCCCCGGGCTTCAACCTGAACCCCGCTATCAAGGTCCTGCTATCCTTTGACTTCACTGTCACGATGGGATCCATCATCTCAGGGGCTAAAAATAGTCACAATCAGTTCAGATTAGAGACAGCATCCAAGAAAAGCACACATATTGTTAAATTTAATATTGCAAATTGGAAGATTTGGCTGTGGAATACACCTTTTCTGATTTAACATTTTTATTTTAACTCAATTTCTCTGGGAATATTTGAGAAAAACACACATATAACAATAGAAAAAAAATTCCTTATATTATCATTGCAATAAAAGAGGGGGATCTGTGCTCTGCTGCTCAGTGAACATTGGCAACTGTCCATCATCAAAGTAACATTTAGGTGTTTAAATTTACATTTTAATATTGCTGTTATACTGGATCCATTGCTTCAGACTGGTTAGCTGACAGTGATAAAACTGTAAAAAATACTTTCAGACAAAATCAAACACGTACAACACCAGAATAAAGTAAAACAGCTTGTTTTTGAAATGGAAAAACAATGGAGCACTAAATAAAATATGTGTTGTTTAAACAATAGGCTACATGTATGGACAGAAGTGTATCTCACCTGTTAATGTTTCTACAGACGTTACATCCAATGCAGTTTGATCGTTCAAAGCAGTAATTGTGAATTGATACAACTTGTTCGGGGACAGAGAGTTGACCGAGCCCATCACTGTGTTTGGACCAAACGAGGCAAAAGCAATAATATCTTGTGTGCCGCTGAGTTTGACTTCAATCTTGTACGAGGTGGCTCCTGAGACCTTGGTCCACCTGAAAATCATGCTCTTGGATGATGCTGAGAATTTGGATGCTGAAGAAAGACGATAGAAGTGGATAATAGCACTTGTTCATCACCACAAGACATTATTTTACACATAAATGTATAATATAACCAAGGTTTTGTGCCCCATCCTTATCATATATGACAGTGACATATACATCTACTGTAAATCTGTGATAAGAAAGAGAACATACGTTACCTGTAAAGGCTGCAACCTGCAAATTTAGACGAGAAAGTATCATTAACAATAGTTTTATGTAGTTATATAAAATCTAAGTTACTACAAGGTACTTTTAAGGTTAGGTTTTCATTGAATAGTGCTCCTTCAACAATTTTTTTGTGCCTGAGCTTGATATAAGCAAACTATTATAATAGATATATAAAATATGATTTTATTACTGTACCTGTGAGCATATGCCCATCATGACAAAAATCCCCAGCCAGTTCATAGCGCCTGTTCTTCACGTCTGTCTCTTAAAACACTCCTCTCACTGTTTCTTACACTTTGTACCTTCTGTTAGATTTTTAGAAATACTTCACTTCACTGTTTTACCTTTCCTTAAACACATCTGGTGTCTGTGGGAGGGGCCATATGCATTCCATCTCGTGCAGCCTGCACCTTGGGGCAGGTGCAGGTTGTGTAGCATGAGATGGAAACACCTTTGTAGCTTTGGCATGATATTCTATATTCAAGGATGTAGTGAAAACACAACAGAGTGTGGCATGTAAGGGTCTGGCAAAAGAACTGGATTCCCTTACCTAGAAGCTTCCAGTCCCTCCCCTTTACTTTGAGATGTGAATACACTTTCCATTGTAGGAGCCTATTTCTGCCAGGAAAAGGAAAACAGAGGAAATTTTATAAGGAAACTAGATAATGAGATAATAAGTAAAACATTTTGACCTAGCGTTATAAATAAATTATTATGACAGTGTGTTGATACAGTAACTCAAACTCAAATCCTCACGTAATAAGTCATAACTATGAGTATTTTGAGTCCAAAGTTTTATTTATTATTTCATATTTGGCTTAATATCTCAAGGTTATGATTAATTCAACTCATAATTTTGATTACTACAAGTCAAAATCCTGATTTATCATAGGCTAATTTCTCTTACTATTTTAAGATTTTGAAATAGTATCTCATATTTTTAACTTCAAAAGTCAAATGTTTTGACTTTATATGTCCTTTAATTTTTTACAGTTTTGTCTTTGACTGGTGAGAAAGGTTATTACAGTTAACCAAACTAAGAGCTAAAACTAGGTGTTAAAAAACAAACTAAACAATATTGTGTACTTACAAAAGTTAGTTTTAGTCTTTTTCAATTTGGTAAAAATGTGTCAACCCAACTAGCATGAGGAGGCCTTGGTGCATATGTTTCTATGTACATCTATGTGTTTCTGGTCGAGGCAGACAGCCACCCACTTAGAGCCGGGGTCTGTCCGAGGTTCCTGCCTCCGTCGCCAAGTGCTTGCTCATGGTGGGAACTGTTGGGTCTCTGTAAATACGTTTATAAGGAGTGCAGTCTAGACCTGCTCTATTTGAAAAGGTGTCCTGGGATAACTTATTTTATGAATTGGCGCTATACAAATAAAACTGAATTGAATTGCATTGAATGTTTATTATACAGTATATATAACTTGTCAGTCTATCAATATATCTATCGATCTTTCTATCTATCTATCTATCTATCTATCTATCTATCTATCTATCTATCTATCTATCTATCGATCTATCGATCTATCTATCTTTCTATCTATCTATCTATCTATCTATCGATCTATCTATCTATCTATCTATCTATCTATCTATCTATCTATCTATCTATCTATCTATCTATCCATCTATCTATCTATCTATCTATCTATCTATCTATCTATCTATGATCTATCTATCAATCTATCGATCTATGATCTATCTATCGATCTATCTATCTATCTATCTATCATCTATCTATCTATCTATCTATCTATCTATCTATCTATCTATCTAACTATCTGTTCTCTGTCTTCTGTCTGTCTATCTATCTATCTATCTATCTATCTATCTATTGATCTATTGATCAAAACAAAACTAAAAACTAATGAAAAAACAACAACACTATAAATATCATAATATTCTGGTGAACTTTCCTCTGGCTCCCAAAATCTAAATCATAAACATGACTGTACATAAATACATGAATAGAGATGGCTCTATTTTAAAAAACTACAAATGTCTCTCCGTCGCACACTTGTTAACGCCGATGACGGCGGCGCGTAAGGGACACGGGACAGGAAGAGGCGCAGAGGAAGGGGGGGAAAAAAAACAAGATGGCAGCGGGTTCAGATCACGGGCTTAAAAGAGATGTTTGGAAAAGTAAGTTCACTGTTACTGGAGAGTGCTTAATGTGCGTGCGTGACACAATAAACCGCGTTATTATTATTATTATTAACTTCCTTTTGAGACTTTTAACACCTCGGAATGAAACTGGAAGTTTTATTCTGCAGCGGAAGTTTACGAACTTGGATTGGGGGGGGGAAGAAGAAGTCATTATTTACCGCTGTTGTTGTTGTTGTTGTTGTTTATAACTATAACCTAACTATACGGTCCTCTTGTATCCCATTCCTGGAGAGTGTAGTCGGGGTGAGGTCGCTCTGTATTCGCCTGTAGCTCCACCTCATATGTATTCAGGCTAACGTCGGCACAACATGGTTTCGGACTAAAGTGACACAAAATGAAGGACACATGTCTCTTGTGGGTGTCTGCTTTTCCCTCCGACCTGTGTGACCCACAGCGCTGCCCTCCTGTGTTGTAAAGGTAGGATGTCGCAGGGATGTAGTGGTTGCGTTGAAGTTTAAAATACCTACACTCTTCCCACTGAAGGAGCGCAGCTACAGCAGAGGCTGAGGCGACAAAATGTGATGTTTTTAGGCAATGTGGTTTATTTTTTTTTTATTATATTGATGCCGAATTGTCAAGAAGACTGTCGTCAAATTATGCCCTTAAACTTGTGTTTGTAGTGTTACGTGTTTTCGACGGACAGGTAGGAATAGTTAAAATGTAATATTCCGTAAAGGGAGTTTGGCGCTGGGAGCTTTTAACCTAGTTTAATTCAAACTGCTTAACTTGTATGTGTATTTTTTTTAAAGGTTTGTCACCACTTGAGAAACACTAGGTAGATTTTAAAGTATGATATTGTTTTCTGACATTAACTGCTGTTAGTTATTAGTTTGATTAATAGTTTAATAATGTGTGTATCGATTACTGAGCGACTGATCAGGCTAATTATCAGCTTATTTTACAGTTTATAATGGCAGTATGCTGTGAATGGTTGCCCTAATGTTTATGTTTAAGGTACTAAACACAATGTGCTTGTTTTTAATGGTGTTGTGAATCACTCCTGATGAAACTAGTCTGGAGACCAGTCAGACTCCCTCTGAAAGACCTTTTGTGTGTTACCGCCTGTTGCTGATCAGTCATGTAGTGTGAAAACCACAACAATTTCAAGACTCTCAACTGAAAGTTGTTTACTCTGAACAGTACAAAGATCTGACAGCTTTGAAAGTCCTGTAGCGTGTTCAAGGCTTCAGTCTGAGGATGTCTGACGATGTGTTGCAGGGTAACTGTATTAGACGGTATCAGTTTCAGTCCGGTGTACCTAATAGGATAAGAGGCCAACACACTTCAACCGCCCTGATTTTCACACTCTTTATTTTATTTCATAAGCTAGAGAGTATAAGAACAATGGCATGTTTTGTCAAACAACTCACACACATATCTCTTAATACAGTATCAAATCTGATAGTACAGCTAATTCACTACCATTAATGAAAGTGGTTATTTAGTGTGTAAAATACCAGAAATTATGATAAATGCCTATTACAAATCTGCAGACCTTAAAATGATATGAAACACAACAACTTACAATAACTGTTCTGTGTCACTTACAGGAATAAAAGACACAATTATTGCAGACTGCAGAAAATCTGAAGTATGGAAGGTAGGTAAACCCCTTGACACATTACATGTCCAACCTTTATTTGTTTTATTGCCTTATGCATTAGAATTGTGATTTCTTATTTTGGCAACCTAGAAACCTATTAAAGTGTGATACATAATGATCTTCACAGATATTGATTCTGGACGCCTTCACCACCAAGCTCCTCTCATCATGCTGCAAAATGTCCGACTTGATGTCAGAGAAAATAACAAGTACTCTATTTTTCCATCTTTTTTTACTAATAATACGTTTTACTGAACAAACTGAAGTGTGTATGTGGATGTCTGTAGCTACCTTGTTATAATAAATATTTTGTTTCTTTAGTCGTGGAGGACCTGTTCAAAAGCAGAGAACCTGTTCCAGAAATGAAAGCAATCTACTTCATGTCACCAACCGCTAAGGTGTGAACATTAACCCTGTAGTGATAATATCACATTGGAAGTTTTCATTTCTGCAAACTGAGTTGTTATTGTTAGTTTCATTCTGATCACTCTGTTTTTATATCTGAAATTTCATTTCATTTCATAGTGTGTGGATGCCTTTATTGCTGACTTCAAGACCAAACCCAAATATAAGGCAGCATATGTTTATTTCACTGACTGTAAGTAATCACTACTTTATTTATCCAATATGATCAAAATGTCCTTTTATTTGTCCAACTGGTAACATGTAAACTAAAAGCTTTTCCGTCCCACAGACTGTCCAGACGACCTGTTCAACAATATGAAGCTGTACTGTGCAAAGTACATACGAGTCTGTAAGGAAATAAACATGTGCTTCATGCCACAAGAGGCACAAGTAAGTGGTTGCAGAGTTTGTGCTTTTAGGTTCTTTTGTAATGCTCCATTTCCTCTTTTTTCCCAGACTCTTACTTGCTAACTGAGGAAAACTTTACTTGTTGTGTTCAATATCAGGTTGCTACTGAAGAGATTTGCACTGTTTTGAGTTCATCTGTAATGGGTGTCAGCTGCTTTAAGCTATGGTGTAATAATTTTGCAAACGTTGCATTATCTTAAGTGGTTGTTCCCTGTCTTTAAAAAAGAAAAAAGGTCTTAAGATTCTTAGTTGTTTTGTGTATTTTACAAAGTAAATAAAGTCTTGTTTATTTTTGTTAATAATAATTTCAGGCTTTTAGTTGTGGAACAGGAACTTTCTTTAGAGACAACCCACATGTTTCTTTATTATATGATTACATACATTGTTCACTTAAAAAGAAAGTTTTCTTAACACTGGTGTGCTGAATGTTTTTCAGGTGTTCACTTTTGATAATCCGGGGGCTTTCCAAAGCATCTACAGTCCCAACAGTCAGGACAAAAAGAAGACACTAGAGACACTCGCAGACCAGCTTGTCACGCTATGTGCCACGTTGGACGAGTACCCAGGGGTCAGATACAAGAAGTAAGCCAGAGCAGATTTAGTTTCTCAGCTTACAACGCACCTCAGCCCCCAAGCAGAGTCAAACCTTTTACGAGAAAAGCTTGAACAGAGACCCTAGAATATGTTACCAAACTGTGGCTGCAAATAAATGAGGCTAAAATATAATAACAAACGTCACCTCACTTTGCCGTAGTTTAGCACAAGCTAACATTTAAATATGAATCCAAACGAGC